CCAACGAGGCACCATCCCCTCCAGCCCATCAGGGGAAATGTCCAGGTACAATAGTGGGGCATAGTTGGCTGTCAAAGTCAAAATGCTTGGTGCATAGTCAGCCGCAGTGAATAAACCAGGATTAAGGGGACAGAATGCACTTTGGCGCTATGCCTGCAGAATAGTGCTAGCTACAAATACTCCTTTGCGTGCCTCCCAGTATTCTTTGACAACATGGTGTCAACAAATTTCCTTGCCTGTCCTTACTGTGCACAACTTGCAGCGCTTGTACCAAGCCTTTTGCATAGGTTGGAGGTGGTGGGTGGTGTGCAGAGGAAGACAGAGCAGGTGGATTTGATTCTCCACCATGAGTTCAATCATGTTCACAGCCATGTAAGACCTGTGGCTGCTGCAGATAAGGAGGATAGGCTTGCCAGTTTTGTTCTGAGCGCAAGTCTATGGAATAAACATTTTTCTAAACCACTTGGTGCAAAGGAAATTATTAGTCCATCCATTTTCTGATGTGGTTAGCCTTGAAATTTGTTAGTGGAAGATTGTATATAAAAATGATATTTGGCAAATTCATAAAATGTCAGGGTGAACATCACATGATTCTGGATCAATTATTGTTTCTGCAAATATAAACCTGGGGGGGATGCTGCTACCAACTGCAGAATACATTCTATTACTGTTACAAGCTCCAGGGTAAACAATAGGAGGACTTACTGAGGAGTCTCCTGGATCTATTGGGTTTTATATACTAATACAGGGTGTTTGTACTTATGTACTATACAGTTGATGAAAGCAGTGACTGATGATGTCATAGGGTGCAGCCCATGTGACCAGCTCCACTGCGTGAGAGAGTTGTATCTAAAAATAAAGAAAAGCAGTGCAGAAAGTGGAGTTTGAACAAAAGGAAAGTCCCACATGGCATGAGTGTGTGGAAGCTAAGAGAAAAAAAAAGTTGAAGTGGAGAAAGAAAGATATAAGTTCAAAAATTGTGTATTGTAATGTTACAATTAATATACCAGCACCTATTTTACGCTTCACTTTTCTGTACTTTTACTTTTCATTTTCCAAATCATGTGACTGATCACATGACCTCATGTATTGTAGTATATATACTGGAGCAATACATGGGGAAGGACTCAGCAAGTCCTCTCCTAGTGTATACCAACATTAGTGAAGACAACCTCCCTCCTTTGATAGGTTGTACACTTCCCTTCTTACCATTGAGTTGTAGTTAATTGGGCTGTTGGTGAGAAGATGAATCACAGTGGGAAGATAAGGCCCTATGAAGTTGCCTTCTGTTTTGAATGGGGGGCATTGGTAGCAAGAGAATTGACGACAGTGAGCTTGAGAGGAGTGAGCTTGATGGGATCACCAAATAATCATTGTGTGTGACGCCAAGCCTGCCAAAGCGGAGCTATGGGGCTTCAATCCCAGTGAAAAGTTGTTCTATACAATTATGTATAAATCCATATCAAAATTGGCAAACATGTTTGGTAAGATCCAAAAAACAGCCTCACATGTGTCAAGATCAGTCCAGAGCACAATCATCATCGAGATCATTGTGTTCAACGCATAACTGAACTCAATGTTACTGAGATTGTTGCAACTCGAAGCAAAACTCAGTACATGTATTAGGTTAGCTCATCCAATATCCTCAACTCGGTACACAAACTCACTTGCAACTACAGATAGTTAATTGTACTAGTAACTACAACAATGCAAGCCAATTCTTCCCAAAAACAACAACACTTGTGTGATTGTGAAGAATGCTGCAAAGGAGCTAGACTTGTCTCTGAATGAACATGGTATTGACATGCACCTTATTGCAGAAACCCTGATGTTCCCATTAATCTGCAAGATGAAGAACATCAGCTAAGACGAAAGATACCAGAAGGACTCTCAAGTTCCTCAAGTTCCAAGTTGCGTGAAGACTCAATTCAACCTTGTGAAGTCACAGATATGGAGCAAAATGAGGTAAGTACATTATGATTGACAAATTATGACATTTGTTTATAGTATGAGAAAACATGCATTGGCCAGGGCTTGAACCTGGGACTCCAGCTTTCATGGTCTGGTGCTTTACCAACTAAGCTACCAAGGCGTACTTGGAAAGCATACTGATTGGTTGCATGCCCAGAAGGTCCAGAATCACTGTACACGGGTGCGGATCCCATTGTGTTGTGATAATGATTTCTATTCTACAGTTCAAACTCACCTGTACAAGCCGGGTCTCCTACCTGACCTGCATCAAAAACCATTGTCAAGAGCATCTTCCCCAGAACAACACGACAATCTCCCCCCCACCACACGAGGTCTTGACGATCAGGAAATCAACAATTTTGTTAATACAACCAAACTTCAAGACATTCAAACTACCTGGTCATTTGTGAATGCAATAGGCAATGCAGCAACTGTTGACAATATGTTTGTTATCACCGGAGCTATCACCAAATATAGATAGGCCCTATGATGGGATTGGTTACAATACTGTAATGGGTCAAATCAAAGAGCTCGAGATGATGATCTTAGAGTATTTTACCACGCATATTTATGTTTTTGATTTTACTGATGGAGCGGCTGTATTGCTTGGTTTATTTATAGGAAAACATCTGCTCCAACTAAAATGGACGTTGATGAATTCTCTATAGACTCATCTGAGTCTGCAAAAACAAAGAATCTTGAAGTTTTGAAACCCGAAGATTACCCCATGATAAAGTTTTGGTACCGGAGCCAATACAACATTTCAAAGAAGGTCAAGAAGGGTTTTACCGTGATTGCGGAACCAATTGCGGAACCAATTTATGGCGCTGTCATGCACCAAAGTTGATTGGTAGCATGGACAGGTGTCAATAACGAAGCGAATATTCAAAAAGACTCGCCTTTGCGCCACACAGGCACAGTGCCACGTGGAATAGTAATTAATATTGCCCTTTTCGAACTTGTGGCTGATCAGCACCACCTCTATTAGGCAATCCAGTCACGCTCACCTTTGCTTTTCCATCCAGTACTTTCCGCATTTCGGCATTTCGGCAAATTTTCGCGTCGCCACTGGCTACACATTGCATTGCGCCCTCGCTTTTGTCGTTTCCCTTACTCCCCTTCCTTTGCCTAGCCCCACCATGGGCCCCTTCCTCTCCTTTTTATTCTCACCTGACGGTCGTTTCTGGATCCCCATTCTAATCCACTTTTTCGTCACCTCCACCCTCCTCCTCCTCATCTTATTTGCACCCCCACCATTTCTGATGTCACCACTTCCTATCCGCTTCCGTCGCCGATCCGTTGACTACCACGTGCCACTGCTGATATCAGCAAAGCCCCGGCGGCCAGTCCAAATAGGGCAACAGGTCCATCTTCATGACATCGATCTGCCATCATATACTATCAAAACATCGGTCGCTCGCCTTGCCTGGTTGGAGCGTGGGTGGGTAGTTTTTGAGCTGGAGAAGGTTCATCCCCTTGTGTCGCCCATGTTCATCGCTGTCCCATTCACTTGGGTACACTTATCTTTTGTCCATCGTCTTCGCTACAGCTACACCTACCACACGCTGCCTGGGACTCACTTGTTCCAAATTGGAACTACTCCTCTCCCTCCCTCGTTTGATCAGGTGGTCCAACGCAACCAGTCCATTGGTAAGGCCATGGAACTGTCGGATTTGGACTAGGTGGTGGACCGGTGGCTCCAGTTTCTTTTTCTTCAGCAGAACATTCATTTACAGTGCGATTATTTTTGATTTTTGAATCATTTTTATGGACACATATTTTTTAGAATGCCTGACTGACAATAAAGGAACTGTGTTGATACTGATAGTGTTTTGCCTTGCCCTTTTTTTACTGCATCTTCCCATGACATCATGATTTTCCTGCTCTCTTTTTGCTATTGGACTTTACTTTATGGCTGTACAAACCTGTGACATTACTCACAGCATTCATTGTTCTATCTCTTTCTTTTCCTTTTTTGACAATCTTATCCTGTACTACCTACGCAGGATTCGTCAGCATACATTCCTTCCTTCATGTTCTTTCTCATTCTTTTTGCACAGCTATACTGTGCATAGCCTACTTTTCTCTTACTATATAAACCCCTGTATTTTACCTTGTAAAAACAACAACAAGAACTCCAATCCAGACTTCCTGTTTACTCTCAAGTTCACTACTCTGCTACTTGTGACCCAGTGTGGTCACAACACTTCCCACTTCTACCACTGTTAACTGCTGTCATCATCACTCGTCACTTTTTAAAAGTGATTGTCATCCCTTTTGATTAGAGTCCTTCTGAGCACTACAGTTTGTGCGTCAGGAGCCTGCTATCACTGGGAACTTCGTTATCTCATCATTCTCAAACCTACCTTGTGCTACAATTAGCAAGGTAGTGCTCATCTATACTCGTCACTAAGTCCCTATCTTCTATAAATTCAACTATCCCTCCTCCTCAAAACCCACACCCATACATCTCTGGGTTTTACTTTGAAGGATCATTATATGTACCACCCCACGAACAACCAGACCACTCCACTGTTCTAGGAGGCAAAGCCCATAAACAAGTTCCGTGGAATCTGGGAGGATTGTGTGTTAGTTTGTTTTGTGTGTGGTTTTCTAACAGCAGTTCTCAACATCGACAGCACAAAAGCAGTCAGCTCAAAATTATTGGCTAATAGACCTGCTCGGATGGCCGAGGGTGTGAACATTTCATACCCGCATATCAAGGATAAGCATGGTGTGCCTGTGTCATCGGATTATGCCCATAAAATGCGGCTATTTGCATTGAAGATATTCCGTCACTTGCACAGGAAATGCACCACTCTGAAAATGTAGGGCAAGGCTCTCATATGGGATCAAAAATTTTACTGGTCACAGATGGAGTCAAACTTTGAAGAACTGCAATACTGTGATTTTCACTGGAAAGTCAATCACCTGGCAAGTTGTACGTACCCCAGTTGGTATTGATATCATGTCAAAGGATTGCACCCGGTTACCCCGGCGACAATTCGGTCCATTTTGGTTGGGACAATCAAGCAGGTGTCCAAAGAGGTTAATGTATCGCATCAAGGAGATTCAGAGAGAGGTTCTACGCCTGCTTCTACTCATTCAACTTCAGTGGATCCTCTATACAGTGTAACAGTATGTTTCTTTTGTTATTCTTATATCAAGTCTAAGACTCTCTTTCACAGATAGAAAATCCTTTGTAAGTTTCTACACAGTAAACTAACACTCATATTTGCTTACTTTTGACAGGTCCAACCTGATCAAGTATAGCCAGACAGAGGAACATTGGTGTGTATTTACAGTGCTACATTTTCTATACTGATACTCAGCCTCTCCAGCTCATCTTCTGCTGGTGCTTCTGCCTCTGCCTCATCTGCCTCAAAGCCTACCACGAATATAGCAAAAAAACCAGGACCTGGAGTATTTCAGCCTTCAAAAGCTTTCACCACATAGTGAGTTTTCATGTTACTCTCAAGGTTTTTGCACTAACCATTCATTTGAACAGCAATTACTGTGGTATAGAATGGCTGAAGGAAAATCCCAAGGGCACACATGAAGAATTCAAGGTGTATTTTGGGGCTTTTAGTAGCTACTTATATATGTGTGGACATGTGTTAGCCTTGAGGTGCTGACTGATATATGTGAGGTTACAGCATGGTGCTTGGTAAGTAGTCACATGACGGGATAAGATAAATATATAGATAAGAGCAAGTGATTAGATAAGGAGAGATAACTTATGTGGTAACAATGTCACGATCCTATCCAACACACACTGATATCTCTTCAATTGAACATCTTATCTATACTGATATATATTTCTCAGGCAGCTCAGGATACCGCTACCAAATAGGCACTATTTTTCATTACTCCTCGTCTGTCTTCTCCTCATCTGTATTCTGCTCATTATACATGTATCCTCTGTAATGCTGTTTACATTGTTCTCACTCTGTGTTTTTTATATTGAAACAAATAGAATTATATTGATATTCTCAATCTTTTACCCTGAGATATGTCTACAACAACATCTATATGATTCTATATGATTTTAATGCTATGAAGAATCTCTATCAAATTATATAGAAAAATTTTGTGAATACTGCCAAATTTCTATATAATTCAATACAGGCCGATGCAATTCTATATACGTCGATTTTTGATTCCAAATTCAGCTGACCTGTTGGTTTGTTGCATTGGTGCATCATTTTCACAAATTATACAGATTTATATAGAACAACTTTTCACTGGGCTTTAATGATTATCTTGATGCATGATTGCCTGTTTGGGTCTTGAAGTTGCAATTTCTCCTCGTTCTTCCATCTGCAGGTGCCTCAAGGCTTTGATCAACTCAGTAAGCACCTAGCATCATAAGGGTTTACCTGTTGACATTTTTTAGAAACTTTTGTGACCTTCCCAGCACAAGATCTGCCCCAATTTAGCCCTCTTTGCCTCAATTTTCGCACTTTTGGAGGTCAAGACCGTAGTGTCAGGTCTGTTTTTATCGCTACAGGTAAGATATTCACAAATTTATTTTACATTTAGGTTTGTTACATTATATTCTACCTCTGACAAATTTTTAGAGGGTTGTACAACGATTGTTGAGCCTGTAGAGGCTCAAGAGTATAAAGGGTCCAGATTGCAACGTCTGTCCAACGATAGTATGGAAACATCTTGAAGAATGAGGTTGCAGGAGGAAATTTGGAAAAGGTGGCTTGATAATAGTAAATTTATACAAATAAATTGCTCTCCGGGCACTCCTGGCCCCGTGGCGGAAGTTATACCATCATTTGTATATATTATATGGTAAGAATGTGGTACGAAGGCTTGAGGTGCAAGACATTTGGAATAATGATGATTTTTAAATTACAAGTGTTGAAGTAATGCACACTATACAACTCAAAGTAGGCATGGTTATCGTCATTGGTTCAATCAAAAAACTAACCAAGGGTTTCTACAGGACCTCACTAACACTCTTCTTCAAAATGCAACATGATACTTGGATCATCAAAGGGGCACTGCAAGATGAATGGTTTGATTGCATTGTTTATGTGTTCTTGAGACAACTCATTTTCATTCAAGTTCATTGGTGTTAATTGGAAGCAAGGGAAGTATGGGGTGTTGAGAGGTGTATACTGTTCCTGCACATAAAGATGTGTGTCTGTGGTACTATGAGGTTCGATGAAAAGAGATGGCACTCACGTGCCAAGTGCGGATGGTCGGTACGAATCACTGGGGCCAAAAGTAGTGTCAATAGCTGGTTCTGAGACCTGGTTCCCTATAGGCTCGTACCCAGCCAGATCACTGGGTTTAATTTCGGTTACTAGCCGAAATTATCTTCGAGCACACCCAGTGAACGGCTGGGACCGCTCATCGCCATTTTGTGAGGAGGATAAATTCCTCACCAAAGATGAGGTGGGGACTTAATCGTAGGGACTCGAAAGCCATAAAAATTTTCCCCCCAAGTTACTATACAAAAAGGCAATTTTGTAACTCGTAGAACACATTGAATATAGGAAATTTTTGCGACTTTTTTTGCAAGTGAACTTTGCCAGAAAATGGTAGTGACAGCGATGACAACCTCACCTCAAATTTTTCCAAAAAATAACTATTAACAAAAAGTGATCTACTGGTTACAAAAATGCTTTTTTGTATACTAAGTTTTTGACATTTGTTTCTGACTTCTGAGTCCCTACGACAAAGTCCCCACCTCATCTTTGGTGAGGAATTCATCCTCCTCACAAAATGGCGACGAGCGGTCCCAGCCTGCTCGCAAATTCATATCGGCAAATATGATAAGCGCGAGCTAGCCGAGCAGGTTGGGGACGAGCCTAGGTAACCTACGGTACCAGGAACAAATAAATATTGTTTACCAGTCACAAACAAACCTAAAAGTGACCTTGTCACAATCCGTACCCCAGGGCCCCAGTACTACTCGTTGCTGGCACAACAACCTTTATAAATTTTGTTGTAGTACTAGTAACTAGCAACATAATGTAAATAGTACCGTATCAAACAACCAAATTTCCATGGCTATCAACATACTAGTATTGTTGATGAACAGGTTGGTCACCAGTCTCGTCGAGGCATAAGGGTCCGGAACATAACGTTAAATAACTACATGCATGATGCATGGAAGCGAAGTACGATTCCTATAGTATCATTTACCTCGTGTGGCAAGGATTGTGTGGTATACATTAGTGTCTGTAATAATCATGAATTTTGTGGATAGACCAGCTCCATGTAAGCGTTAACCGTTCCAAAGACCCAAAAACCGAGATGAAATCGCTCAAACAACAGTATTGTTCTGCTGAGCTTTCCTGTCACGCTTCTTCTGCTCCTTCTCCTCTCTCCTCTGCCTTTCTCGCCTGTCTTCGTCAACAGGTCGCCAGTCGCCGAGCATGCCAGTGTCGAATCTCTCCCTTACATTCAAACCCAGTATTAACGCAAGAGCCACCCATTCGTTCAACATGTGGAAGATGTAGAACTCTGCTTTCTCGGAAGGAGTGTTGAGAGATCCCTGGGACATGGATGTTAACGATGTCGTAGTGTTGTACATGACTGCAAGGCGGTATATGGCAGATGAAGACTAATACATAGATGAACATTTAGTGAATAGCCGATCAAGCTGCCAAGGTATGATCAACTTACCAAAAGCGCACAGATTGAGAGAAGTAGCAAGGCAGGGCTTGTCCTCACTCTTGGAATCGTTTTCATAGCCCACATAGTCATCGAAACGACGACAAGGATGAGAAACAAAGCGACTGCAGTGCTTACATATCTAAAAATGGATTTACTTTAGCACAGTACATTCTATTCATAGAGCATATAGCCTTGCCTTAGTCGCATAACTTCTTGCGAGGTACTTGCACTGTCTAATACTCCGCGATAATGCGCATTCCCGATAATTCCAGGGATGGTTGCGACGAGAAATGTCAGCTTTGTCACGTCGATGAAACGACGATAAAAATTTCGCCTCCTTGGCTGATCTCCCTGAAATACACCATCCAGAACATGAAATGATGTACTCGGTGAAGGTTTCCACACCGACGAAGTAGAGCCAACAATATCAGAAGAGGAACTTGGCGTATCTGGGTGATTCGTTGGTCCCAGCGTAGAGTTAACAAGAAGACACCGGAGGAGATTCATGACGTCTTGCATGATGCCAATGAATCCCAAACCGATGGTAACTTGCATGTAAGCTGCGATAGTTATTGACTCCCTCTTTGAAGAACTATGGGCCTGCACGGCTCTGAGAGAGAATATAACGAGCCTTGTTCGCCGAAACATGCGGATGAGCAGCCGCATGGCATGTCATACATTCAAATTCACGTACCTCTCGATGGCAAATACAGTTGATCCCACTAGCAAGACAGTGCGAGACCGCTTGTCCGCGATTCGATAGGCCGCCACGGGAAGGAGTAAGCCATATAGCACGGCAAACAGGACAGACGGCGCGAAATCGGAAGGAAAGGGGACACCACCGACAGGTGAAGGAAATGCAATGTTAGAAGCCATCGTAACTGTGTACGCTCGCTTTAGGTTTCTTGAAAGGACGTACACTCGCTGGAGTATCAAGAAAAAGAGGAAAGAAAACACCAAGAGACGGGGTTTCCGAATCATTTAAGTGGTGCTAGAGGAAGAGCGCAGGCCCATTGAACGCTGCGCTGTGCTGCGCGTGGCCTGTTGCTTGTAAGTGTGCTGTTCTATGCATGGCACGCTCATTGGGTGTGTTTTTGAGTCAACCAGAAGGTGAAAGGCAGCCTCGTGAACGTGTTTAGTTGCCAAATCAGTCATGGCTGTGCTCCCGGCCATTCACAGCCGCCACACTCATCTCTTTTTCTTTCACCACCAGGACACCGTCCTCAGAAAGAAATGAAGGGTCTTGCGTTGAGATACTCGCCTCTTAGAGTGCTTCAGCCTTTAGAAATCATGCTCAAATCTTGAAGCTCTTTCTCCGAGATCACCTCAATATTCCGGAGTCCAACGTATCTTCGCCGCGGCAACTCCGGGACCTCCCTCTTGTTTTGCTCTATCCTCTTTTTGATCTCCTCAAATTCGTGGTCCTCTGGATTGAAGATACCGACGTGGCCTCAGGGTTGACTAGCTACAGTATATATGTCCTGTCAATTTTGCACTGGCTCATATCCTCGCTCTGCCTCGCGTCTACGTGTACTCCAGTGAGCCCAATGGTTCAAAACGGCATTTTATTTTCATATTCGCGTTCATGGGGCACATCATGTACCCCCACTTTCACCACGCATTCAATTTTCGACGTCTCTCGCAATGTCTCCAACAATACAAAGTTCAATATTACTCATCGAACGTACGTTACTATTATCCCCTCTTTTTAACTTGGAAATATTGACCCATTTCCGCGGTCTCGGGGTATGTTTACGTATATGCAAGCGAAACTCAAGATGAGTCTTGTCCCAACCGTACGCTTCCTCATCACTGATTGTGGGCGAACTTGATTGATGCTAGAACTCACGGCAGGCAAATGCATCCAGCCAGCGGCGACAAGGTGAAGCTTGTCGCACTTCTTGTCACCCCAGGTGACCGCCCAAAAATGAATGATTGCACCTTCATCTGACCGAAATTGGTCTTCAAAAGTATGTTGGAGGAAGTTTTGGAAACCCAAATGGGATTAGCTCAGACTTTTGAATTGCGCTTAGCCATAAAACTATCAAGCGAGTTCGACCATTTTGCAGATGCGGCCTTGTATTCATTTACGTTCAAAGGGACGAAAAAATGGTTACGATAGGCTAGTAGGTGAAGCCTGCTTATAGATATCTAAACTGGGTTTGGCTGGAGCACAAATGGTCAGCAAAGATTGGGTAATGTTGAGGAATAACACTGAACCTGCGGCAAGAACGGGGTGTGTCACATACATAATCTTCACGAGCGGGCACTAACCAATTGCAATCATGTGCTGTTCAATTTCTGTTGAGACTATCTCAAGACGGTATGGGCGAATTTTAAACGATTTCAGAGACTGATTGCAATACTTAAGTACGCCCAAGGACTGGGCTCCATAAATGCTTGTGACTACATGGTACCAGGTCCAATAATAATTTTCACCAATATAGTGCCAGATAGTCAGATAGTGCCATGTTTGACATTTGCTCCCGCGAAACAAGGACCGCAAAAATCGGAAAATTCCTTTTGTGGCACGTAGTAGTAGTGCAATACCACTACGATGACTGGAGCCCTACTACGCTGCTTTCGCTTTGGTGATCTTTAAACTCGAAAGAACTACAGTACTGTTGCTAATACATGATCTATCAGCGAAGGGTCACGATAATCCTGAATCTGTAGTTGTAATCGCTTACGACGTCAAGCGGGTCAACTTCAGTTACTGATCGAAAAAGCCCTGAATCTGGATACAAAGTTTGGATCGCGATCGTATCTACGGCTCACATGCATGCTACTACTATAGCACACCGGAATGTCAGCATCTTATCTAAATTATACTGAGTATGGCTCTGACAGCTGACAGCGGTCGATTTCATCCAAGAACGCAGGGAACGCCATCTGTAGAAGTAATAGGCTCAAATTTTAGGTCAAGTCCATACTAATCCACAAAATCCCATAGCTCTAAAAAATTTTGACCGTGATACTAGGCCGACTTGCGGCATTCTTTTGAATCACACTCCCTACTTTGTTTTTCTCTCACCAGTACTATGTCATCGTTATTTTATACCAGCAAACGGGGCCGTTAACACCCATTTTGGTGGAATCGCCGCATTGATGCGGCGAAGTCTTGAGCCTGAGGAGTGAGGTACTGTTTGTGTTACGTTTGACATTACTATATGTTTCCCAGCCGTCTGACGATCTTCTTCAGATGAAACGCGCAAACGTATATTTATCGCTAAGACAACTTCATAGATTGAAGAACAAAATTTTTATGCGATTATAATATGACATGACTACTACCTTCAAATCAGGCGAATCGTCGAAAGCGTATAAAGTAAGCGTAGCCAACTACATATACCTATCACACAGATCGCAGACAAAAACTTCGCAACTGTTAACTATGCTCGTCAATCCTCGTATCATCTTCAATGAGATCCCAGTTGGCTTGCCTGACACCAACACCCTGGTCGTCGACAATTCGCAAAGCATGGATCTCGAAAGCGTTCCAGTGCAAGGCGGAGTCCTTGTCAAGACTCTCGCTTTGAGCTTGGATCCGTACATGCGCAATCGCATGAGGCCAGTCGACGTGCCAGGGGATATGCCCGCCCTCCCTCTGGGAGAAACGTACGTCCTCATGATGACTCTTTGAGCCACTCGTATGGTGATACCGTCTCCGTTTAGCGTCACAGGCTTCGGTGTAGGGGTTGTTCTGCGATCTGAGACACCGTTGATAAAGGTGGGAGACCACGTATACGGATTTATGCGTGAGTTCGCCTTCCTCCCATGTGCATTGCCCGTCGTCTTGAGCTGATATGGTGTAAATTATGCAGCATACCAACAGTACATCGTTGTGCCTTCGATAGGCGCCAATTCTTTGGCTATGCAAGGGTTGGGACTGCAGGTACTCGAAAACAAGTACAACGTTCCATGGCGATACTATGTCGGGATCTTAGGCATGAGTGGCCAGACGGCATACTATGGCCTTAAAGACATCACTAATCCCAAGCCGGTTGGTTCTTTCCGTATACTGTCGTTTGGACAGATTTATCAACTATCTCGCTGTAGGGAGAGACACTATTTGTTTCCGCTGCTTCGGGAGCTGTTGGCCAGTAAGTGTTCTTCGACGGTGGGGCTCGTAAACATATTAATATTCATATTCCCGCAGTTTCGTCGTACAACTTGCCAAAGCACAAGGCCTGAAAGTTATCGCGTCCTGCGGGAGCGATGAGAAAGTCAAGCTCGTCCAAGGTCTTGGCGCTGACCACGTGTTCAACTATAAAACGGCGAACACAATGGAAGAGCTGAAGCGGCATGGACCGATTGACGTGTACTTTGACAATGTGGGAGGAGCGACTCTTGAGGCTGCCATAGAGAATGCTGCGCAGAAGGCTCGGTTTGTGCTCTGTGGAATGGTAAGTCAGTATAATACGGATATGAAGAAGGCATACGGGATTCGCGTGAGTGTCTTCTTGCTCCCAACTGCATGACGGCTTGGTTGACATTATATTTAACGCAGAACCTATGGCTTCTGAGTCGGTACAGAGTGAAGTAAGTCGTTGATTTTGTCGTCGTCGGAAATTTTTGAGAGCTTATGCGTTTACAGGATGGAGGGTCTTATCATGACTGACTGGGTCGACAAGTATCTCGATGAATTCCTCGAAGTCGTGCCAAGGGATCTCGCATCAGGCAAGCTGAAATATCTTGAGCACGTCTACCATGGGATGGATAAGGTCGGGCAAGCGTTCGTGGATCTCTTTACTGGGGGAAATGTTGGAAAGTCCGTAATTGTTCTGGAAGAGGAGGACGCCCATTAGCTCCGCGTGTGGTGGTGACGAGTCTGGTTCAGGAACCTGGGTGTACTAGTATATCCAACGCGCTCGATGACGAGAAGAGCAAACAAAATGCGCACCACAGGATCACACATGACTTGGGGCGTCATGTCATTGCAACGCCTCTGATGTGGGTGCAGTGCTGGGAAGCATTTAATTCAAATTGTATGAATTGTTCGCAGTCGAGTCTGTGTATGTATACCAAGTCGCAATATATTTGTCTAGTTATGCTAATTTGTTGTGCTGGAGCTGTGCATGCCCCGCACTTATGGACTGAGTGTGAATTGCCGTGACTTATGGGGCTCACTGAACAGGATGCACCCGGTCCGGGGTGCCTTGCCAATAACGGCTTACCAAACTGGGATGGAAGTACGTCATAACCAGACATTTATTCGCGTCCGAGTAGACTCCTATAACGTCATATGCAGTATCTGGTTTGCTTTAAAGGCTCTCGCTGTGGCTTGATCCTGTGCAATCTGCATAACTGCGCAGTCTCTTCCTCAAAATAAAAACCTGCAAGTCCTTTCCATGTCTTTCCCCTCATTATATCTGACCATCACACCAGCTCAGTAACGCTAACGAGCCCCTAAACTAATCATGGCTGCCACTGGTGCACTCCCTGGCCTTTTCTTCTGCTTCGCTGCTATGGTTCTTCTTATATTCGTATGTTTTTTTTGTGGTCTTTCGTTCGATTCACTACAATATCTAATCTTACTCTCTAGGTCTCTGTTTCTGCACCTGTATGGGATCGCATATCGTTTCTAAATACGAATGTGGGCGGAAGCTCTCTGCAATTTGGTGTGTTCGGTTACACCGGTTCACAGAGAACAGTAGGATACTATTTTCCTACGAAGTATGTGGATTTTCTCCCTCTGGTCTCGTTTAGTCGCTAATCACCTGTGAACTCAGCAACTCTCAAATAAACACGAATGTCATCCACAACCTGACCTACGTCCTCATCCTATATCCCGTAGCAGCGGGACTCTCAGGCCTCTCAGTCCTTTTTGGCATATGCGGAGCATCTTATCACAGAGCAGGCACCGTATTCATGTCTCTCCTAGCCGCGCTAGCAACCCTATGCACCCTCGTCGCATGGGTCATCTCAATGGCACTCTTTGGAATTGTTCGCGAGCGTCTGCGAGGTGATGGCATACAAGCCAACTGGGGAAATGCCAACTGGCTTGCACTTGGTGCTCTCGTCTCGCTGCTTGTTGGGTTCTGCGCTTCCATTTGTGGGGTCTTTGGCAATTACAGGAGGAAGAGAACTTTCTAGAAGGCTAGCAGGTTGACAGGCTTGGTTTCAAGTTACTTGGACCAAACGATAACTTTACGAATGGATTTCACGAATTTGAACGACGCTTTTTTTGCTCCTGCCCAGCTGTATCAACACCTGCCTTGTATCGCTGCTTTCGTTTTGGACTTGGCCTGACTGGCATATCTTATTAGGAAATTTCGTTCATTTTAAGATACCCTTTGGATGTTGACTTATGTTTTTTACGATCTGTCCCGTGTATTTATCTTATAGTCCATAAACTAGCTAGCTATAAATCAATTATTGCTGTTCGTCATGCTCTTGATGTGAATTTTGTTCCCTGTACAGAGTGATTTGCCTTGAAAAGTGATGGCCTTGGTGATGGCACTGATAGAACCGAGATATGTCCGAAGGTCGGACAAGCGTCGGACAAAGTTCATGTTGACTCAATTACAAAGCCTTCGATGTCTTGACGTTCCTTTTTCAAGTTTCATAAATTTCATTACTAGCTGCTACTACACGATGCACTGGACTTAAATGAAATCGTGGTTTAACCTCTGTATTGGCGTCGTGACAACATGAAGGACATAAAAATCACTATGGTCACCCTCGTCGTCATCTGGCCCAAATTGCACTTGGCTACGTCTTCAACAGAATAATTCATTACTTTTCATATTTTGTTCGGGGTCTACTAATGCATAACCAACCTGCTGTCTCATCAAGAAATCCACCGAACTCGGCAAGCGTCTTCCAAAGTGGGCGGGTTTGTATGCTAGTACTTGATGTGATGATTGTGAAAAGTTGCGTGGGCATAATATGCGTTATCTGTGCGTTGTTTCCGGTACGTATAATCTGTTTTTATATCAGATAGGCACGAGGTTCGGTGTTCACGTCTGAGACTTACCAGCATGTTCTTAGCAGTATAGGACACGTTCCGTCTACATGCGAGGGCAGCAAACAACGTGAGACTGCAAGACGATAGGTGATCATTACTCCAGGAATTTTCGTGAGTCACTTTTCCAACGTATCGTCTTATTCAGACGCATATATGCGACTGGGAAGAAGAACATCATCGATGGCTATCCTTTGTCCTCCTCTGTTGAGAGAGTTTGCTAATCGAAACAAGGAGGAAATTTGTGGTGATAACAGTTTCATATAACAGGTAATAAATCTGAACAGGTTCAAATTTTCCATCCTTATGCTACTCTGAATGGGGGTAACCTTCACAGTCTTCTTCATCCGAGTTCGAATTAACTGCAAATAGATTGCACTCCCTTAATTTCACGCAACGTAGGGAACATATGATACATGTTGGGCACTTACCAGCAGTGCAATCTTCTTGGTTTAGCATCTGATTTTTGTAAAGCCCCTCCGGCGGAGGTCATTATCAAGGCAAGGCGTTGTGATGCGTCTAGTCTTCGTAGCGACCTTCACCGAAAGCAGCTCACGTCAATGCATCTGGTGAGAGTTACCATAAAGGTAAACAGTGATGAATTGACAATTGACTTGGGGCATCGGCTGTGCCCAAGGCTAAGTTCCGATCTGAAACTTTCAGCTGCGGTCGGGAATCTTGTTGAGTGAACACTATAAAAGCGAGGCATCACGTCCTGATATCGCACTTGATTCTCAAAACGTTGAAAGTGAGTAAAATTCTCCCGTCTGTCAACATCAGGTCAGTAATTGTATGCAATGTGTTTAACCCGCCATGCTTAAGTTGTGTTCGAAATAGATGGGCCCAAGTCTATGGATCTGGATGAGACCCTGTCAAACCCTACATGCCTGGTCGTACGTGAAGATGTGCAGCTGCCTATGAGAGCTCGAAGGTGGCTGTGGGATGTATTCGTACGTGAGCATTTACAGCGAATAGAAGTCTCTGACCGATGTGTTTATAACGTACTTAGGATCGTTCAGGGTAGGCTGTTATTCCTGCATAGTTGAAGTACAACTGCAATTGCATCGCGTCGGTTGAATGGGCTTTGGTGAATAGGTCAATCTTTTGTGAGGCAGCAGGCACCGGCTGGCTGAGGAATCGAGATCGTGCCTCGAATCCTGGTCCTACACACTCCTGCAATTCACAATCCGGGAATGATATGTCGTCCTTAAGCTAAGCTTTATGTCACCAACTGAACGCGTTACGCTGACGGTGGCTTCGTTACGCTTTCCGTTCGTGTTCCAAGAGACGAGCCGTTTGTGATTGTCCAAAGGTATCCTTCAACGACATTACCCGTTAACACGACGAAAACTCGCATGTTTACAAGCAGAATGAGGTTGTTCTGTCGAGGCCTGGTCGTCCTACAAAATTGAATTTCAGCGCAGGAGATACTGTGAGTGAAGCGGGGCTTCTCCGCGCGAGCGTGCTTTCAGGGTCAAAGCTTGGTGGCCACCATCCACAGCTCCGGTGATTTGCGTATGTCCACAGTTCTTTGCGCTTTGCTTCTTGGAAAGTGAGACAACCCCCTCCAGTTCTCTGGTGGCCATGTCCATGGTTTAAATTTAGCCTTTGTCCACAACTCCTGAACGTCCTGGAAGGTATAAAAGCCATCCCTCATCCCCTCATCCTCCTTTCCTTCCAACACTATCATCACTTTGCATCACGCGTATTTAACGCAAATTCATTAACCTCTACTCTATTCAATATCATCTCATCTGATACTCAATGGATCAAGTCCGCAAGATCTTTGGAAAGTAAGTCTCTCCCTTGTTTGTTTCTTTTCATGATCATCATGCTAACCGTTTTTCTTTACAGGTCTCCTATGAATCCACGGAAGGCTTCCCTTAAGCACGCGCGCTCCATGCCATTCCACAACTCTTCTTCTTACCAAGGCCGGCCCGTTGTGCAAGAAGAAGTGCCCCGACTCGTCTATCGTGGCAAGCGCCCGCTCCAGAAAAGCGACATCGTCTATGTAGAAGGGGTTATGAACGGTCCTCAACCAGATGATTTCATAGATTTCCCAGATTTCCCAGCTGACTACTATACCCGTAACATCATCGACCGCTTTCCTGTACCCCCCACTTCCACTCCCGATGCCACCCCTATGCCATCCTCTGGCCGCGACTCGCCCGTTACCCGCGACGTCGAATTAGGGTACGCCGTTGATGAGGATGAGGGAGTTGATCAGAATCAGTATGCGGGGAAGCAGCGCTCTATGCAAAAGCCGTCGTCTGTTTCGTGTTTCTCTCGACCTACCGCCAGCGCGTACCCCTCCCTCGCTCAGAGAGGAACAGATGCTAGAGGCTATGTGCGTACTCCTGCACCCAGAGGCCCTCGCGATTCCCCCAGCGCCAGCAGTCGCCAGCGAGCTCGCACTCAGTCGCACAATGTGAGGTCCACAGTCTCTCAGTCAGAGCAGCCCACCGCATACCCAAAGTCCAAAGCCCCCCGCCCCCAACTGCGCCCCTCACCCTCTGTCTCCGTGTTAAAACACTCGGCGTCCGTTAACATCCCGCAAGCATCACCCGCAAAGTCGTTCCCCCGCTCCACGTCTGTGACAGTCCCTGCAACACCAGCGACGCGCACTCGTAAGGTGAATGATATGCCTGGTCACCCTCACGTTTACGGCTCGATCACCGGCCGTTCCATCGATGCTTGCACTAACGGCAGGGATATTCGATACCACGATGCTACTGGGGTGTATGCGCAGGGGATGACGGCAGAGTATGGCGAAGATTGGGAAAAGGCGCAGATCAAAGAAGCAAGGAGGAGGAGAGCGACGAGCACTAGGAGCCGTCGCAGTGACAAGGCTAGTGCAAGGCACTGATACGATGTTTAGAAAGGTTTTAGAAGGTTTTAGAAGGGTTTGGGAAGAGTTTAGGAAGGCTTTAGGAGCAGCCAGTCTATTGCAAGGCACTGACTAGGCGATGGATCGGGAAGGGTTTAGGAAGGGTTTCATTCTGTTTCGTTCATTTTCTGCATTTTTCATGTAATCTCGCAATCATGTATGTTTCGATATGACCTTATGGTTTATGCAATACAGCGCTCCCAATATAATATCCAATTGTGCTGTCGTCAATGAAATACATTGCTACTGAGTTTCTACCAAATCCGCTTGACCATAGTAAAACGTGTGAGATCCTCCAACTCGACCCTTTTCTTACCACCGTCTGCTTTCTCTCTACCGTTGCCATTCTTAGGCCCCCTTGCTTCTCCCATCTCTCCAACTACAGCGGCGTTATCCCGCCAATCGTCTACCATCTTCTTCAACTGCTTATTATATTCCTTCTCCTCTCGCCCTTCTCCAATTGGATCGCGTCCAAAATCGTTCACTACGTCTGCCGCAGCCCGTGCTTCCATCCCAGCGCGTCTTCGGTTTGCATAAGAGATAAGATTCACCCCCAAGAGTATTTTTACCGCAAGAAAACTGGTAAGAATGTTAGAAATGTGAGCTTTATTGTAAGGAAATCTATTCGAGTGACAACTGACCAAAGCCAAAAAGCTACACCCATCACCGCCCACTTGGCCAGATGAACGATCTCTTCGCTTGACAAGGCTCTTACGGTTTCGAGATTCCATTCCTCGTAAGTAAAATCAAAGTCAAGGGAGAAAACGAGGTTGAGAGATTGGAGACCGATGATGATGGCGAGGACTGCGAGGGGGAGGGATGCGAATCCAAGTCGACGAGCTACTAGGGGAGATTGATCAACGTAAGCGTGCTGCGCGTTTTAAGTGAGTACCAGCGAGTGAGCAAGCTATCATGGCAGATAGTAAGTTGGGGTAAATGACCTTGCGAGCGCCCAATCTGCCAGCGGCGCTACCACTCGCCAGATCCCGACATAGGACGTCTGTGTATCTTTCGTATACAGACGGCCGGATGTGATTGAACTTGGTGATGAACGCATGTTTGAGCCAATCGACAAGCATCTCTGACGCCATCACGGTGAGTACAGGCTGAAATATTATGATAAGCCAGTGAGAGAAAACTGATAGTAAGATGTGTTTACGTACATACGAGATCGTCCAAAGGACGTTATTTCCACGGAACCATCCAAAACTCTTTGGAAGGGAAAAACCATCCGTAAAGTCAAACTCGGATCCGCTCAGCTCAATAAGGTTCCGAAACGCGACAACGAAGAGCATGAGCGTGAGCGTGAAGCGCTCTACGATGTCTGCACAGGTGATCTGAAAGAGATTATCCTTCTCAAATTTCTTGAACACGCTGCCCTTTATCTCGACAAACTGATTAGACATGAGGAGAGTGAGGAGCGCGTGGTCGTAAGAGTTGACGGCGACGTTTAGGGAGAGAAGCTGGTAGACCATGACCAGTGCGTGAGCAACTACAGTGGGTTCGATTTAGCGTGTCAGGAGAAACTATAGCGGTGAAGAATATACTCAACCTGTGTACAAGACTGCGAGTGCAAAGAAGAAGAAAGGTCTAAGAGTATGGGACGTCACGGGAAGTCTGTGTGTGAGCACCTCCAGGGTGGACCGTGAAAATAAGCAATCAAGGATGTCTTGACCTATGGACGCACACAGCCGGTCGGCGATCTGACAGATCAGAGAAGAACACAAAAGAACAATCGACATATTTATTCAGATACTCGAAGAACAGGTAAATAGTAGAATTGCCTACTTCAAGCGCGTTGAAGATGACATATAGTTTGATAGTATCTTGCCCACGGATAGAGTGGTAGATCTTGCTTGCATCCGTTAGTGGAAGGAGAATCGTGACGGAGACTAACAAGAGCAACATGCGCATAATGTCGGCTTTTTGAGAGGGAGGAAGGTGTGACTTGGAAAATGTAACAAGGTTTGCAGCGAAACGGAATGCGGCGAGTGCGAATCTAATAGGTAATATGGTGAAAGTGTACAGGAATGAGTCTAAACATAGGATGAAGCCAAAACCTATTATCTGAGGGCTTGCACTCAGGATCGAGTCGTGACTTGAACGGAGAGATGGGACATACCTTTTCTATAGCCAGAGGAATACTCAAAAAATTGCTGACCCGTTCCCATTTGAGTTCCTGATGTGAATCGAAATCTGTAGCCAAAAGCTCTTCTCGAAGATAGTCCCATAGCGAAAACAAAGGTTGATGAGGCTCTGCGGCTGGAGGGGGCGGTACTCGATTGTGGGGAGGTGGAGACGCAGGTGGAGAGGGTAGGATAGGTGTAGGGGGTAGAGACGCGTATATCAATGGCCTACTCCTCTCTAGAGAGATGCTATGGTCTCTTGATTTGATTGAATGTCGATCACATCCACGATGCCTGTCCATAACGTCATCCTCGATGTCAGAGCTGTCTCTTGGAGCATTGCTAGAAGCACGGGCGTCGGGAGAGAATGAGCGCTGACGGCGACCACGAAACATGGCAATATTGGATGGCGCCGAGGGGATTGGCGAAAACTGTCCGTTCCATGTTCCACCTATGGACGTCGAGGAGAAACGCCTTCTTGTACGGGAACGTCGTGGTGATGTTGGCATGAGATATGTGCGTCCTTGTAATGGGATACAGGCCCGTAACGATAGCTATGAATTGAAATCTAATGGTCAATTAAGTATTAGTGATAGTAAGCTGTAGTAACTGGTCAAGCCTGGTCTTCCCTACAGCGCAGTCACCGCTGCAGTTTCCCACGGCTTCCTAATAAGCTTTGCCAGTGACCAGCGGGTGCAAGTATCAATAGCAGCTCCAGAAGACGAGGTCTGGGTTATCTATAATTGTTTCAATATTCATGCTTAACATGAGACATAGTGGAACCAGCCGAAGGGCAGTAATTCCGATTCAGCAATGAACTCACTTCAAGCTTTCGAGCAAGTTCTCGACGACAGAGAATCGTTGCTCTCCACCGACAATATGCACCTGCTACGATCACATGCGAGTCAAACCACAAACGGCTCTTTTATATTTTCTAAGCACATTTTATCACTAGCTTCATGATATCAATCTGTCCACCAACCCGAACCTACATCAGAAGAGCCACAGTGAGTTTAATGCAGAGAATTGGCGGTGATCTCAAACAAATTATTCAGATTCAAGTCTTCCGGTCGAAATTCTGCATCAAATACTCTACACCTCAGATATCGCCACATTGACGACTCTGTCCACAGTGAATCGAACGTTTCAAGCAGTCTCAGAACAGGTTCTCTACCGTAACATCAAGATCTTGCCAACTCAAAAGACTATTCGCTGTCTTCAGACTCTCGCTGCCCGACCTTCCTTAGCAGGTCTGATTCGCTCATACGAAATTGATGATATCACAAAGGAAGGGGATGCTCTACCAGCATTCTACAAGTTGCTCTCTCGAGCCTTACACAACATGACCCGTCTCACAGACTTGACGATCCTCATTGAAGGACGCCATTCTGACATCCTCTTCGGATGTCCTTTCAATTTACGAACGTTAACGTCCTCGCTCTCATGGGATACTAACTTCACCAAGTGGATGCTAGAGCAACCCGATATCACTAATGCCATATTCTGCGGCCGCTATGTCGTCGGGTGCGCCCTCGAACCAACAGCGATCACAAAGCTCACTCGCATATCTGCGTCTCCCCTCATATTAGCCGCCGTTGTCCCAGGACGTCCGCTAGAAGAAGTAGAAGTATGCCTCGTTCACCCTGGGCTTTTCAACCAGAACCTCCTTTCGACCACTATGAAGATACTGTCATTTTCCACCGGGCCTTTGCACAGTTTGCGGGTCATCACTAACCTTGGAAACTCATCCCAGAACATCTTGGGTGCTCTTCGCACGGTTTCCACTACTTTATCTACATTAGATTCGTTCTTTCTGCATGCTGTCTCCGGCTCAATCACAAGCGTAAGTATCTTCTCATTACAACGCAGTTCTCTACACTCAAACTGAACTCTCAGGAAATTCTGGCTGGTTTTGAAGAGGTCGTTTCAAGTTTTCGATCCTTGAGTGCCATCACCATACTGTCCAAGGATACCGAAGATGCTTTGCATGACATGTCCACGATCTCCGGTCTCGCCGTGAAGTGGCGTGGTGCATGCAAGACGCTCCGGCGTGTTTCGTTTCCGAATGGAACATGGGTACACAATCAACGTTATGGATGGCTCACGCTCAATGACATGGAACGCCTTTTGATGGAGCGAGAAAAGGCGCTGCAAGAGCGCGAGGCGAAAGAGCGTGCGTTGTACGAGGAGCAGAGGGCGCTCGAGGACCAAGGGAGAAGATTGGAAACACAGATACGAAGCATTGGGGTCGATAGAGATGCTCTTTAAGGCTTTGAAGACTCTTGGTGGTTTTTCAACTGAACTCATATTCTAGGCATACTACTGATATTAATTGTCATGTTAGTAATTTGCTGGGGAGACTAGCATACTACAGGCTCTTCAGTCGACAAGGCCGAAACTGAGATCTGAATAGCGGGGTTGTACAGTAACAAATGCAAAAAGCGAAAATAGCTGAAGATGGCTCGAGAACAGAAGCGACAAGCACGAGGCATATAATTATAATTAAAACACATTATGGTGTACTACCACACGTAGGGTAAATTTTGTATTTATTGTATTTATAACTTTTTACCGTTTGACCACTCATGGCTTGGGGGGAATATTGAGACTTAATAAGAGCACTAACTCAGGCTAGGAAGTGCCCATTGGGTGTGCTGAACTGATATGAACCACCAAGCCCTCATGCATGGCATACACTTCTAAGTTGAACATCGAGACACTGATTGATAGCGCAACATTTGTGTATTTTGTATACAGTAGGTCTACAGTGCCATGCAACCCGAGCGGTCATGCGATATATTTTAACGCTGAAATGCTCACCACAGGTAAGGTGGCAACCAATCGATCAAGCCTAACCTGAAAGGTTTGCCAAATCCGCTGTAAAAGCTACAACACCTTCAATTACATATGTCCTAGTACGAAAGTCCTACTAAACTACACGTTTTCTGAACAAGATCTTTGCTTTCATATCTGGCGAATTGGCCGGACCGAATGTTACATTGGCTGGGCGCTGGCCATCCCTAAACTTGACATCGTACGTCACAACGACATGTGCTAGCATCGTTTTCAACTCAATTGCAGTGAAAAAACGTCCAGGACTACATGCAAGTTTGTGAATCAGTGATCAACTCTGGCATCATTTGGAACATACCAAGCACTTCTCCTGTGTCCAAAAGGTAGATACCCTGGATGAGTGGACGCCATCTGGTGCCAAGCTTGTTCTCCCTCCTGCTCCTCGTTGGAAAACCGAAAAGGGTCGAAAATGTCAGCATTTTTGTATATGTCACTGTCACGGTGTATAGGCATTGATGCAACAGAGACTGTACAACCAGCGGGTACGAAGGTTCCGTCGGAGAACGTGAAATCCTTCACAGCCTTGCGGAGCATAGATACTGCAGGGGACAACTCTGTCAACCAAAAGGTGTAGTCTGCCACAGAAGAGAGCTTACTGAAAGTAAGGCCATCAAACCTGAGCGTTTCCTTCAGGAAACTGTCCGCATCTTCGCTAATGCAGCTTTTGACCAGCCTTCTTCCTCTACAATGGCTTCGACTTCTTCGCGTAGTGGATTGATGTACTGAGGATGAGCAGCCAAATAGAACAATGCATGTGTAAAACCCTATGATGAAGCTCAATTTTTGCTACAACATCAACTTTGAAAGCGAACATACAATAGATGTCGTCTCCAGTGAAAAGTAAAAGTAAAAGATCAGTAAATAATATAACCGACGAACTCAAATGATAACGACGACATACATGGATTGCGCCTAAGTTAATTGATAACATGCGCTTGGTGAGACTCTCTGCTGAACGCTCTTCCCCTTGTGCCTCGTCCATAAGCCATGACAGCATGTCATTCTAGGAGACATGTCTCGTCAGAGCATGCCAATATTTATCGGTTCAAACATGACGTACCGGCTTGTCCTCCCAACCACTCCCATATTCATCCAGACACTTCTGGCGTTCCTCTATTATCGGCCGCAGATGCTTCATTCCACGCTGCACTGATTTAGGCAAGTTTGAAAGGAGTCTATTTACCAAACTATGTGTTCAGAGTCATTACAATGAGTATATTTCAGTGAGGTGCTGCTACGTACGGAGCCATGAAGTTAGGGAAAAAGTCGATTGTGATCGCCACCTTTACCACACTGAGGGCAAATCCGGAGGTCAAGTCATTCCAATCCGGCCTAATGGAAATAAGCTTGGGGCTGGAAAGATTAATGCAGTTACATAGAGGGAGGCCAACAAAGACTCGGTTGCTCGTTCGACACACGACTTGTACGATGGTCTCAAATGCAGGCACGCTTGTCCATTCTGCGCGGAGGAAACATTTGTTGGTTAAAAGAAGTATAGAAGAGAAACTGAAGAAAAATACCGTAGCCATTCAATTGGAGATGATCATCAAAGGAAGCCTGGATTTCATCCAGAATGTCCGGAAATTGAGCAGGTAAGTTACGAGTGAGCTGAGTTAGGATAATTGGGATATGATAAGGGTTGTGAATTATCGTATGGCCTATGGTATACCTGGGCTTCAAAATCTTTGAATGTAGCATATTAGCGTGATGATCTATTATTGACCACAGGCAAATGAAGATGTGCTACACACATCGCTGATTCTTTCACGAGCAGATATGTGATCTTCTGGGGCTCTCCGGAGCTCCTCAACGAGCTTGGGGCCACTCAGGAAGATATTCCAGCAGAATAAACCCGGAATCTTAAACGCCATGCCTTTATGCTACTTGGGTGCATTAGATGAAAGTTAGTCAGTTGAGGCGCTAAATTGAACTCGCCTTTGTGTATCCTTCTTGTAACATTTCGCGGGCATAAAAAATAAACTTCACAGCCGCCCAGTACGATGTGAGCAGACCACCAGGGCCAACTGATGGAATACTATCAACCTACGACGAGTCAATAAAATAGCCAGTAAAACCAGGAAGGCCAACTTGAAACATACATTAGGTCTCCTCATAAATTTGGATATGGCGATAGACAGAACAAGAGCAGTCACAAACGCGTAGGAGAAGGCTGAAATTACCTCCAACATCGTGTACCTTGGGTTGGAAAAGAATTGCAACTCACTACCTTTATAAAACCGGATGATGTATTTGACCATAAGAGTGCTCTCCGAGGCTTTGACATAAATGCCGTGAGTGTCATTGGAATCGCAAGTTGCACATTTGACTTTGAATGATATGATGGGCCCATCACTGATGAAGGTCGATGCATATACGTAAACTGGCCATGGAAAGTCGGGCACCGTCACCGTTATGATCAATGGAGTGTCCCTATCATACACTCGTACATGTGATGCCGTGATGAACTACTTGCTCTTTGGGCTTTCGCTGGCGGTTCAAAGTCGAGGCACGTATCGAGTATGCAAGCTGCGTGACGTTCATATGTATTTTGGGAATAAATCAACCAATCACCGGCTCGCTCCAGGCATTGACACCAAGAAATCGAGATGTAGTAGATATAACTGGTCTATCAATCCCGATCTGGATGCTGCGAATCCTCTTTCTTTACGGGTTGTCCAGCGAACCAGAGGTCCAGTGAATATGGCTGTACAACAACTGTCATGATCCGTATTCAAATATTAAAGTCAACACTTGCTGTTTATCCAACGAGTCTCACCTGCAGAACACAACGTTATATGCTGGTTGGAGCTTCAAGCGTGTGTTCAGCTTTGTAGCTTGAACCCGCAATGATTGATCTGATCCTTTGGTGTATCCGTAAATAAACACTATGCTCCGTGTACGTGCCTTGGACCCCCAGACCCCGGCACTCAAGGGTGTCCAATTCTGTCATCGCTTCGTCAACCGCTGATAGGAGGCGGGAGACCACTACGTATCCGCATGTTTGATTTGCTGTTACTTGGTTTCGTGGTGCCAGTGCCTCTCGACTGCGACAGCTCCTTTGGTTCATCTGTGAGAGTCAATTATGGGGCAACTCTGAACGGCGGCCATCGTCATTAATCTTGTTTCAGGTGCCAGCAACGATGAAGACTTTAAATAATGTCCTAGATTAAAGTGCTGTGACACTCCTGTAAGATTGGACGAGATTGTTGCCGTTGCTGAGACTCGAATCGAACTTTAACACGTTCGAAGATGGAAAGAATTATCATCCACAAGTTGTGAGGCCATCGATTGTCTGGTGCACTCAAGTTCGGTCTTTATAGTGCAGTAGATGTAGACAAATGCAATATGATTGGTTGCGTTTTGTTCAAGATGGTGAATGGTACCTGATCTGACAGCATATAATTATCAATGATAACGGACGTCTGACGTTCGATGGAATACACACATAATAAACGCCTTCCCGGCTCCCGCTTTCAAACTCGTCAACAAAATGAACGAGGGAGACATTGGTATATTTATGAATACCGGGTACATGCACCACGGTGCCTTCGCATTTCTGCTCTGCCTTATCCTCCATTATTCAGTCTCCAGCTCCTTCTCGCCGACTCAGATATATCGCTTTGTGTTTGACGAAAGGTGTAAGGGAGAGCGCCGGTGTGCGGATTCCTGACGTTCGTGAGTTGATTTGAAGCATCAGTATCGAAATAAAAGGTTAGGGAGAACCGGGGCTTGCAGAAATTACAGTGAACAGTTGGTGGCTGAGTGGTTTCAAGTTATTGCCGGTTTGTGGACCGTTGATTTTGAACTTGTTTACCTCTTCAAGATCGCCCAAACTCGGAGAGTCATGCTTGGAACAACGACAAGGTCCTCTACTACAACGAGCTATTCGATAACAACCTGAACTTGAAGCGATGAAAATGTGGCATGATAAACGTGCGAACTTGCCAAAGTCTGATACAACTTGAAAGCACAACTTTGCAAAATAACGCTCTCAGGTGTATGTTAGACCAAAATATTCAATCAAAACGTCCACACCCGGCCATTGATATTCCTCATCTGCACTTATCCCGGCCGTACGGAGAAAATCCTGAATCAGGCCTGAATACTCGGCGCTGGATGGTCGACGTCACCTCGCGAACGAAATCACGACGCAATGGACTGATCAGTGCAGTCCGTGTTAGCGTCTTAACTTGGTCTTTACTCAGGTAGTTCAAAATTTACCCCGCTCTTTCTCGGCGCTGGCTTACTTGTAATTTATGAACTAGATTTTGATGCGCCATCAAGCCAAGATCAAGCCGTGTACGACTGCCGAAGTCGAGCTGTTTCCGACCATAAACACATGATCTCGTCCTCTCAGGCGGTGTACTTTGAATTTTGACAGACTCTGCATGTAGAGATACTGTATGTGCTACGTATGTTGTCCTTGACCAGAAGGCGAATCCAAAATGCGATTCGTAAGCTCGAGCCTTAGTAAGTATGACAAGTAAACTATCAATGAAGACGATTAGGAATCCCTTTTGGTTCACCGTAAACACACATCACCCAAGCCAGGGGAGAGAATTCCGTATCAGGAGATAATGGAGATTGCCTGGCAGGTATTTAGCTTGAATTTACCATCATCATCATCATATTCACTAACTCTCTTCCCCAGTCCCCCCTTCCACTCGGAAATCTATTATCGCCATTCACAAGATGTCTTCTCAACGCGCTCTCTGGCTTCCTGAAGAAAAAGGAAAATATACCTTAGTTATGAAGGAAATACAGGAGCCAGGTCCTGGCGAGGTACTCGTCAAAATTCTTGCCACCACCCTCAACCCTCTCGATTGGAAAATCCAAGCTTATGGGTTCTTCATGGTGAAAAACTATCCCTCCATTCAGGGCCATGAAGCCGCTGGAGTGATCGCAAAGCTTGGCGAAGGCGTAACTAATGTTGCCAAAGGAGATAAAGTGTACGTTGCCTATTTTCTTGTAGGGTAGCCTGTTAATCTAAAGGAATGGGATAGGTTATTCCAAGGCTTCATGACGAATAGGCAAGCGACGTTTCAAGAATATACCATCGCATCCGCAGAACAAGTAGCATTAGTAAGATTGTCTCCATTTGTTTTACTTCAAGTTGCTCAACAGATGATTTCCAGGTGCCAGATAACGTCTCACTCGACCAGGCAGCTTCGATCCCTCTCGCTTTAGGGACAGCTGGCAATGCTCTGTATACACCCAAGCCAACTGGTTTCGGTCTCGTTCCGGTATGGGAGGAGGGAGGAAAGGGGAGATATAGCGGCCAGGCTATAATCATCATGGCAGGGGCGTCTGCAGTGGGGCAATTAGGTAGACCATCCTTGCACGCTCATTCAACCCTCCACTTTCTCACATTTCCATAGCTATTCAGCTCGCAAAACTGTCAGGATTTAGTCCCATCATTACCACTGCTTCCCCGCACAACACCACATTACTGAAATCCATTGGCGCTTCGCATGTAATCGACCGCCATCTCCCCTCCCTGTCACTTGCCCAGGAGGTGGCAAAGATCACGTCTAGCCCTGTGTCATTCGTTATAGACGCAGTGTCGTTGGAAGATACACAACAGGCGGGGTACAATCTTTTGGCCCCCGGCGGAGAAATGGCGGTCGTGCTCCCACCCACTGCCAAAGCTGTAGCGGGAGATAATAAGAGACTGTTCATGACATATGGAACATTCCTCACTCCTGAAAAACGAGAGTCTGGGGCACGTCTTTACAGTCAGTTGACACGGATGTTGGCAGAGGGTGATTTAGTAGTAAGTATTGCTTGCCCCTGGTTATCACCACATACAGCTGCTCATGGTCTTCCTTTTCTGTATAGCCTATTCCCATCGAAGTGCTTCCGAACGGATTCAATGGAATTTCTTCTGGTCTAGACAGGCTGCAGCACAATCTCGTTAGCGGGAAGAAATTGATTGTTCGCCCGGAGGAGACACCATAGATTTGAATAGCTTAAAATATTATCCATGCATATGCTGTTGTGATTAGTGTAACGATAGGAACGTTTTTGAGATTCGCATGAAAGATAGAAATATGGGACCTTGTTCCAGAAGCATGTATAAACCCCTCACCAATTGCAACGCTGCGGGACTAATTCAATACCGATATTAATAATGGGTGGTAGCGATGTCGTCGGATCGTGAGGCAAACAACACGACAAGGAGTCGATGCCAGCGTGAACTTCGCGAGGTTATCAGCTTATCGGTTGAGCAACACTCACACCTCGACTTCAATTCCAACAACCCGAATAGAATTCTTGGACTAACGAAAGACTATTCAAAAGTTCGGTTATGAGCCCATTAAAGGTGAATGTATTGAAAACTCGACAATGGTCTATTTGTAAAGCACCATAGGGAAGTATGCATTGGGATCATGTGGTGCATCGGGGGCCAACTCCGGCCTCCAGCGCTTGAATGCGGTGGGGAGCGTTGGAGGTAAATTGGACTCGTCGTAAACCTTTTTGGTCGAGGTGATAGTGGCTATAACAGCGGAAAGATCCAATGGTTCGGAGGATTTCGCAAGCAAATCAGACTTCTCGACGTTCTCCGCCTCTTTTCCTTCGGAAGGAGCAGGCACACTGTATCTTTATCTCTTAGCACAAGAAAAACACGATGCATTGCTGGCAGGATGATACGTACGCTTTCGCTTCTGATTGCTGGACCAACAAGGTAGCGAGCTGAGACTGGGTGACAACAGATAGCTGAGGATAAGCACGGCGGACATCTCGTTTCCAGTATGGGTTTTGAGCAGGATCCGAAGCTGTTCGAGAGCGTCAGTAGAGTGTTGATTAAAACTTGAATAATGGCGCTAAACCTTTTGTTGCGGGCGTAGAGTACTTCTCTGGCCTTGAGGCTGGCGGTGGCCACCGATTGATACCGGCAACAGGAATACCAGAAGAAATTTCGGGGTTCACGACGACGGCGTCACCTGAGACGAACAAGGCATGTTAGCAAGGACTTTGATGGTTATTTCTGAGATAAGACTCACGAAATTTCTTCCAGAATCCTTTTGGATGGACATGGTATAATGTGGACTCAGCTGCTTTCTTGGTAGCCATTTGGGATGGCAGACTGGAAGGCAAGTGAGAGTCAGGACCGTGGTGGCGTTGGAGCGGGATACCACGTGGTCGCGAGCGCGTCGTCGGGCGTTTACTCCGAACTTGAGACTTTTTCGCCCTTTCGTACTTCTTGCCCTTTATCGATTTCGATTAACTTAAAAAAAAAACAGGGACCCCCTTTTTGTCCTTGCGACAACAAGCATCTAAGCTTTTGTTAGTAAGTCATACTTTTAGGATGGCTTGGGTGCCATTTACGAGATCAGTACGTCTTCGAGGGTGAACTTTGTTTTGATCCATACATCAATCTCAAATTTCCAAGGGCCTCATGACCTTCGGAGCGCTCGAACCATCACTCAATGTATAATTACTACGCTTCGGAACAGTCTCGATAGATTTCTATGGCATGGTGAGCCGTCGCGTACGTGCACTATCTTCTGACACTTGTGCGCAAAATCACGCAATGCTGACGGACCCAGCCTCCGAGTCGCGACATCCTCCGTTTTCCCCTTGGACTTTACACCAAAAATAAGATTTCGAGACGCAATACGACAAATTGATGCCCACATTGCGATGCTGACGGATACAAGCACCCCAGTATAAAGTAGTGAGACTTTCCCCTCGATCTCCTACGTCTCCCCACAACCAGTACTCCGAAAGACTTCCCTCGCAGATATTTACCTCTTCTTACCTTCTTGCTTACATGGGTTTCTCTTTCCCCCCTCACCCTGCCGAACTGGTAAAGGTCTCTGCTTCCCTTGAGCGCGTGAACTCGTCCGTGCAAGAGAGAGACCCGCATGTCCTACCGGATTTTGATTCAAAAAGTCTCACAAAATCGACGTCGCCTGTGCTCTACTTACCCCCTCTTCTGTCGTCGCTCCCACATACACTACCTCCTGCGATTATTGTTCAGTCTGACTATCCCCCGCTCGTGACGGAAACACGCCTTCCCGACATAGACCCTGCATCGCTGTCTCTGCATAAAGCATTGCATCATTTTCATCCCGTTACTTCGCTATATGCAGAGACAGACTATGCGGACGCCTTCAATTGGTCAGAACTCGAGCTTCCGGAGAATGAAGAAAGAGATTGGTACTGTGTTGTCTTCCGGAGTAAACGAAAGGCAGACAGCGATGGTGGCCGTCAGTATATTCGCTTGCCTTTGCTTCGCTTCTTTATCTGAACTCGTTCCTATCACACAGCATTATACGACGCAGATAAGAAAGCACATGAAGAAGCCGTACTCAACGGAGGCGTAAATAACTCCTATTTGTATTGTCTTTGTTGTTCTGATAGTCCTTCCTGCAGTTGATCATGTATTGGTACGGTGCACCCGACCCAAATTCTGGCATGAACTTGGCAACATGTATCTGGCAATCTCGAAAACATGCCATTGCAGCAAACTCACGTCCACATCATCTTCGGGCAATGAAGCTCGCTGCTGCTTCATACGAAATCTATACCCTTGAGCGGTATAAACTACAAAAACTGCAGGGCGAAAAAGGAGTATCCATTCAACCGTTCGAGGGAGGTGAAGTTGGCTGGTAGTAAAGTTTCTTGGTTTCACCTTTTCGCATCTCGCATATTTTCTTGACGATACCAGCATTTAGCTATCATTGTTGTCGCACTTGCTTAGAGCTGCTTCCTTTCGGATGTCTTTTTTTTCTTCTTTCTCGGTCAATTTTTATACCTATTAGAGCAATAGCTTCATTTATCAAATCATCTATGTAATTTGTTTTCATCTCTTCGCAGGAGACGTAGTAGATGTAGTATACCGTGTTACGAGGCAGTCCAGGATTCTATGGTATCGTTCGAACATTGTGAACCCGTTTCCTCTATTTCTTCTGCACCTTGATTAAGATACTGGTGGTCGCGTTGTTTGCATAGTCTCGACGTGAAAGGTGACCTGTCAAGCACAAACTGAGAAGCGTGATAGCTCAAGGGGTGATTTTTTCTTGGCGTATAGGGTCCAGAAATTTCGATAGAACGAGGAGGGGTTGATACCAAATCAACGGGGATGATCTGTGAACCCCCAGATTCTATGCTCTCGGTCGTTGGAGATTTGCAAGCATTCTTCCGCACACAAATGATAAATTAGTTAGGGCAAACAGTATTGACGACATATAAAACAGACCCGGTCAAACTTCGCTGGTGATATTTGACTAGTAGTTTTGATCTCTGTGATCGCTTGATTTTCAAGGGTCTTTGAACTTGCAGACTTTGGAGAATCGCGTAGAGGAGATATAAATACCCCTGATGCTGGAGCAAATGACTTTACAGGTGACTGTACTTCCTGTGTAGAGGGGATATCGTCAAGACACTCTGGTTCCGGATTAATCAAAGGTTCAAGCTTCGCATGATCGTCACACGCAGGACTTTTACGGTAAACCTCTTGCGGAAACTCGGGGTATGCATTATAGTTGAGCATTGAAAGGTCAACAAGGTTTTCTCCACTTTCGTCCCAGTCGAGCTCTGAAGTTGCTGCCGATTGATAATATGCAACGTTAGTGCCTTCAAGATTGAGATCTGGTGTCGTCGTAGGCCGCAAAAGTCCTCCAATAGCAGTATTAGCTGGTAATTCATGATCCTGTTGTTCTTGCCTGAAAACGCCCTTTCTGCAGAATGGCTGCCAATGGAAATCAAGGCTTTTCACATCAAGATCGTAGTTGACAGGCTCAACAGCATCCGACAACACGGGGTCCTCTGTGGGAGAGTCAAAACATACTGGGCGGCTCTGAGAATAGATCGGCCCCGGAGCATTGAAGAAATTGGAATCTGCCGTCGTCTCCCGGACACTACTGGAGTCATCAGATAGCATGAAGTCAGATAAAGGGAGGGCATTATTTTCCTGTTCGGCGGAAACAGCCAATACTTCAGAGATAGCGAAGATAGGGGCTGAAGGAGGAAGTTTGAAGGGGAGCGTAGCACATGCAGGGCCAGGCTTGGAGAACGGAACCCATTCTGTGTTGATGTTTTCGATTTGTGTTGCATGTACTTCATGTAAATTCGGAATCAGCCGGGGTTCTGGAGTCGTCGATACGAAGGCGTCGAGTACAGGCGTCGAGTGTGGTAAAACGGTACTGAAGATTGGCTGCAGAGGGGCTTGGGCTGCAGCACTATGGTCCAGAACAAAAGTATCCGTCGGACGCGCTTCGCGTGGGCATTCTCTGGAATCCCTTTGAATTACAGAGGATGAGTAAGGAAATACTTCTCCGGCCTGCACGGGTAACTGATCAAAAGGAGAAAAAGAGAATATGTCATCATCTTCCTGACAAATCGTTGGAGGATCTTGGTCACGCTGCTCGAAGGGCGTATTCCGAGCACAGTGATCTTCTCGTTCACCGTGAGGTTGAAAAATCAGATTTCTCAAAGGATGGTCGCCGTGGAGAGTTAAAAATGTACAAGCCAGCCAATCAGGTAAAGGCTTTCTGCAGTGGTTGGGCGGTGCCTAAGAGCCAGAGAAAAGCACACTTCAGTGCTCGATCAAAGAGCATATAGTCTTACTGGTATAGAACCAGATGCACAAATACTACTTCCGGGACCGGATCCGCGGACCATTCTCCCATTGGTAATAGGTTTGTCGAGATTCGAAAAACTTGGAGATACCTTGCCTAACTTGAGGATTGTGAAATCGCTGCCTAGTCTACCTTCGCTTAGTCCACTATATGCGTCTACTGGGGTCTTGGGAGTGTCGTAACTGCTGACTGACGAAGAGCCAGAAGAGCGAGCTCTGCTACGAGGGGCAGTTGCTGTACGTCTGAATGAGCGCGTAGAGTTGAGCTGGTCTAGCATGCGATCAAATCGACGGTTAAGACCCATCGCCTTGCGACGCTTGGATGGCCGGAAATTGTTATCGTAAGCCCCTGTTCGATTGCAGCGATGAACAATCTTGAACAATCAGTTTAGATAAAATGAACGTACCCCTGATTACTTGTCCGTTGGACACGGTTGGAGAAATGCTGTAGAAATATGACGTTATCATGAGTTCAAGTTCGCGTAAATTAAAACCTCGTGCCCACCAAGCATGAGTGAAGTGTTCAAAACCAGATACAGATTCGGTGTCCTCGTTTGTAAAACCCAACGATAGACGAGCTGGCATGCTCAGGGCTTGCGTATAACGGCCGTAAAGGTGTTTTCTGGGGACGACCTGCGATAAGATTCCGAGCGGGGACCTTATATATGATCGAGGGATGCACGTGCCGACCACGTGAGCTAATGCGCCATACCGTGGTTCTTTGTGCAAAGAGGTGATCGACAACCGCGGATGTCGATAACTTTAAACGTTCCTCGAAGACTACCCCGACTTGCATAGAGATATTCATGAACACCTACCACAAAAATTGACAGGTGCGCCAAGAAGCTGCAAGCTGCGTGGTCTTATCTTTGCTGACTGACCCAGTGGATTATAAATGGCCGGTTTCGGCCGTCAGCGCGTCAGCATGGCCATATATATTGCTGTCACGAGGTTGGCCCGAATACCTATCACTGCTACCACGCACTGCACACGCCAGTTGGTTATCGTTTCGTTCTCTTTGAACACGTTCGCTCGATGAAGTCTCCGGAGATATCTGCCTTTGGGCCATCCGAGGGAACCATGCTGGGCAATATCAAGGATCGTATCTCTTCCGAAGAGACCCCCGGTCTTCCGCTTCACACCCATGATCACAAGCCTCAGTCGAACGCTCAAGCTAGGTTGTACACACTCTTCACATTGTGTATATTCGGGTTCCTTGGAAGGAGCGTATTTTGGACCACCCATCAAGTAGCTTATCAAGGCTCTGAAGAGAGCTTAACACCCTTATCCGGTTCGCTTCGGAATCCAGCATATCTCGTCAAAGCTGAACATGGCGCTGTTGCATCTGAAAATAGACGTTGCTCAGATATCGGTGTTGGTATCATGAAAGATGGAGGCAATGCTGTCGATGCAGCTATCAGTGCTGCTTTGTGTACTGGGGTGGTCAATATGTTTTCGTTAGTTCATTCTTTTTTTGTTTTACCGAAATTTCCTTGGCCTCAACACACTCATAGTTCGGGCATTGGAGGTGGTGGTTTTATGACTGTTCGTATACCACCACCTTCTCCTGGAGGATCTTCCGAAGTCTATGTAGTAGATTTTCGGGAGACAGCTCCTGCCTCGGCAAGTACAACAATGTATCGCAACAATCCAATGGGGGCTATGTTTGGCGGGTTGGCAAGTGGTGTTCCTGGCGAACTACGAGGCTTAGAGGAAGCTCACAAGCGCTGGGGGAGTCTACCATGGAGTCGACTTGTTCAACCGAGTGCAGACTTGGCACGCGAGTGGACCGTTGATCCAGAATTAGCTAACCGGATAAAGGTGATTAATGATTCGCCTTCTACGGAGTGCTTTTCTCAATACAAGCTAGATGTTTTCCCCTATTATGCTAGGCTACCCTGATTGGAAGGCAGTGTTCGCTCCGGAAGGCCATATCCTTCGCGAAGGGGATGCTATAAAACGAACCAACTTTTCGAAGACCCTTACGACTATAGCCTCAGAAGGTGCTCGCGCTTTTTATGAGGTGCATACAACCTAGTAATATTAACGGGTGGAACTTGCTCACGTTTAATATCACGCCCATTGCAGGGACCAATCGCTGACTCGATAATCCGAAAAGTGCAAGAAACGGGAGGTATCATGACACATGCAGATCTTGCCAATTATGCCGTCAAAGTATATCCGGCTTTGCAAGGTACTTATCGTGGCAAGAAGGTATACACGCCAGACGCGCCTACCTCCGGCCCCGTGCTATTGCATATGCTCAACTTAATGGAACACTATGATCTGATTGGCGACGGAAGGACGGGTTTGAACGTTCATCGACTCGTGGAGGTTTTGAAATGTATGTCGTAAATATCTCACACCATCTTCCGGCCTAATCCTATACCAATCACCGAAGTTGGGTTTGCTGCGCGGTGAGTAATTTCATTGGAGAACTGGATTGCGCTCAACAGATGCGTAGTACGAAGATTTGTGACCCAGCTTTTGACGACAAGAGCAGTGATCGCATAGGCAAGATTTCCACAAAGGAATTCGCTGACGAAATATCGACTAACATAACCGACGTAAGCTTGCTATATGCTACTGGCTGCGTACGCATGCTCAGAAACTTTACGCAGGATCGCACCCACCCCCCGGAATATTACAACCCCGAATTCGATGTCAAAGTTGATCATGGAACAGTATGCCTTGCTTTCCATCCTACCCAGTGGCTCGCTAATAGTATACTCCTCAGAGCCATACTTCCACAATCGACAAGGATGGCATGGCTGTCTCCTTGACGTCTACGGTGAACTTTGTCTTTGGGTCACTAGTACTTGATTCCGAAACCGGTATCATTCTCAACGATGAGGCGAGTAACTAGGCGGTGGAGCGTCCCCCAATAATCTGATTGAGTTACACATGCAGATGGACGATTTCTCAACACCTGGCATCGCGAATGGATTTGGACTGTGGCCCTCTCCTTGTGTGTGAATTCTGTCATTGTACCTCGAAATGTGCTTCTAGATCCTTCCTTTTCACACAGACAACTACCCAGAACCCGGTAAACGGCCCTTATCTTCCATGGTACCTACAATCGTCGAGAACGCCGACGGCTCATTTTATCTTTCTATTGGAGGCTCTGGAGGTTCCCAAATCTTCGGAGCAGTTTTCCAGACGATGTTGAACCTGGAATGGGGCATGGATGTAAGCGAAGCGATCGAGTATGGGAGGCTGCATGATCAATTGTACCCGTTGAGAGTAAACGTGGACAACATCTATCCCACAGAACTGGTCGATGCTCTTAAAGAGAGAGGACACAATGTGACTGGTAATTGGCAATCATTCCTTGCACCACATGACTGCGTGCTAAATTCGCATACGTACTAGTGGTTGACATCAACCGTGTGGCTGCTGTTGTTCAAGCTGTCGTCCGGCAAGACGGAACAATTTATGGTATGTTTGTGGTTGTATCCACGACGAATTATGGTTAATGTTATTCTATGCTGGACAGCTGCCAGTGATTCGAGAAAGAATGGTATAGCGTCAGGATACTAATTTAAACCTTGTATATTCTACATTACGCTGTAGCATATTCCAAATGGGTTTCCCTTGTTTTACTACTGGAGCAATGTGCATGATTACGATTACGATATGCAAACTCATGCGGGGCCCAAGGGTTTGGCGAGCTGTTTGCCGGCAGCCTCATTTTCAAACAATCGCAAATAAGGTCGTTCATCCACCAACTTGAATGATGTGTACTACAGTATACCGTGACACTACTTAGTACACTACAGCGTGTAGAGGCTGTCAAAGTGCGTATTTTTTGTGGTTGAACAGCATCATGGACAGCATAGACTGGGACCTCCTTTCCTCTTACGCTGGACTGCTCAGTCTTGCCAGCATATCCATATATGCTGGTGCTTTTGGATCCCTACCGGTGGGTCGACTTGTTCAACCTGATTCATGTTAAAATTATGACTAAATGTGCCACAGAAACGTCCACGTAAACCACTTTCTACGCCCAAGGTGCCCTTGCAGGAGGAAGATGATGAGGACGAAGATATTCCTGATCGCATGTCCTCAGGCGATGCGTGGCTTTTCCCATTAGTGAGTCATTTCAGCTTCTGCTGTACATTCCGAAACGCGCGAATTGAAACATCTGTCGGGGACAGGTCGGCTCTATTGCACTATTGGGGATGTATCTCATTGTCAAATATTTTGGAAAAGAATGGATCAATTGGTTCTTGGGATGGTATTTTTCCGTAGCTGGTGTAGGGAGCGTGTGGAAGGTAAATATATTTCGGTCAACATCAGAAAGACAACGCTTACCTCATGTAATTTAGTCTCTTGTTTCTTTCACCAGGTTTGTGGTTGGTAATGACCGGTGGAAAAAATTTGACCGAAATCGCATCATGATGCTTAAAGGGCCTAGAGGTATAGTTACCAACGTCTTCCGTCATTTGGGGTTGCAACGCTGATACCGGCGGACATAGAGCTTTTTTCTGTATCTGCAAGAACCCCCACACTGTTTTTACTCCCACTGGGAGTGCTTCCTTCGTACATCTATTCCTTCTCCAATGCCGATCGCAAATCAGTGCTCATGACGGACATTCTGTCCCTTTCCTTCTCACACAATGCTCTGTCGTTACTCAAGATCGATTCCTTCAAGACGGGATGTATCCTGCTCTCCGGTCTATTCTTCTACGATATTTACTGGGTGTTCGGGACTGAAGTAGTAAGTCCACGTTTACCGAGCAGGGGTAATAGCATCGCTGAAATCTCTTAGATGGTCAAAGTCGCTACTACTTTAGATGTGCCTATTAAGCTATTATGGCCAAAGTCGATGGAGTTCTCGGGGGCAAGGGGCTTCACGATGCTCGGACTTGGCGACGTTGTTATACCAGGAACTTTTGTTGCCTTGGCTTTACGCTATGACTATGATCGATCAATCCGGTCGTCTAGGAACCCCCAAGGATCCTTCAGTAAGCCTTACTTCTATGCAGCCTTGTCTGCGTATATTGTTGGGCTTGTGACTACCATGAGCGTCATGCACGTGTTTGGAAAAGCCCAGCCTGCATTGCTTTATTTAAGGCAAGTCGATAGCTTCCACGTAGTACTTTCTTGAAACTAATTAGTAGGCATCTTAGCCCCGCTTGCATTTTGTCGTTCTTCTTGACGGCGTTTGTTCGCGGAGAGTTCCGAGATGCGTGGAGTTGGACGGATGAACCTCAGCAGTCGCGGGATCTAGAAGGGAAGAAGCCTAACGAAACTCTGAAGTCTGCCGAAGAACTCAAGGTGCCAGTGGTTAATGGGGACGCAAGTGGCACCATCGAGGACAATAAGGGGCAAGATCAAGGCGAGGAAGCTGGAGAAATGTCCGACTCCACCAAGCCCAAGAAAAGACAAAGCAAGAAGAAGGTCAACTCGTGACCCTTGAGATCACATTAATAATATACCCCTCCTACTCCGCTCTCTGCCTAACTGTGCCAACGTTTAGACGCTGATGCTATACATTGTATTCTTCCGACAAACCTGGGAAGTCGCCAAGGAAATTGGCTGCTGCGGGATTTTGGTCTGACAGAAATACTCAAATTGCAGATCTCCTTCTATAGATAATACATTTGTCACACCGTAAAGTTATACCGCGTATAGAATACAGTACCCTCTTGATCATGTAAAGCATTGGCAGGTCAGCGCATGTGCGGCAATAAAGCCAGATCTAGAAACAAGACCCGGAATCGAAAGTGCAGCTGTCCAGAGTGATATGACAATGTATTTGTATTATTGCCAGTGCCAGGTACGGGGTTAGCCCCTACAGTGACCCACCCTAGTACAGTACAGTAGTGCTCGCGCGCGCGCGAAGGGACAGTGGCATTACGTGTTACATTTCATGTTCAACATCCGGGAAACTGCTGTAAAGAGAGCTCGGTCGATCGAGTATAGTCCGTCTGATGGTGGCGCGGAGAACATCCCGTTGAGGGAGGGGCTATCACGGGAGCATTCATCACGGCATAGCGAATGCGGAGAGAACACAATGGACGAGAAAACACTCACACACTGTTCGTTATACATAGGCCGGGCCCGTCTATCACTCACGCCGGTACAGTGTAGACAGCGCACAGGGCCGAGCTACCGAACGCCTTTCGGGCCCTGACGAGTTCTTCTGATGGGGCTGACTGACGAAGGAATGGTACCCATGTCCAAAAAGGAAGGAGGATGAGATAACATTGGCAATTATAGAGGAGCAGCGAGATCATTGAGTTACTTTATGCGTCAAAAACCGTGGAAGTTGTCATACCGGCAAATAGTAGTGTATCCGTCGCTATTGGTTGGGCATCCGTTGTTCCTGTCATCTTAATGAGAAACGCGGCGAAGGCAGAAGGCGGGAATGTGGCGCTGATGCCGCTGGAGTGGTGGATGCAGGGTTGGTGGAGGGGGTTTTCAAGAGCCGCATCGCTATTTCCTCGGGGAGGGCGTCGTGGGTTACTACGCTGAGCAAGATGAGCGTCTAAAGAGTGGAAAATACACAGCAAGCTGTCCGAGAAGTTGGGACATCACAATCAAACATGCTGCCTTCGAAGTCTGAATCTAAATGTGTAATAGTGTGAGGGAGTGACTAAACCGTCAGCCCGATTTGCCATAAAATCGGCGAGTGATGGCTGTGAGCAAGAGACGATGGAATGTTAATCGTACCTTGGGGGATCTAGAAGGAGGCATGCTTGATAGGGACGAACAGGAGTGTCACCGAGTCTATGATTTGAGTATAGTCGTGTGTGCGCTACTCGTGTGATTAGTGCAGTAAATGGAGCGACAGTCATGTAGTTGGAGAAGCGTTATTGTACCGCTTTACGGCAAGTTTCCGCAACAATTTACGACATGTGTAAGTTCCGGCCGCGAGCAGTAACCCCATTTGCGCAGCAGTGGTGAGAGAGCGTGGGGGTTAGGAGGTCGTAAGAGGACATGAACGAACTAATTAGTGCAGAAGGGTCAACAAAGAGAGAAATGGATCTAGGACAGATCTGTGAGCTGATGACGGAAAAACTGAAGCAAGGGAGGAAGAAGGCGTCACAAGTTCGAAATTCTGAAGAGAGATTGAGCCTGCATCAAGTTGTGATTGGTGGCTGTAGCCAGGACCTGCTGGAGACCATGATTAGAAGCATTTGTTGAAACAGTTGTGATGGACACGTTTGAGGCTGAAAGCAGATAAAAGTAGTGAAGGATCTGGTCAATTGGGAGAGTAGTGAGTGTGAGGGAGTGGTAAGACAATGATTGCTGGGGCTGCCGTAGGAATAACGATCAAGATTTACAAGGCTCATCTTGAGGTTTGAACCGATCTGTCGGGTCGGTGGGTAAATTGATGGAGAGATGTCAGGTAGAGCAGCGCAAAGAGCTGTTACTGTTCTTGTCTAGTGCTATGCACGTGGGGGACCAAACTGGGCCGAGTGTGCGAAGAGGACGGGGTGAGGAAGAAAGGTATGGAGGGGCCGTCTGGATAATGGTTCTGGAGAGAAAAGGGAGGGCAAGGAGGGTGGAGGGGGACAGATTGGAGCGAGGATCTTGGGTCGATGGTTCGGAGGCGGCGGCGAGCAGGGGGCAGGGATTCCAGGTCCGCGGCTGGATCTGGGCGAAGCGAAGAGGTGTTTCGAGAATTCCCATCGTGTCTGGGATATGCACTGAGAGGCCGCCATCTGATACCGTGTTCTCCTCCTGGCGAACGCACTAACCACCGTGTCTGGGATATGCACTGAGAGGCCGCCATCTGATACCGTGTTCTCCTCCTGGCGAACGCACTAACCACCTTCCTTGGGGGACATGAGGCAGCGAGAGCGCATAGGGGCGTCGCTGGCGTGGGAAAGGCGATATACGCTGGATCATTTTCAGGGCAAATAATATGACGGTGGAGGGGACCTCGGATACCGCATGGGGACATGTGAAAGAAATGGTGGAGGGAGGGTAATAAATCAGGTCTGTTATGGGGGTGTCTGGGGACGTGGCACGACGGACCGTAGGTAGGAAATGTCCCTCAACTCGTTCTTCCTTTTCGCTCAGGTGTTCTGCTCTCATTTCATTTCTCTGTTTCTGCGAACCAGCCCTCCTCCTCGTCCCTTTTTGTCCTCCTTATTTTCTCTTTTTCTCCTACCCGCCACCGCCTTTCTTACAAGCCAATCAGACGATCTGGCTGTCCTTATTACGTGCGTACACATCATCCTCGTTCTCGTCCCCAACGCGCTCACAGCGATTCCCAGCTCAACCCCAAGCCCATCTTCCTCATTTTATGGGCCCCCCCTCGTCCCCCGCAAAGTCCTCCTTCGACGGTGCCACCTCTCGTCCCTGGTCCCCCGCTGACCGCACCACCCCCGCCAACTCCTACCAGCCTCATCTGTCTCTATCCGTCACATCAGAACCACCTTCTCATCCCACATCCATCTCCACCTCTTCTCACTCTTCCCCCTGGTCTCAATCTCTTCCCCTCCCCTCCACACCCCAGCCCCATTCTCTCCCATTCTCCCTCCCCCACACCCCACCTCACACTCTTCTCCCAGATATGTCGGAACATCACAACTCCATGCAGCCTTTCTCAACCAGCGAGTGGAACAGCCTCTTCTCTGCGCCCCTTAATCCAACAGTATTCGCTGCCCTCGCCGCTAACGGTATCTTGGGCCCATCTTCCTCTACAGCTGTCCCCTCTACCACACCACCCCAGTCCGTCCGTTATAACCCCCATAATTCTCGTCCTCAACAACACAGGCCTCCATCATCCAGCTTCCACCACGATCAGCCACTTTCCTGGTCGCATGACGCATCACACTACCCTCATGGTCCTTCTCAACAGAAGCCATCTCTCCCCAGATCTCATTCTTTCGCAGCAGGTTTATCCATCGAGAAGGACAAAATGTCCATGGCTGACATATCTCATTACGCGCAAGCACATCCACGTGTCTCTGACGCTTCTCTCCACCACTCTACAAAAGTTCCTGCTGCGAGACGAAGACCAGTCAGTGTTTCATCTATTGTCCTCATTTCCTATAGGCTAATTCTCTTTTCCGTCCCTGTACCAGAACAACAACGATTTGTCGTTATCCTGTGCGGATCCTGTTCCTCATCCGGATGGCGGAACTTTGAATGCAAATCACTCGTTTGGTCCCCCTATCCATACTAATTTTTTGCCTCAATCTACTGCGAGCTACACTCCCTACGGGTTCCCTGGCGAGCATTCAAATATGGGCTTACCTACTTCACTTTGGATGTCCCCAGCATCCACCGCCCCGTCCACTCCAGGCGCATATACGCCCCTATCTCAATTAACTATTCCTTCTCACCCTAGCATCTTGCATCCAGAGGTGTCTCCTTTATCTGGATACAAGGACCCCTCGCCGTCAACGACAGGCTCCCTTTCTTTAGAGTCTAAATCTACGTTGATGAGCGATTTTTTCTCAGAAGACTTGTTCGGGGTCCCCGGTGTGGATCCAAATCCTAGTACTTATACTTCCCCTCGACTATCTGGCTCACCAGATCTGAATTCTGTAGCGTCTTCCGGTGAGGTTGACCCAGAGCAACTTGCTAGAGAAGACCCTCTTGCAACTCAGGTATGGAGAATGTATGCGCGGACGAAGGCAACGTTACCACATGCACAGAGGATGGAAAACCTGACGTGGAGAATGATGGCGTTGGCTCTCAAGAAAAAGAAGGAGGACGAAGAGGCCAGAGAAAGATATGCTGAGAAAAGGTCAGATGTCAAGGCTGAAGAATCCGCAGTTTCATCTGGTCTACCTACCTCCCAGGGCGAAGGTGTCGGATCTGATGATGATGGTGCAGAGAGAGGAAGGCGGATAGACAAGGGTAAAGCCAAGGTTCAAGTAGTCGGTTTTGATGGCACGAATCAGGACGGCACAGAAGATGACGAGTGAGTGTTCTCTTATTGCGTCATCTACAGCGTGTTTGACTCCATCTGCGAAGCGTTGTACCTATGGACTGGAGAGCCATGAGTAGATCAAGGTCTCGTATATCAATGGACTGGAGGCCCCAAAGCCGGTCTCGTTCACGACCACCCCAGGCCACAACTACTTTTGATCAACACGGGGCTATGTCCGGTCAGCATGAAGGGCGGTATCATTTCCCCACAATAGGTGCCGGCCAAGCGATGACCGCTCAAAGGTCGCCAACTGGTCTTGTCAGATTCCCTCCAGGCGATTCTGTGTTGAAGGGCCTCGCTACTTCGCCAAGTATACCCATCCCTGGTGCCACATCTGCACTTACCATTGCTCGTCACAGTCCTTCATCCTCCTCTGTGCCCCTTCGCTCTGGGCTTTCTGCTGTATATGAAGGTCGTGTTGACCATGCGCCTGCTCCTTATGATTTATCACACAACACACATGATGATGCATATGAGCATGAGCTGTCAGCATATAACACACCATCATTCCACCCCTCTTCTTTACCTTCATTTGGCCTGCATGGCCCAACCACTGCTCCCTCTTCATCTCGTAATCAGACGAGCACTGAACCTTCGTTCCCAAAACATGTTCGCAAAACCAGTTTCGATCACACGGTTCAGAAAGCTGGTATTTTTGCCGGAGTAAGTGGCAGACATCAGGTCAATGGGAAACCTCTTTCACCCGATAGTCTTGTGGGACAGAAACGACGAGCAGATGCTCCTCATGCAGAGAGTATGCTGCGTGCTGATCCTTCAAATGTGGGTCAAACGACTCCAAGACAAGTCGATGTTCAGGAAACAGAGCAGTTTGAGAGCAGTAGCCCATTCCCGTCTACCGCCTTCAATTTCTCTTACTCTCCATATGATGGGATGTTTGATCTTTCTGGCTCTGGAGCTCATTTAGGTCACGATTATTCTGCTGTACTACACAGTCCAGACGGCAGTCGGTCGTCAGGGGGGCATTACCACGACTCTACTCGTTCTTCAGTCAATGGTGTGTCCTATTCATCTACAGTTGGGCCTTCTAGTATCGGTGAAGGCTTATCGGCGGCGGCGGCGGCAGCTACGGCAGCTCTTGCAGAGGGCTATCCTCATCTTAGCAGTACCAACTTTGGGGGCACCGACGATTCTCAGCTCGACTATCATCAGTTTATGGGTATCGGATATTCCAGTATCGACAGTACCGTCGGCCTCGCGCAACATCCATTTACAGTCGACCCCACTCACATTCTGCCTGTGGAGCACAACGGAGATGGTTTACCGAGTTTCCATGCGAGTCCCTCGAGCGACGGATGGGGCAATGGAGTTAATTCGAGTTCGACTGCTTCTCCTGAGCCATATAACACATCAAATGCTTCTTCGCCTCCCTCTGGGGAGAGTGCGTTGAACGGCCATCAACCTCGAGTTGCACCACGGAAATTTGCTTCGTCGAAGCGTGCCGCTCAAGATGTCCGAAGAAAGAAATCGCTTCCTGGTGCGAACACGTCTGTTTCCAATGGAATTTCGAGATCGGCTACTAGTACTCCGGATCCTTTGAATACGGATGGAAGTGGTACGCAGACGGGTAAAGGGGACGATGGAGATCAGACTCCTACTGCTTGCACGAATTGTCAGACCACGAACACGCCTTTGTGGAGACGTGACCCTGAAGGGCAGCCGTTGTGTAAGTTTGAGTTATTGCATTCATTTTGATTGGCGCCATCTGATGCATGTTTGTAACAGGTAATGCGTGTGGTCTATTCTATGTGAGTGATGATTCAAGCTCTCTTCTAGCGCTGTGATGCTGAATGAAGGTTTTAGAAATTGCATGGTGTAGTAAGACCACTGTCTCTAAAGACAGATGTGATCAAGAAGAGGTTTGTTTTATGGTTATGGGAAGTCGTCATCGTCGTTGAATGTCTTTTTGACAGAAATCGTGCATCGGGCGCACCCAATGGCTCTGCTCGCAAGGGTTCATCTACGCTGCCCAAGCTTGCATCGTCTTCGACCCGGCCTCGTGCTTCGACGACCAGCACGATGCCAACCGGTTTTGCAGGATCTCGTGTGGCCCCTCCTAATAATCGACTTGGATTGGGATCTCCACATGCAGGGTTAGCCATGAAGCGACAACGACGGACGTCCACCGGGCTCGCGCCCACTTCCGCGACCCGGAAACCCAACGAGACAGGTATATGAGAGTGGAAGTCATCTTACGCGAGGCCTTGTGTATATGCTGTAAACGACGGGGGTCCGTAGTAGTAACACAAGTGTTACCGGGCAATCCTTTTTTCGGTATTGTAGACCGTGATATCTATTTTGTTGTTGTCGGATTGCATGATTGTTGAAGGTTGTACCGTAGATATTTGACATAGATTATTCTCTCTCTGTTTCTTTCCTGTTATATCTATCCGATACATGCCATACTTTTCTGTATTGCAACGAATATGTTGACCATAGGATATATCGTTATTTTGTAAGAGCGCCTTAATATTGATTGTACTCACACACCGATATTCCCTTTTTGCGCATGCGCTCATTTTCTACGCGTGAGCACTTTTGTATCATTACCATTACGGACAGCTGGCTGGTACTGCGCTGGGCATCCTCCATATCCTTTAACCTGCTATATCTCTTAACATCGCTCTTTATCCAATCTGGCCTCGTTTTTTAAGCATGCTAACCCCCCACCGCGCACACCGGTACCGCCGTCTGCTTTTCCGTCTAGTTTGCAGCCTGTAGGATCGAAAGATAGCAATGGGAACAAAGACAATCGGCGACATTCGCGCCTAGAAATGGACTTTGAGCAGGCTCTGCGTGCTGGGGGAACTGTCATGCTCAAGGAAGGTGTCGATGTGAATACGCTGGGTGTGGGTGGCAGCCCAGCGCCGTCGTCGCATGAATTTGCCTCACCTACACCTCCCACAAAAGAAATGCGAACGCCTCGCCTTGCTCACCAGCCCTCAACGCCCGTCATCGTCCCCCCAACCCCCTCTCCAGCTGCATGTTCCTCCTCCTCCTCTTCTTCAGCAACAGCAGGGGCAGGGGCAGCAGGGGCAACGTCACCAGCCCTTCCCTCCTCTTCCTCTTCTAATGAGATCTTCTACGACGCTGAGCACCCTGACATGCAGACTAAACGCCGTTCCATGTATCGATCTTCGGGCACGTCGAGCAGTCCCGATTTGGCCACGCTCGTACGAAAAGCAAAGGAGAAGGGAGGGGTGGTCAATGCGCACCAAGCGCACCAACTCAGGAAGGACAAACGACAAAACCCCCCTCCCCTCCCCGTGTCCAGCTCAGGCCTTCGCCCTTCAGCGACACGCCCGCGCTCATCCACATCCTCTGCGGGCACTTCACCTGCCCCCCTCAGTCCAAATATCTCACATATGCCTAGGACACTTCAAAAATCGGCCAGAACCCCGGGCGGGAGTAGGCCCATGCGTGCTAACAGTCCGGGGAACTCGGATTGGGTGATGGCTAATTCAAGCTTACAAGCTCATCAGATTTCAAAAGACAGTGGCGTAAACAAGGTGTGTGTGTCTCTCCTTTTCTTTCATACCGAAGAGGCCGGTAGTTAAAAAGTTTGTGTTTGCTCGCGCGCAGCTCCCCAAGACTTCGGTAAGGGCGAAGACGAGTGCTTTCTTGGGGAAAATGTTGGGCCAAGGGTCTACTCGGGATCGACAGGTACGTTCGCATCTTGTGTTAGGCGTTTCTTATCGTCTGATGTTAATGATGATAACAAGCGGCCGGATGAACCGACATCGCCTTCTTATGGTGTACCAGCCTTTATGGGTGCATTTTCCCCTCCGGTTCCCCCCTTACCAGACGATATTCAGCGCACGCCTGTGGCACCTCCTATAACTGATGTCTTCACGAGCCCTCGCTCGAATACTCATGATCTGAAACCGCTTCCACCCATTCATGTTGCGGATGTGGACCGCAAAAGTGAAGATTCAATTGACGACAGATCCATCGTTATGGTCAATCATGCTCCGAATTGGCCTTGTAGACCCCCTTCTCCCCAGAAGAAAGTCGAAGCTAGGCCGACGAACGTTGCTAACAAATTTATCAGTCACGCAAAGAAGAGAAGCATGAGTGCCGGCGAAATAGACATAAAGAAGATGGTACCAATGTCATCTTCAGGAGGGGCTTCGCGCCCCTCTAATGAACCTGCGTTGAATCCGAATACGGAGTCGCAGGGCTGGGATTCAACACTGCATGGCATACTCAGTGATTTTAAAGGTGAACTTTCTCAACTAGACCCAATATCTACCAATTCCTTGGATTTACGAGATCCATCAACCCCTTCGCGGCGGCTTGCGTTTGGACATACCAAGACTGACACTATGATTTCCTCTCCCAACCTATCCCAAGATGTTTCTCACTACAGGTCCCCCGTTATACCCTCTGGATCAACACCTACACCGGCTTGTCCTCCACGAACGGAGGCTTCTCAAGATCAAAGGGAGGTGCCGCCCTCACGTACCTCCACGGAACCAATCGTCCCTCCCCGCAGCTCCTCATTGCAAAGTCCAATCAGGTCGCGCTCTGGGTCCAACCCACAAGGATCACCACTACATATTACGCCTCTAAGACATGGTTCAAGCCCTCTCAGGCTAAAAGGATATGGTGCTCAAATGCAAACATCCTATCGCGATTCCTCGTGGCTGCGTGTTCATCATCGATCAACTGCCTCAAGTTCTGAGCCTTCACTGATTCCTGTCAATGACGAAAGTCGTCCATGTGAGTGCATTTGTGATTCTGCCATGCTCCCTACTGAAGATACGTATTTTTTTTTGTAGCTCTCAATGTGACTTCACAACAGGATTTGACCACTAATGACTTGATATTAAATCGTTATGCTTCCAACCCATCCTTTTCACGTTCTGGCGATGTTTCAGACTTGGAGGAAATGGGCAAGGAACGAGCAGCACGCTGTTATGCGGATGACGAAGAGTTTCTGGCAAAGGAAAAAATTGCTGAATGGCTCGGCGGACAGTAAGTGTTATTTCTCATTTGTATAAGCTATTACTGAGGCAGGATCTTGTAGAGGGCAGGTCAACAAAGTCGCCCTTCGCTATTACATGGATTACTTTGACTTCACTAAATTGAGGCTGGACAACGCATTCAGGTTTGTTTCTTGAGAAATTATGAAAATATTATTTTCTTAGAAAGAGCATATAGGCGCCTGTGTACCAAACTCTTCTTGAAGGCGGAGACTCAGCAAGTAGACCGAATCCTCGAAGAGTTTAGTAGGCGTTATTACGACTGTAACCCCAACTGTGTGTTCGGTAGTGCAAGTAAGTGTTACTTTTGTCAGGCCATAAGATTGCTGAAACGGCCGAAGGCGTTGTTCATGCGGTCTCGTATTCTTTATTACTTCTAAACACTGATCTTCACGTTGCGGACCTTGTGACGAGGATGTCTCGCTCCCAGTTCGTTCGTAACACGATGACTGCCATCCAGATGCAACTCCAGCCCAATCGATTTGCCTCTAGTACGGACCTAACTTGGGACGACAGCAGCAGCAGTCGTGGCACCGGCTCCGACGGAACTGAGACCATGTCCATAACTCGTTCGAAGCGAAGTGGTAGTATTACTAGCTGGAATAGTATATCAAAAGATACCATCATTTCCTCCGCCGGCATGTCATTGGCGACTCCCTCTGGTACTACTCCCTCTTCAACCGCCCAACCTTCCATGAACAGCAGTACTACCTCTGTTCAGTTTCCCACTGTCGCCGAGTTTAAAAGTAGCCAGCCATCAATGGTTTATGATCGCAACTGGGAAATTGATATGGAGAGTACGCTCAAGGTACTCGATATTATAACAACTAGATGACTTGTGTTTAAATTTCTTCTTTCTTTCTCAGGAAATGTATAACGCCATTAAAAGCCAACAAATCCTTCAACCTTTGGGGAGCTCATTTATGGCTCGTTCATCCACCTCCTCATTGAGCCCTTCCGCGGCACATGGCGTCATGGCGCGTCATAGAAGCTTCCGTGGCCAGCCGGATCGTTTGGCAACTCTGAAGCGAGGTAGTATCCGAGGTCTTCAATCTATTCTTACCAACCAGGCATATAGCCCCTATAGTAGCAACAGTAGTATAGATGGACGAGTGAGCCCTTCACCGAGTTTCGCTACATCTACACACGAGGTAAGATATTATTTTCAAGTGGCACACATAGCTAACTTGGAAATCAGGTTGCAGCCGCCTTCTTGACCCCTACTCTTGGATTTGCGTCAAACTTATCTCACACAATCATTCGAGAGGCTCAGGAGGATGATGATCGAAGTCTCAAGAGTCACGAGTCGAGTTCAACGACTGTCAGTATAACTGATGAAGAGCTGGCTTTACTCGGTGCTCCTTGGGCTAAGGAAGGTATGCTGTGCCGAAAGCAATACTGGGAGTCTACAGGAAAAAGGGCCAAAACAAAGGCATGGATGGATATCTTCGTCGTTATACAAAAAGGCGAATTGAGCATGTTCACCTTTGGCGAGCATGGCGGGGGATCCTCAGGTGTAGTTGGTGGCGGTAACTGGCTAGTAAGTGATAGCGTCTTATACGTTTACTTTGCGCTCATTCTCGTTTCAGGAAAGTGCACAGTCAATGGGGAACGTGCTTCTGGCTCACTCTCTTGCACATGCCCTACCCCCTCCCGGATACAACAGGCAGCGCCCTCATTGTATGGTGCTAACTCTTGCCAATGGAGGTGTATATTTCTTCCAAGCCGGTACTGAAGAACTCGTGAACGAATGGGTCTCCACTTGCAATTACTGGGCAGCACGAACTAGCAGGGAGCCTCTCGCAGGCGGAGTATCGAACATGGAATACGGTTGGAATCGGGTTGCAGACCCTTCGAGTCACGGTCGTTCTGTCTCGGACAACGAATCGCGGGATAACGATCGCACTGATACTATGAGTGTGCGCAGTGGTCGAAGTAGTCGAAGCAAATTCAACTGGAGAGAGGGCGTTGCTACCGTAAGGGCACCTCACTCACCTTGGTCCGATAAAACTTTCGTCAACGATTGGAAACCACCTTTGCCACCTTCTGTTGCGAGCACCCACGATGAGGAGTCACAACTTGAAGCGCTACAAAAACACGTCATCTCCCTAAAGAAGGACCTCAAACGCCATAATGAACTCCGTGAACCCATGGCTTCCTTGGTAATGCCGAACTGTGCCCTATATTGAATTATACTAATTTTTTTTAAATAGTATGCTCCTCGGACTGCTAATGCCAGTAAAGCGCAGACCAACTGGGAGAAAAAATCACAGTATCTCCTAACCGAGATAGTGAAATATGACTCCTATATTGATTCCTTGCAGTCTGCCATGGCACTGCGGCTAAAGAAAAGAGGAGAAAAGGCACTTGAACGCGCGTTGGTGATTGTTAGTCCTGATGATGACCACCCGAATGCTGCGAAGGGGAAATGGAAAGGTTACCCCGGCGAAGACACGATACCCGAAGCTGATGAACCGTCCGTTTCTTTAATGTCTGGATCGCACCGCAGAGAACTAGCTGAGGGCGGATAACGCAAGATTTTAAATCCGTACTTCGTATAACTTTTTTGTTTTAATGATGTGCTTGTACTAAGGCGGGGTTATTTATAATGCCCTTTTCTCGTTTATACATTGTTGTTGTGTGCAAGAAATAGAAAGAAATTCCAAGGAGATATTTACAAGAGTGAACGAATAAAGGAGATGATTTGTAGTTGCGAGTAGCTCAACAAGGGCCATACTGAATTTGGGATAAGATGGTGGGTCAATGTGGTTATGGGGTTATGGAAGATTGGAAGCACAAACCTTCGCATTAGATATAATAGCTTCCAGCCCACCTGCCGAAGCCTCCGGCTGGAAGACGGATCCACCTGCATTAGGGGCGTACCACACGGAGCCGATGTCATTGTTCGCGTTCATCCCGTAGTGAATCACAGCTGAATACTGAGATCCTAAGAACGAGCTATATTTTGCGGTGCGCGTAGCGTCGTTTGCGCTATCAAGGTAGTATTGGACATGTTTCGTCCATAAACCCTGTTTTGAAAACGTGACATGAGATTTCAAGCACGAAAAACAAGCTCATACGAGCTTCTAACCTTGAATATTTGCTGCAAAGAAATGGTAAGTTACCAGTCAATATAAGAGGGTAACGACGAACCTGATCGTGATCACATTGTGCACCTCCGGATGCAGCGTCATCACAGGATTCTTTTAATATATTATTGCTTGTCAGTTGACTGATAGTAGCATCGAGGCTGATCTCTGCCTGATCAAGAAGAGTCGAGTTGCCAGTGGCAGTATAAAGTGCACCGAGACCAGAAGCCACGACAGCCTGAGAACGCGGGGTTTTTTCAATTAGCAACTCTGCAATAAAGTCGTGGACATTCGTACTTGGTTATAAGTCCAGGCGGTCTATAAGTATGAATATCAAGAATGAGACGAGCGAGGCGTAGATAGAGCTGCTAGGCTAACCTGTCCGTTGTTCTGGCAAGTAGTTTGGTCTAGGCCATCGTTGAAAAGGCCATCTGAGCCACGCATACCAGATGCGCTCACTGCAGAGGGCACGATCAGCTTGTTAGGACAAGATTGTGTGTCGATAAATCACATACACCAAGCCCACTCCTAAAAATGATGCAATATTGTAGATCAGATCAAGGAATTTGATCCCGAAAATCAAATTTATTACCTTGTTGGCATTGTCGAGATAAGTCTGGTTTTGGTTTCTGTTGTATCCTTCTGCTGATGTAAGCAGGAAAAGTTGGTTGGTAATTGCATTCTTATAGTTTTGCGCAGAGGACCACCATACTACGGAAAAGGAAGAAATATCCGTCAACTTGTTTTGTATTGCGAGACGATAGCTGAAGCTTACCTCCTCCTCCGCACGAAGTAGTATCCCACTCTGCAGCAACGATATCGTATACCTTGGATGCGCTAGACTATTTCAAAAGCTTCAGAGCCAGAATGTTATAGAAAATGACCAGACTCACGAGATAAGCACTATTATCTTGGCCTCGGGCTGCCTTATAGTCGGCAATCTTCCAGAAGGCCAATATCACCCACTGTGATCGTCGCGTTCAGTTAGGCTCATAAATAATAGGACGTTCTCCATACCTGTGAGTCGTCGTAGCTTCCGCCCAAGAAGCTAACCCAGTCAGTGTTTGCATTGTTAGCAGCCTGGCCGATGTAGGAAGTGTCGGCGATTGTTCCCCAGGTATCTGAATCTGCAGCTAACATGAGGTTATGTAAGTCCTCGATGGTATTCTGAAGCAAGATCAGAGTCAGCTCATTGCACTGTGAACTACAACAGAGTTTGACAAACCGAGTCCGTCCATAGTTCACCACTGTTATATTGACCGGTGGAAGAGTCATAGTAGAGAGATTGTAACTCATTGGCAACAGTCTATGCGTGACAAGGGTTATTTAATACCACAAGAATAGCATGAGTGAAAACAGATAAGTAAAACGTACTGTTGCTTCTGTTAAGGTTGCCTGGCATTGACTACGGCGAGACAATGATGGGTTTGATAATGATAGGGCGCCCGTTAGATCAATGACCGAAGAGGATATGGAGATAACGGCCAATAGAGCCAATGATTTGAGTGAAATCCACGACATGTCGAAGTCAAGGTTTAAGTCGAGAAATGTTGCGTTTTAAACCGAATAGCAGAGGAGGTATAAATAGGAGCAGAATATGTTATATCCGCAAACGGACTACTAGTCCGTATGATATCGTCATTAACGTAATCCTTGAATGCTTGATGATTCTAAGATCGAAAAGCGATACCAGTGTGCTCAGCAGCCTAGGGAGCATATGGAGAATCTACCATCCAATATCCATAAAACCCTGGTGACCCATCACCTGTACCCCGTAGCACCTGAAACATTTTGCGTTCATCAAAGCCCCATGCGCAAACAGTAACAGAAGACTCACGACCACGATACACAAGAAACCAACGGGTACTCAGAATATCAGAATACCCATCGTACTACGGGAATGAGGCATCAGCTGACAGTAGACTGAAGCTGATCTGTAGCGAGGTAGACACGAGTTGCGCATCAACTCCCAAAAGCTGGTGTCACACGAGCCGCACATGATCCCAACACGCTCTCCCCTTAGTTCTTTTGGAAGAACGAGACTGACGTCAGGCATCATGATGCACCGGGTGTGGGGTAAAGCACAGGGGAAAGACTCCGGGTAGCTTTGTACTGGATTTACACGGGAAGAAGAGAGAGCCTCCGGAAATACCGCAATAGCTCACATGACTGGGGCTACGTCTGAGAGGGTGTGGGGTGGCAGGTAAGGGGAATCGTAATAGATAAGTCTTCAGATCCACGACGGTACGAAATAATTGTATGTTCGCATATGTCATCATACCCCTGTTGGATCGCCTGAGCAGATTCAGGTTCATGTCAGCCCCAGATCAGGCTGAGACTGACATTAGTGGGCAGTAGAACAGATATCGCCGCATTGAGCAAATACACGTCATACTCCCAGTACTAAAATGCTGCAAAGTGATTCTCAATGCGACAGACGAGATATCCGTCCGATCATGTGGCAGCTGCTGTACTTGAAGACCACAAGGAGAGGGGGCGAACAAAAGCCACGAGAAAGGTCACCAGGGAGCCTCGCCGGCAAGTCGAGACCGATGTAAGAGTAAGAGAAATAGAGCAAGATCATCGGATGAGCGGATGCATAGCAGGCGTATGACCCAATTCACGGACAACCGGGCTGAAACACGAGCGCTAGTCCGGAATCGGGTATAAAACGGACCATAGCATTGAGGAGTAGAGTGAAGGCTGGCAAGAAGGTAGCAGGCCAGATACAATAGTGCGAGAAGACGGACTCGTCAGGAACGAAGGTTTGCGAAGGGAAGGCTGAGAGCAGAAGTGGTATAAAAATAGAAAAGTGCACGGTCAAGAGCGACTGTGCTTCCGATGCCACCCTTCACAGCGTTACCGCACTGGGCTGGGAATGACACAGTCACATCTCTATGGTGTTAACAGTGCCATCTGCATTTGAGAGGATACTTATCCTTGAAAGTCCCGGTGTAGAGTTGATTAAACGATGTATCATCGATATGAAAGGCAGATACATACCGGTGTAATTTCCGAAAGCTCGTGCCATAAAGAGGCTAGGTTAAGCAAGGATCTTATGCCCACGAGTTTGCTGCATGACGTCGGCGGTGCCATCCAACACATTCGTGCTTAATCCCTATGACAAACACATCAGGTGCCAGTGGGTTTTGTGATCAGTTGATACGAAGATCTGATAGAAGAAGAATCGATATGACTTACAAGTCAGTATTCTGATAGACATATGTTCCGGTGACCTTGAACATAGAAGTGAGTGTTCCTTAGTACCTTGATCTTTACCGTACTCGCCAACCTCAAGGAATGAGGCTGACCTGGTGACCGTACTTACACCCACTTATTTGATTATCTAATTTGCCATATATGGCAGTCCTTGTCGTTCGCGGCACAGACTTTCCGGTCGTCGCTTTCGCTGAGGTGTACGCGTTACTCAGGGACATGGCGTGTTCAAAGAGTCATAGAAATGAAGTTTACTCTTACTTATGGCATTCAAGAATTGTACGTACTTCATTCAATTAAATGAAGTCTCGATTTCTCGGTCTGTTTCTATATTACATGTACAGAAATAGCGAACATTTAGGGTCAAGCCCCGCAAGGTTTTTTATGTTGAAGACATACACGACGAGACTCTTAATTATATATTTCAAAATTACTGTCTTCAGATCCCTCGATCTCTTCAGCTTCGCGATTTCCTGCTAAGCAATCCATTAGATGATATCGTCGGGGACAGGCGTTTCATCAGACGGGGCGTTACCATCATCAACAGGAGTAGTGACGTCTTTCTGTGCCATCTTGAAAACAGCCTCGTCACCTGACAAAGGAACTCCAGAAACGAAGGTCTCTGTCAGAGAACTGACAGTTGAGATCGCCATGTCAAGCACGGCCTCGACCCGCTTTCTTAATGCATCGTTCGTACTAGTCACAACCTAAGAATGACACGATCAGATCAGATAGACTATACAGATCGGAGAAGCTACCAAAGAAAGTAGATTGATCTGCGCATCTGCTTCGTCCAATCGCACAAGGAGAGACGGCTCGTTGCTATCATCTCCTTGCTCGTGCCCTTCGTCTTCTTCGTCAGGCATGTGGAGTTCTACTTCTCCGAAATGGGCCTCGAGGAACCACGCAAGACGCTGTATTCGCGTCACGGAGGACTCACCGTGCGATTCTGCGTGTGGGTGCGAGTGCGAATGGGGTTGTGATGTTACTGCATAAATAGGAACAGTGAGCCGCGTGACCTTAGTGCCTTGGATCCAAACTATAATTACGTTTGACAGATGCTGGACTCTTGTCGATACCGGTGATAAGAGCTAGAGTAGAATCAGCGATCATATCATTGCTCGCGCTCGAGTCCCATTCCAGGGTAAGCTCATGCTGCTGTGTTAGTTTTACATCGACCGCACCCATCACCTGACATAATAACGTTAAAAACATTGAATAAAGTCGTAAGGCGAGTCGTACCCGCATGGTCGGCACGCCATCCTTGTCTAGTCCCTCTTCGACGCTACCAAACATTCCATCTAAATGCCATCGGACGAGATCCCAACCAACTCCCAAGACGATCTTCTGTCGCTGCATCACCGTACACGTAGATAGACCTGTGAAGTCCTTGAGATCACGCGGGTCTAGGAGCGTATACGAGTAATCTTTCGATACTAGTAGGCCCGATAGAATACTGTTCGGCTCAGGCACCTTGTTCGCTAAAGTACCAATAGCCTAACAAAAAATGGTTTCATGCCCACGTTGAACAAAAGAAAGAAAGAAAAGTTCTCACTTTGGCTACCCGTTCACCTCTGAAGGAAAGCTCCAGAGTCTCTAGATTACGAGGTGTGTGAATTTTTACATCTTCATCTCGGTCCTTGTACCGAGACGTCATCGCCGCACGAAGACGACCCATTGCTGTTTGTTCTCCGTGAACCAGGACCTAAATGCCAAAACGGTCATACATGACGGTAAATACATACGGTGATACACAGAACATACGACATGCTGTGCCTTCACTTGTTCGATGAAATCGGAATTTTGCGTGTAATCCACATGTGCGCTGAAGGAGATATAGTCAACCGAGATCTTCCTCGGTATGGGGTTGCCCTTCAGCGACATAATCTCATCAGGCTCGTTCATGATGTCCTAGAAACGGGAATGATGAGTTCACGTTGGATATAGGAATGACTTAGTGGGTTGTGAAGGGGGGATGCAAACAATATGACCATTGCTCTCGTATGATACATATGGGACAGAGAGAAGTGCAGTACACCCGACTCCAACGCAACCAAGTCTAAGCCACCGTCACTCACCCTAGCCAGTGTACCCTCAACCGAATAACCGGTGACAATAAGGCCATTGCGGGGATCAGGTGCCCATAACTCCAATAGCTCTCGACTTGGACCAGATTGCAGAAATCCTGGGCTAGCTAATACAACACAAGGAGGTCCATCTGCAATTTTGCGCTCCCAGCCCCTTGGCTGAGCAAGGTTGGAAATATGTCTTTTTAGGTAAATTAAAACTCTCAATGAAAATGTCGATGAGTGGGAAAAAATTACATACTTGAAGACAAATGGATTGTCACGCTTTGCAAATCTTGAACGGATGTTCGCATTCATGGTGTGTATATATGTCTGATAGACAGCCATGCACTTGCGTGCGAGACTTGACGCATAGTAGATAGTAACATTGTGAAGGTCGGGATGCTTCTTCCAATACTCGTCCAGAATAAGCAACAGTTCTTGCGCTCGACCCAGCGCGAACGTTGGCAATAGCACATGTCCCCCCCGTCGTATTATGGAATGTACTAAACTTGTGAATCGTACTTCCTTCTCGTCCCTCGCTTCCAAGCTCTGTACGCCGTAAGTGCTTTCTACGATTAATACGTCGGGACGAACAGGTGGCACTTCTGCGCTGACAAGATGACGATCTTCTTCACGAGAGTAGTCACCTGTGTATAGTATTTTTAGACCAGCGATATCGATGAGGAACATGCAGGCGCCAAGAACGTGTCCAGCATGGTAAGGCGTAAAAGTAACACCTGGACATGGGGAGATGAGCTGGTGGGCAGAAACAGGAATGATTGACGAAAGAGACATCGTCATTTCGAGAGGCGAGAATAAAGCATCTGTGGAAGAGGTACTAGTTGTGGATGAGTTGCAGCAAAAGGAGGTTCAAAAAGAAGTAATACCTCATACGAACATAATCCTGCATCATAAATTTATGAACTGCTTTGGTGGGATGGGTCATGTAGACCTTTCCCTTCCCATCTCTAAAATTCGTCTGCAAGGAAAAGTCAGTAGAAGACTTGTAGTAAACATGTAAGAAACTACCTTTTCCATGATGTATGTCAATGCAGCAGCATGGTCAAGATGAAAACTATCATGATTCGGTCTCTCTTAGCCATAAGTTTTCAACTTAAAATAATGATACGTACTGAGTGATCAAGATTGCGTCGACAGTGCTCCAATCTAACTCGTCCACAAAAGGCAAAGACGCCATTCCACTATACGCTGGATGAACGCCTGCATCACAGACAATTGTTTTCCCTCTATACTGCAACACACAACACGACCTTCCGACCTCCTGGCCCGCGCCCAGTAGAGTAACGCTCAATGTTGGAGAATCGGCCATATCTGACGTTGGAAAGTTGGCGACTCAGCTAAGCTCGTGAGTTGCGAACGTCGCGACCCATGAGTGGAGGCTTTGTAAGCTGCACGTGGAACTCGACACTTCTCACGCTAGCTTCGCAGAGAAGCATACGAGTTGCACTCCGAGTCGTCGCATCTTCTAACAAATCTAAGTGAAACTACAATAGATGTCAGTTTAAGGTAATCTCTATGAAGTGTAATGTAATATACCTCAGCCGCTGTATAATGACTCCTAGGAGAACAACGGTGACTCCATGGAGTGGTGGCTATGCTCCATGGAGAAAAATGGCTTCTTTTGCAGAGACCAGGTTTATCTGGTTTTGTCAGCTTTGCCGAAACTAAGCAAAATAACCAATACAATGTGGCTTGCATGTGGCATTTGGGACCACTGTCCCCTTCATTATAGATCCTCCAGGTCAATGTTCTCATATAGAAAGCAAACAATAGGACTTTCTATCTCTTCAGCTTTCTCCCCCTTTTTCCTTCTCCTCTCCCTTTGTTTTGTGATCCTCCAAGGATTTTTTCTATCCTGCTTCTTTTGCATTCTTTCTCCTTCTTTTGCACAGGCATACTGTGTACATATGTGCTTATATTTCACTACATCAACCCCTGTACTTTACCTTGTACATCATCATAATTGCAATCCAGTCTTGTTTCAAATCTCATCTCATCCTATCAAGTATATAGGATCTCTCACAGAATTTCATGCTCAAGCCCACTGTCCTACTGCTGTTTGTGATTCAGAGTGGTCACAATACTTTTTGCTGCTACTACTGTTTAGTGTCATCAAATTTACTTTCCACTGCTGAAGTCACTGTTATTGTAACAACCTAGAGTTAGTTACTCTGGCGCACAACTAGAACCAACTATAGAGAGGATGATGAGGGAGTGGTTACCCTTTAGACTTCAACAAGTTAGTTGTGAGGATACAACAGAAGGACTCGCTGAGGAGTCTCCTTGGTTTATTGGTCTATATATAATACTACAGGTTTGTTTGTACAGTTGATAGAGGCAGTGGCTGATGATGTCATGGGGCCTAGCCCATGTGACCAGCTCCACTGCGTGAGAGACTTGTATCTAAAATAAGAAGAAGGGCAGCGCAGTGCGAGAAGGAGGAGTTTGAACAAAAGGGAAAGTGCTGCATGGCACAATGTGAGAAAACTACAGTAAAAGGTTAAAGAGGAGAATGAAATTTAAAGGTCCAAAAATGTGTTATTGTAACAGTTATCGCTTTCCATTAAAGTTCTTCTGGGAACTACAGTTTGTGTATCAGAAGCCTGCTATCACTGGGAATCTCAACATCCTGATTATTCTCAAACCTGCCTTGTGCTACAATTAGTAAGGTAGTGCTTGTCTTAATGAGATTTATGTCTGTAGAAATAAACACAATGTTCTCAGTCTTTGCAATAACAGACTGTGATATATTAACTACCTGTAGAAATAGACACAATGTTCTAAGGTAGTATTTTAGCTATGAGTAAAAATCATAATGTAAAATGTTCTTACCTCAGTTTTTGCAATAACAGACTGAGGTGTAAGTAAAATGTGTCTCGAAAAATAAGAATGTATCGGAAAAGTCCGAAGCTAAATATGGTAAGTAATTCATGTGCAAGACACTGTGCGTGTGGCTCAATAATGTAGGCTTGTGTACTGCAACTCTACAACATGTCTATACTCTTCTCAATCCCAATCCAGTCCAGTACAAAGCTCCTATCTTTCAACTACCCCTTCTTCTCAAACCCACACCTCTTGGGTCTTGTTTTGAAGGATCATAAAACTTACCACTCCACAAACAACCAGAGCACCCACCATTCTAGGAGGCCTAGCCCACAAACAAGTTCTATGGAATCTGGGAGGATTTTTTGTTGGTTTGTTCTTGTGTGTGGTTTTTTAACAGGCAATTTTCATCATCGGCAGTGGCAAGCCACTTTCATTTTTATCTCTAACATTGCTGTAAACTAATGTTTAGCTATAAGAGAGGTCTGTTTCATCTGTGAGATTGAATGTGAATTGAACCTCCCTGCATAATTCATGGCTGTGTATTTGCTGTCCAGAATTTCACATTAAATGTGGTCCCAAACTCCTCAAGCATATGGTGTTATGCACCAAAGTTGATTGGTAGTATGGACAGGTGTTAATAACAAAGCAACTATTTAAAAGGCTCACCTTTGCACCACTTAGGCACAGTGCCACGTGATATGGAATAGTAATTAATATTGCTTTTTTCAAAATTGTGGCTGATCAGCACCCACCTCTATTAGGCAATCAAGTTGCACCCACCTTTGATTTTCATTTGGTACTTTCCATGTTTTGGCATTTCAGCAACTTTTCATATCACCACTGGCTACACATTGCGTCCTCACTTTTGTTTTCCCTTACTCCCCTTCCCTTACTTAGCCTGTAACAACCAAGAGTTTAGCTACTCTGGCGCACAACTCAGACAAGGCTGTAAAGGTAGTGAGGGGAGTTGTTATGCTTAGGATAGGACCAAGTTAGTTGTGGGTAAACAACAGGAGGACTCGCTGAGGAGTCTCCTTGATCTATTGGGGTATATATACCACTACAGTTTGTTTGTACATGTGTACTGTACAGTTGATGGAGGCAGTGGCTGATGATGTCATGGGGCACAGCCCATGTGACCAGCTCCACTGCATAAAAAATTTGTATCTAAAAATAGAAAAGGCAGTGCAGCGCAAGAAGTGGAGTTTGAACAATAATGGAAAGTGCCGCATGGCACAGGGTGTGAAAACTACAAAAGAAAGTTGGAGAGGAGAATAAAATTTAAAAGGTCCAAAAATTGTGTTATTGTAACATAGCCCCACTATGGGCCCTCTTCTGTTTTTTCTCTTCTCACCAGACATTTGTTTTTGGCTCCCCATCTTAGTCCACTTTTTCATCACCTTGTCACTCCTCCTACTTGTCCTCCTTGCGCCTCCACCATATCTGATGTCACCTCTCTCCATCCACTTCTGCTGCTGATCCATCAACCACCACATGCTACTACTGGTTTCAGCAAAGCCCCAGCAGCCAGTCCAAATTGGGCAGCTGGTCCATCTTCATGATGTCAATATGCCATCATACACTATCAAATCATTGGTCACTCATCTTGCCTGGCTGGAGCAAGGCTGGGTAGGTTTTGAGCTGGAAAAGGCCCATCCTCTTGCGTTGCCCATGTACATTGCTGTCCCATTTGCTTGGGTATATTTATCCTTTGTGTTACAATTGATATACCAGCACCTACTTACACTTCACTTTTTTGTACTTTTACTTTTCTTTTTCCAAGTCACATGACTGATCATGTGACCATTTACTTTACTTTACTTTTTCGGACTTTTCATAGTCACATGACCAATCATGTGGCACATCACCTGACCAGTGTCTAGACTCATCATGTGACCAGTCACATGCTAGACATCGGACTTTAAACTTTATTTACAACTGTACAATACCTCATGTATTTTAGTATATATACTGGAGCAATACATGGGAAGGGACTCAGCGAGTCCTCTTCTAGTGTATACCAACATTAGTATGACAAGTTCCCTCCTATAATAGGTTGTACACTTCCCTTTCCTCCACTGAGTTGTTGTTGTGGTTGTGCTCCAGTGCCCCAAGACTGTGTCTTGTTGGTGTTGTCACACTTTGTCCATTATTGTCTTTGCTACAGCTACACTTACCACCCGCTACCTGGGACACACCTGTTCCAGATCAGAACTACTCCCTTCCCTCCCTTGTTTGACCAGGTGGTCCACTACAATCAGACCATTGGTAAAGCCATGGAACTGCCAGATTTGGACTAGGTGGTGGACTTGTGGCTCCATTTCCTTTTTTTCAGCAAGACATTCATTTGCATTCTTATGACATCATGATTTTAATTTTCTTGCTCTCTTTTTGCTATTGGACTTTATTTTATGGCTGTACAAACCTGTAACATTACATACACAGCATTCATTGTTCTATTCCTTTCTTTTCCTTATTTTAGTAATGTTATCCTGTACTACCTGCACAGGATTTGCCAGCACATATTCATTCCTTCACATTCTTTCTCATTCTTTTTGCATAGCTATACTGTGCATAGCCTTCCTTTCTTTTACTATGTAAACCCTTGTATTCTACCTTGTAAAAAAATAATCACAATCCAGTCTTGTCCTTGATTCTTAATTCTCAAGTCTCTATCCACTGCTACCTGTGATCCAGTGTGGTCACAACACTTCCCACTGCTACTACTGTTAACTACTATCATTTTCACTCTCCACTACAGAAGTCACTATCATCCCTTTTGATTAGAGTCTTTCTGAGCACTACAGTTTATGCGTCAGGAGTCTGCTATCACTGGGAACCTCATCATCTTGTCATTCTCAAACCTACATTGTGCTACAATTAGCAATGTAGTGCTTGCCTATATCTGTCTCAGCTCCATATTCAGTAAAAAGCCCCTATCTTCCTACTATCCCCCCTTGTCCAAACCCACACATCTCTGGGTCTCACTTTCAAGAATTCATTATATTTACCACTCCACAAACAACCAGATCACCCACTATTCTGAGAGGCAAAGCCCATAAACAAGTTCTGTGGAATCTGGGAGGATTGTTTTGTTAGTTTGTTTGTATGTGGTTTTCTAGCAAACAGTCTCCATCATCAACATCATATACCCTGGTCCGGTTCTCAAAGCCAATAGCCAACAAAAAGCCTTCATTGACCACATTATCTGTTACAATTTCTATTCTTTTTTACGGACTACTCATTTTCTTTACTCATTGGTTATACCATTGGACCAATGACTCATTTCCTTCCCATATATTTCCATTCTTTTTGCAGTCGCATTACTTTGTATAGTACTTAGTCGTCAACGGACAGACCAGCCCTAGATAGGACCTGACTTCTATCACCGATTCTATCTCCTATAAATACGCTTGTAACAGTAGTAGTACTCTTCAATACAATTCTACGCAGCTTACGCTTACAAAGCTAGACTCCTAAGGTCAGGCTTTCATTTGGAAGAAGACCAACTCTCATTGGAAGAACTCTATTCAGAACTACATTCTCAAACTTGTCTTCGGATAAGTCTCTTTGAAACCTCAATGAACCCTCAGACTTTGTTAAGCACTTTGTGTGTAACAAAAGAATTGTATTCATACCAGAAGTCCCATCTATTTAGGTTTGGGAAGAAAAAGTCGACAAGATGTCGCAACAACCAACACCCAGATCTCAGAGAGCAGGAAGAAGCTCAGACGATTCACAAACACAGACAGCAACACCCCCAGTATCATCCAGACAAGGAAGGACAGCAGCACCACCTCCCTTTCCCCAACCCGACGTCGCTCAACTCCACACCAGAGAACAGGCGGACACATTTTACAAAGCCAGAACACATTGGCCACAGTTTTACGCAGAAAGCCACCCACAACTAATACCCAGAACACAACACGATCCCCCAGTAGTTGCAGCAGACGTCTACGACAAAAACGACTTTGAAGAATATGCAGCGGAAGGTGAACCAATACCACCTCCCACACCACAGATACTTCACACAGCACCCAATCCATCTCCAGTTCCACCAACACGCACCATGTCTAATGCTGCAGCATCCAAACCCACAATGATTGGAAAGGTTGATGACTTCAATGGGACCCCAGATAAGGCCCAAAGATGGATATCATCCACTGATTTACACTTCAATATCAACGACACCATTTACACCTCTGACAAGAAAAAGGTGTACGTGGCCCTCAGCTACATGAAGGATGGAACCGCCGCCTCATGGAGTGAAGCCAAGATGACCAAATACAAAGAGAAGAACACCTACCCCACGTGGGCAGACTTCATGAAAACCTTCACAGCCAGTTTCAGAATGGCAAACGTCAAAGGAACAGCCTCGGCTGCCTTGATGAAAATGAAAATAGAACCAGGAGAAAATGCAGTGGCATTTAACTCAAGGTTCATGCTAGATGCCAGAAAGAGCGGCATCAACAATGAAGCCATGATCATGGTTTATCAGAAAGCGATCTGACCTCCCCTCCTCCATGGAGCACTCACCGGAAAAGAACTGATCACCATCAAAGATTGGATGAACACAGTGGCAAATCTAGACACCAACTGGATCAGTGCCAACACCATCTCCGAAGGGACTTGGGGGACTAGAAATAAGGAAAAACAAAACAACAAAAATTGCAAAGGTGGACCATCCACCAGCGCAAAAAGACTGATCAAGGGTAAAGAAGAAACCCAAAGGAAAGAAGGGAGATGCTTCATATGCAACGAAAAAGGGCACATAGGAAGGAATTGTCAGAATAAAGGAAAGACTCCCAAAAGAAAGGTGTAACAACCAAGAGTTAGTTACTCTGGCGCACACAGAACACACTATAAGGAATATGATGAGGGAGTGGTTACCCCTTGAGCTGCAGAGAGTTTGTTGGTATACAACAGGAGGACTCGCTGAGGAGTCTCCTGGATCTATTGGGGTATATATACTACTACAGGGTTGTTTGTACATGTGTACTATACAGTTTGATAGAGACAGTGGCTGATGATGTCATGGGGCCTAGCCCGCTGTCATGCACCAAAGTTGATTGGTAGCATAGACAGGTGTCAATAATGAAGCGAATATTCAAAAAGACTCGCCTTTGCGCCACACAGACACAGTGCCACGTGGAATAGTAATTAATATTGCCTTTTTCGAACTTGTGGCTGATCAGCACCACCCCTATTAGGCAATCCAGTCACGCTCACCTTTGCTTTTCCATTCGGTACTTTCCGCATTTCGGCATTTCGGCAAATTTTCGTGTCGCCACTGGCTACACATTGCATTGCGCCCTCACTTTTGTTGTTTCCCTTACTCCCCTTCCTTTGCCTAGCCCCACCATGGGCCCCTTCCTCTCCTTTTTATTCTCACCTGATGGTCGTTTCTGGATCCCCATTCTAATCCACTTTTCCGTCACCTCCACCCTCCTCCTCCTCATCTTATTTGCACCCCCACCATTTCTGATGTCACCACTTCCTATCCGCTTCTGTCGCCGATCCGTTGACTACCACGTGCCACTGCTGATATCAGCAAAGCCCCGGCGGCCGGTCCAAATAGGGCAACAGGTCCATCTTCATGACGTCGATCTACCATCATATACTATCAAAACATCGGTCGCTCGTCTTGCCTGGTTAGAGCGTGGGTGGGTAGTTTTTGAGCTGGAGAAGGTTCATCCCCTTGCGTCACCCATGTTCATCACTGTCCCATTCACTTGGGTACACTTATCTTTTGTCCATCGTCTTCGCTACAGCTACACCTATCACACGCTGCCTGGGACTCACTTGTTCCAAATTGGAACTACTCCTCTCCCTCCCTCGTTTGATCAGGTGGTCCAACACAACCAGTCCATTGGTAAGGCCATGGAACTGTCGGATTTGGACTAGGTGGTGGACTGGTGGCTCCAGTTTCTTTTTTTTCAGCAGAACATTCATTTACAGTGCGATTGTTTTTGATTTTTGAATCATTTTTATGGACACATATTTTTTTAGAATGTCTGACTGACAATAAAGGAACTGTGTTGATACTGATAGTGTTTTGCCTTGCCCCTTTTTTTACTGCATCTTCCCATGACATCATGATTTTCCTGCTCTCTTTTTGCTATTGGACTTTACTTTATGGCTGTACAAACCTGTGACATTACTCACAGCATTTATTGTTCTATCCCTTTCTTTTCCTTTTTTTGACAATCTTATCCTGTACTACCTACGCAGGATTTGTCAGCGTATATTCCTTCCTTCATATTCTTTCTCATTCTTTTTGCACAGCTATACTGTGCATAGCCTACTTTTATTTTACTATATAAACCCCTGTATTTTACCTTGTAAAAAAACAACAAGAAATCCAATCCAGACTTCTTCTCTACTCTCAAGTTCACTACTCTGCTACTTGTGATCCAGTGTGGTCACAACACTTCCCACTTTTACCACTGTCAACTGCTGTCATCGTCACTTCCCACTTTTGAAGTCATTGTCATCCCTTTCGATTAGAGTCCTTCTGAGCACTACAGTTTGTGCGTCAGGAGCCTGCTATCACTGGGAACCTCGTCATATTGTCGTTCTCAAACCTACCTTGTGCTACGATTAGCAAGGTAGTGCTCATCTATACTCGTCACTAAGCCCCTATCTTCTATCAATTCAACTATCCCTCCTCCTCAAAACCCACACTCATACATCACTGGGTTTTACTTTGAAGGATCCTCATATATACCACCCCACTAACAACCAGAGCACCCACTGTTCTAGAAGGCAAAGCCCATAAACAAGTTCCGTGGAACCTGGGAGGATTGTGTGTTAGTTTGTTTTTGTGTGTGGTTTTCTAACAGCAGTTCTCATCATCGACAACAATCCAACCAAGAATTGGAGATCTACCTCCACATCTTCTGCCAGAACCAACCGCACAGCTGGGCAAAATACCTTACAATCGCTGAATTCTGCCACAACCAACAACCACACTCCACAAATAATCAATCACCATTCTACCTCCTCATGGGATATGAACCCCAAGGAATCCCGACTGAATACCAGTCCACAAATATCCCATCAGTAGAAAAATGATTATCCGGACTACTTTGTAAGGACCATTTATTATTTTCTCTATGTCTTGGTTTTCAAACACTTTTCCCATTACACCTCTGGCTCTAGGGCTGGAGGTATCATTTGCTATTCTACTTCTCATAGCCCTCACAGGCTTTCTCAACCATTGTTACCACTTTATATTGCAGATCAGAGACTGGGTATCACCCCCAGCCAGCCAGCACAATGGGTAAGGGCTAGTGGTAGACATCTCGCCAACCAGCTCCAAGCCCCATCAGTGCCTGGAGATACTAATAGACGCTTTAGTCAGGATTGTACCTCATCATGAGGATACGGTTCCTGAACATGCGTGACAACACTTATTATTAGTACACTTTCCCACCTGCTGATTAATTGTCAAAGTCATATGATAGTTATCCTTTTTCTTATTGGTTGATTTTCCTCTCAGACCACTTTCCTTTTATTCTTCTTTTGGTCTGAGGGATAGACGGTGTCGATGATGAGAACTGTTGTTAGAAAACCACACACAAAAACAAACTAACACACAATCCTCCCAGATTCCACGGAACTTGTTTATGGGCTTTGCCTCCTAGAACAGTGGGTGCTCTGGTTGTTAGTGGGGTGGTATATATGAGGATCCTTCAAAGTAAAACCCAGTGATGTATGAGTGTGGGTTTTGAGGAGGAGGGATAGTTGAATTGATAGAAGATAGGGGCTTAGTGACGAGTATAGATGAGCACTACCTTGCTAATCGTAGCACAAGGTAGGTTTGAGAACGACAATATGACGAGGTTCCCAGTGATAGCAGGCTCCTGACGCACAAACTGTAGTGCTCAGAAGGACTCTAATCGAAAGGGATGACAATGACTTCAAAAGTGGGAAGTGACGATGACAGCAGTTGACAGTGGTAAAAGTGGGAAGTGTTGTGACCACACTGGATCACAAGTAGCAGAGTAGTGAACTTGAGAGTAGAGAAGAAGTCTGGATTGGATTTCTTGTTGTTTTTTTACAAGGTAAAATACAGGGGTTTATATAGTAAAATAAAAGTAGGCTATGCACAGTATAGCTGTGCAAAAAGAATGAGAAAGAATATGAAGGAAGGAATATACGCTGACAAATCCTGCGTAGGTAGTACAGGATAAGATTGTCAAAAAAAGGAAAAGAAAGGGATAGAACAATAAATGCTGTGAGTAATGTCACAGGTTTGTACAGCCATAAAGTAAAGTCCAATAGCAAAAAGAGAGCAGGAAAATCATGATGTCATGGGAAGATGCAGTAAAAAAAGGGGCAAGGCAAAACACTATCAGTATCAACACAGTTCCTTTATTGTCAGTCAGACATTCTAAAAAAATATGTGTCCATAAAAATGATTCAAAAATCAAAAACAATCGCACTGTAAATGAATGTTCTGCTGAAAAAAAAGAAACTGGAGCCACCAGTCCACCACCTAGTCCAAATCCGACAGTTCCATGGCCTTACCAATGGACTGGTTGTGTTGGACCACCTGATCAAACGAGGGAGGGAGAGGAGTAGTTCCAATTTGGAACAAGTGAGTCCCAGGCAGCGTGTGATAGGTGTAGCTGTAGCGAAGACGATGGACAAAAGATAAGTGTACCCAAGTGAATGGGACAGTGATGAACATGGGTGACGCAAGGGGATGAACCTTCTCCAGCTCAAAAACTACCCACCCACGCTCTAACCAGGCAAGACGAGCGACCGATGTTTTGATAGTATATGATGGTAGATCGACGTCATGAAGATGGACCTGTTGCCCTATTTGGACCGGCCGCCGGGGCTTTGCTGATATCAGCAGTGGCACGTGGTAGTCAACGGATCGGCGACAGAAGCGGATAGGAAGTGGTGACATCAGAAATGGTGGGGGTGCAAATAAGATGAGGAGGAGGAGGGTGGAGGTGACGGAAAAGTGGATTAGAATGGGGATCCAGAAACGACCATCAGGTGAGAATAAAAAGGAGAGGAAGGGGCCCATGGTGGGGCTAGGCAAAGGAAGGGGAGTAAGGGAAACAACAAAAGTGAGGGCGCAATGCAATGTGTAGCCAGTGGCGACGCGAAAATTTGCCGAAATGCCGAAATGCGGAAAGTATCGGATGGAAAAGCAAAGGTGAGCGTGACTGGATTGCCTAATAGAGGTGGTGCTGATCAGCCACAAGTTCAAAAAGGGCAATATTAATTACTATTCCACGTGGCACTGTGCCTGTGTGGCGCAAAGGCGAGTCTTTTTGAATATTCGCTTCATTATTGACACCTGTCCATGCTACCAATCAACTTTGGTGCATGACAGCGGACGCTGTTACCTGATCAAATGGCACCATTACACTCATTCCGAAAACTCATGGGAACCCGAAGAACACTTAACCAGTGCTGCAGAGATACTAGAAGCCTATAAGAAGGACCACAAACTGCGTTAAAGAGACAATCACCTTCCCTCCTCCACTACCACCAGTCCTCTGTCTCTCAATGCAAACATGTTTACTTCCCACTCTACCGGCTTCCCTATCACCACCTACTCTGTACCCGGCGAAGCCAACAAACGAGTGTCTTTTGCCCGTGGGCAACAACATGACCAAGCTGACATCTCTGACACCATAGAACTAATGTCAGCCAGAAACGCCTATGTCTATCTATTTTACAAAACAGAAAAATGCTACCCCAATGCATACCATGCTTTTTCTTCCATGCATACCTTCCTTGCCATAGACCTCGTAGCTGATGAACTCTTAAAAGCCATAGACTCACTACATTTGTTGGAAAGCAAACATTCGCTGCTCAGCAGTCCGGACTCGAGTATCCGTCGGGCACTCTGGATGGAAAAGTTAGTTTTGGAATCTTTGCAACGATGCTTGAGGATGAACTCCTTGAGTGGGCAGACGGACGCGGCAAAGGCATATTTGGAATTAGGCGGGAGGACCTTGTTAACAGAAGCACACACGCGGATAGAGCGAGATGGTTGTTTGAGTACTCCTCCACCTGGTTTGTCCCACCGGTCCCTATTGTACCCAGATCGGACCAGTGTTACCCCGGAGCGCACTTACCACATTGTTACCCGACAACCTCCGCCCACCCAGTTAGCGGAAAAATACATTCCCACCATCCCAACCAGCCCGATCTCACAAGAGTTGAGCACCTCCAGTCCCCGTTCCACTGGGGGAAACCCAAAACCACAGCCACCCCAGTCGCCTCCACCTTGACCAGTACCAAATGCCCAAACCCGTCACCTGACGAACCGACGAGGAGCCCGACTTGGCCAGCAAGAAGTGATACTCCAGATCCCCGCCAGCAGAACTCCATTGAAGTGTTGATCTCATATGTCGAAGAGTCCGAAAGACAGTCCGCCTGGCACAATGCGCAGGCCTGAGGCTGGCTCTCCCTCCAATCCAATCAACGTAGACAATGCCGACATGGTCAACCAGTTGTACGCAGGAACGTACAACCTGGGAGATGATGATTGCCCTACTCCCCAATCCAACACCTCGTCCAATACCAGACAAAAATATTACCAAGGTGTTCACGACAACACTCCTTACTGCCAAAACTGCAGTTGAAGTGATCATCGCACATATTACTGCGAAGCCTACTACTGCCCCGACTGCGACCATTATGCACCAGGACATAGTTTCAACTGGTGTCCTATTCGTAGGGAAAACAAAGATAGGATTCTGATGGAGGGGTTACATGGAGATGTCAGCTACAACGATAGTTACAACATGGATGGTGAAGGTACCAAATTTCGGTGAAACTCGAAGCAAGTAAGGGGGTAATGTTATGATTTCTATTCTCTTTTACGGACTACTCATTTTTCTTTACTCATTGGTTATACCATCAGACCAATGACTCATTTCCTTCCCATATATTTCCATTCTCTTTGCAGTCGTATTACTTTGTATAGTACTTAGTCCTCAATGGACAGACCAGCCCTAAATAGGACCTAACTTCTATCACCGATTCTATCTCCTATAAATATGCTTGTAACAGTAGTAGTACTCTTCAATGTGATTCTATGCAGTTTACGCTTACAAAGCTAGACTCCTAAGATCAGGCTTTCATTTGGAAGAAGACCAACTCTCGTTGGAAGAACTCTATTCAGAACTACATTCTCAAACTTGTCTTCGGATAAGTCTCTTTGAAACCTCAATGAACCCTCAGACTTTGTTAAGCACTTCATGTGTAACACTATCAACAAATAATATATTGGTCAAGGAAAACACTACCTAGGCATTGGCTTGGCTACCCCCTTCCATACACAATGAATGGCTTGAACGCACTAACTTCAAAGACTGTCAAGCCCTCAATGAATAGTTACAAGAATGGCAAAATAAAAACCTGGCCAGGGACGGTGTAAGCTAACTAGCTCACCACAATGACAACATCACTAATATTGTATTGCATCATTGCTCTGTATATTGGAATCCTACAGTATATCAACTATATAATCCTATCATTCGCTACACTGTTCAGTAGGATAGTCCTTTCCCCAGTTCTATCATATCCTAATTCCAATTCTGACATCTCCCCATAATTCAGTGTTGCCACTGTATGGTGGCCTTACACTTTGCTTAGTCTATATATTGCGGCTATCTGTACAAGGGGCATCCAAGGAGGGGAGGCCTAACCCCAACTTGATTCTGCTAAATTCACCATGTTTTGTAAAGCTTATAGCTCACTCATTCAAAGGCCAATCAAGCTTGAAAAAATTAATGCATATAGATTGTAACTAATTCTATCAGTATATAAAAAAGCACAAATGGTGGTAGCAGTGACACTTATCCCAAGGTGTGGGAAAAATGAAAAAGTTTGGTGATTTTTGACACACAGGTATTTTTTTCCGTCTAGCACAATAACCTCTGTCAAAAGTGTTCTGTTCTAGCAGTGTAGATGAGTTGTTTGGCATTCAAATGGTTCTCCTGTTGTAATATTTGGGCAATGCGTTCAGGAGATATGAATCAAATGGAAAACAAATCAAGTCGGGGTCAGGCATTCCCTTTTTGGATGCCCCTTGTATCTGTATGGTATTATTTGCCATTTGGGATCTCCCTGGTTCGTTGGATGTCTCCAGATTACTACTGTTGCATTCGGAAGTGCACATCCACTGACAAGTATGGGTAAAGCGCCCAGAAAACGTTCGTCGTCGTCTGCATCGCATGGGAAGAAACAAAATATCGCGAAGCAAGCCGTAAAGAAGAAGCAGAAGCAAGTTTCTAAAGACTGGACGGCAAGGACTAGGGAGGCACTTGATAACGATGCGCATACCATATACACGGTGACTACCATATCTTGTACTTGTTTTTTTTCTGTTAATATTATTGTAGCTAAATGCCCAAGCCCAAGGCCGGCCACAGCCGTCTAATCTACCAGAGGCTAGCGATGCAGTTCAAGGCTTGACCGAGACAATCAGACATCTATGAAACAATCAAGCTTTTGAAGGAGATCAAACCAAAATGTATTTCTTATGCATTTCTAAATACCGTATCCAACGAACATGCTATAACTAGCAGACACCACCAACTTAAACACCAGATCAGTAAGTAACCAAAAACAACAGCTCGAATAACGAAATTGACAATCAAACGATTAGGGGGATTGTCGAAAACTGGACGAGGATCCAAAGTACATAATGATCAGAAGAAGTATATCGAGTACCACCCATTTACAGGCAGCAAGTCAGTAAATTTCATAATGTAAATTCGAGATGGGGAAAAAAAATATTGTCCGAAATCATACACGCAAATCATAGCCAGCAATCCAGCAGCCAGCTCTCATCGCAACTCGTCGCATTTCATCACTTGCCCATACAGGCCTACCTGTCTTCCCAGTTCGGTTTGGGCGAGCCGAGAGACAGTTTGCCTTGTAGCTTCCTCTGTCGTAAGTTCTTTACTTCTGTGTTGATTAGGTCTCGGAGACGCTCCAAGTCAAGACTACGCTCCGCTCGCGAGCCCATGAGAACATTGCGCCAGATCCCTGCCGCAGCAACAGAATTATCGATATTGAGCTGCATTGGTCGATGCAGACGGACCATCTTCTGCATAAGGTGGTCTGGGTTCGCATAGATAGCGCCTGGCCAGGCAACACGGATGGCAAACCACCAACCGAGAGGCTGTAAATGATGAGCAGAATATCAAAAGAAGAACCAAAATAAAAGACTCACTCGACCATCAGGAAGGGTTCGTTCAGGGTATGAGTCGTAGGTTGTCAATGCACCATCCGGCAACGAAAATCTAGATCGAAAAGTCAATACGTGGACGGAAATGCCACCACCACGAGAACCTACCTGTGCACAACCCAGTGGTTCTCGTCCGAACGGTGCTTAGCAAGCACCACAATAAGTCGTGGGGACCCTTCTAATCCAAATGGCGCCCAAAGATCTCTTAACATCCCACACGCATCACCATGACGTCCGTTGAACACAGCGGTACTTATGGCATCCGCCATGTTGGGGGGAACAAACAGCCTATCCACGCGTCCACCAGGACTGTCAGTCATACGACTCCTCACATATCGCTTGTACGTTTGAGTCGACCAGATACTTAGTGCAACCTCGTCCACTTGCTGTCCGCGAGTCGTACTATTCAACGCGCCATCGATTTCGCTCATGGGCCATATGATCGCCCAGCTGAGTAAACGTTGGTGGATTCGTTGCCACGGCGGAGGAAGCGTCTCGCCGAACTCGCCACCGGCCTGGTTCCAAAGTTGAGAGTTTTGTGAGGGTACCATATCACGGCGACTGCTTCCATCTTGACCAAGTGGAATAGGCGGAAGCGGCGGGGATGATGGTCGACGATCTGTATAGTTACCCGAGTCTGGTATTTCAGGCAAGCCAGACTCCGTAAACGCGCCATGACCCTCCTCGTACTCATCCTGGTCGTCTCTTGCCACTTCCCACGTTTTATGGGTTATCGCCGACTGACTTCCACCGGGCTTCACGCGTAACTTGTACAGCTCTTCCTCCAAGAACTGCTGACCAGGCGAGTCATCACGGTCGCCCGTCATAAAGTCACTAATTCCACGTGTCTCGGTGATCGTCGTCGCACCAAATCCATGCATATGGGCTCCACCATCGTCATCGTCGTCATTGTCAACCTCGTCCCCATAAGTCCCGTTATCTTCAGAGCATGTAAGAAAACATATCGTGGCATTACACAGGAAGAAGACTAACCCATAATCTCCGTCTCGCCTGGTTGGAACATCGATTCGGCCATGGTACCGGTCGGCTGTGTATTAATATTCACTGTTTGCGTCCGAGGCGTCTGTTGTTCATACTCTTCACCACCATCAGTGTATTCTGTATGCATGCGGTATTGTTGTTCTCGAGTAGCTGTGGATGAAGCATAAGACGCTTGACTTCGAGGTGGCATTTGAACGGGCAGGGACTGAGGGCTCAGCACATCAAGACGTTCGTGCATCTTAATCATGCCATTCATCAGTTCTTTCGCCCATTCAGGGGGCTCACGCTATAAAAACAAAACAAAGTCTAAGACAAATAGAGGATGACAATAGGCGAGGGAACGCACCGTGTTGGGTTCAAACTCGACGTCAAGATGGACACTTGGATCGTGGTTATGAAACGATTTATGGTATTGTTTGATTGACTTTCATTCGATACAGTCAGCGCCACTCTGAACTTCACCAAAAATATAATGCTCACCTCCGGATCGTAGTCCATTCCAAGCTTCTTCACACGTTGCCTCACTGCTTTTCGTAGAGCCTTTTTCACAACCTCATGCGTGGTGGTATCGTCCATCTGATGCAGCAATATACACAAGTCCATATCATGGAAATGCGAGTTGACAATCTCGGTCTCCAGCGCGCTAGGTGCATATGATGTACGTGTGCGTGGACCGCGCGACGCAAGAGCAGCAGCAACGAGCTCTTCTTCGGCTGGGTTTAGTGAGAATGACGGGGACTCGGGGCGCGATGGTGTAGGCGTTTTCCCTCCATCAGCTTCCACATGAGAATGTGAGCGATGACTACGGGACTGATGAGAGTGTATGTCTGACAGCTTGCTGCTCCGGACCTTATTTCCAGCTTCCGAGCGCGAAAGAACTGATTGCTGTCTCTGCTGCACTTGCGTCTGTGTAGCTGACGAGGCCGCGAAAAGAAGGTCCTCGTGAGTCGCTGCATGACGGTATGGTGAAAATGGACGGTTGTGGTGTGACGGAGACATAGGACCACTACTCATAGCCCGCGCCTTCGCTTCCCCATCGCTCATCCCGCCACCACTCACCATGGACCTCACCTTCTCTTTCCCTGGGCTCTGTGGAGCCTTTTTCAAATAAGCCTGACTGGGAGAGTCCGATGGCGATACACTCGGCTCTCGCCGGTGTGATCGGGGTGAGCTCAATAGTTGTGTTGTTCGCCCCGAAGGGCTGAGCAGTGTGCTGGGAGGAAGAGGCGGGTAGTCCGTCCCCGTACGAGATTGGACTTTGGTGGTTGAACGTGATCTAACAGAATGAACCTGGGACTGCGATTGCATTGCTGAAACGTGAGAACGAGACGACATTACGGGGTCGTCTCCCGGCGCTACACTTTTAGTTGCTCTACTTGGAGCCCTCTATATTAGAACCAAACATGAGGATCGACTGTGAGCCTATACAAATCTACGAGCCACTTACAGTGGGAGCAGGACCAGTGACGGTTGCGCGATCTTCGCTTTCCACGATAGATCCTGACTTGCGGGATTTGGTATGTTGGCTGACTTGAGACTGGGAGTGGGAACGGGAGCGGGACTGTCGCGTCTTCGATCCACTGGCGCTCGAAGGGGGCTCAATGTTGATTTGAAGCGAAGCAGATGTTGGAGAGGCCATTGACATGGGCAGAGGAACGTTGACGCCAGTATGGGGTGTACTAGAAGGCCAGTTGGGCTATAAAAAGAGTCAGTAGGTGTCTTTGTGATACGGCAATGTGGGGTCGTCGACGTGCTAGACGTACCGCCCATGTGGTCCACAGCGGTGGTACACTGTTGTGGCCGTTGTCAGGGAGAGGGCCTAAATTGCCAAAGGAAGGGCCAGAGTCAAATGACTCGTAGTGTGGCCCAGGGGGATCTTGGGGGCCTGGCTCCGGCTGTCCACCAGAGATCCATCACCATTCAGCACCACACTTATGCTTTGGTGGAGAAAAATAGAAGAAAAAGTGAAGAAAGAAGAGCTTACCATTCCGGTTGAGCGTATTCCTATCGTAATTTCTGATTTTCGACCCTCCTGCACGTTTGAATCGATTTCGTCTCTGTCTCCGTCATCTCCGTTGCGATAGGACGCCTGTGAGCGGGAAGCGTCGTCGAGGCGAGCGGCGCTTATAGTGCTGCGGTTTGGGGAAGGCTGTTGGAGATTAGGAAAGCCAGAGGACAGTGGCGAGCCGATCTGTGACATTTGGGAGTCGCGCATGCCCTCAAGGTAAAGGAGAACTGTAGACAGATTGGTAATCGCTGGCGATGAGGACGAGAGCCAAGCTTACCTTTCTCGTTCGGACCTGTGAAAAGAGGAAATTGGGAATCAGTTTTTGGCTGGAAGATGTGTTTTATTTGCAAACCTGGTGTGCTCGAACGAAGAAGGATGGGTTTGAGAACTTCTGTAGCTCCTACAGCGGACATTTGATGGTGGGGTGTATCAGAGATAGAGATGAGAAAAAGGTGTCGCTGTGGTTATGAAGAGGTTATATGGCAGTTAAAAGGCAGAAGAAAGAAAGATCCGGAGTGGATGTGTATGGTTTTGAGGGTATAAGGCAAGTATCGGAGGCTGAGATTGATACAGAGAATACAGAGTTGAAATAAAAGCCGATAATTATCGAACAAAGCCTCATGGCCAGCCACGAACCTACACCAAACATGTACAAACACACGGGACTATTGTCTGTACTCGCTTCCCTATACGTACTCTCGCTTGTTCGCCATTGTCCACGACGACGACACCTCTTTGTCCAACGACTAAGCTGTATCAACGTCGACGGCCATGTCGACCACCAGTCATTTCTCAAGGCTCCACCTTACTCGCCAGATACTCCAACTACACCTGGGCACCCTCTGGAAGCCCCCCATTTCCGTACCCCATTCCACATGTCGGGTGATACCTGACTAGGACTGTAATGAACCGGTGGAGAGCTTGTCATTTTTACTGCGGGTTGATGTGCTTTTACAAAGGGCGCCAAATGCCTTTCGCCTGTACTTGCTCGAGTATAACCGATTTCCGGTGGTCATTACAAGGTCTGTAGACCCCGATAATATTAGAAATACATGCCATGGATTATATAACAAAAGCTACTGAAAATAACAAGACAATTCATTACACATCGTCAACCTCTGCCTGAGGCGAGTCTGGCCATTCGATGGGCTCATCATCATCCTCAGGAGGATCAAAGGTCTGAGTACTGGGGAGCTTTGGGTCTGTGTTTCGAGTCTCCACCAATGTGGCATCCTCCGAGAAGTCAGCAGCATTACCCCCAACGTCATCCGTTGCTTGGCTGTCAGATATCGTATTCGACACAGACGTTTCTTGCGACTCAGAATCTTCGCCTCCCTTCGTTTTGCTGCGAGATTTTTTCTCGGGGGCAGCACCAGGCGGGAGGCCGAAAAGCGTCATCTGCTTAGCCAAAGTCTTTTCCTTTTCTTTACCCTTGCCATTCAAGGGCCCTGCCAAAAGTAGATGTAAGCCAAATGCAGGAACCTGTAAAACAATCCATACGTTTTCCTTTATCCGATTCTGCAGCCTCTACTCTGCTGAAGAAGCTATCACTCTTTTGAATAACCTTGTTCCCATCTGGTTTTCTCGCGAACGGATTCCGATTGGGCTCTTGCCCCGACTTCCTGGCAAATGGATTTGCCCCTATGTTCCCGATTCATCAGTCTCCATACTGGAAATACAAATACCCACTCACTTGACTTGAGAGCGAACACATCAGGCTCACCTACCGCGCGTCTTTTAGGATTAACTTCTCCATCGTATGCATTAGATGCCAAATCCTCTTCGTCGCCCCTCTTCCGCTTCCCTTCGGGAGACGCCGATCGCGAGATGGGCGGAGGCATTTCTGCAACCCTCGATCGCGCAGCTCGGGCAGCGGCACTGGCAGCCGTAAACTCCGTATGCTCCACTACACCTGTGGAACGAGCAAGCCCTGGCCTTTCAATCCTCGGTGGAGGTTTGAAGTCCTGAAAAGGCTTAGGACGCGAGAGTGGTTCATCTTCTCTGCTCAGCCCCTTCCTTCTATCCCTTGCTTCCTCTGCAGGATTCAGGCTCTCCAATCTCCACCTCTTAATAGCCTCGATCTTTTCTTGCAGACCCACAAGACGGTAGAACCCTGCAAGCTGGCTGGCGGCGTCGATGGAGTGAGTGAAGTGTAGTCGTTTGGTGAGTTCGAGAACACGAGGAGCCTTGTCAGCTTTACACGCGGCTTGTATGAGTTTGATGAGTGATTTGTCCAGCTCGACCTCGCGTTTATCGAGCTCGGGGGTACTAAGTTCATCACCCAGGGCATCCCGAGCGAGATTGATGTGTATACGCTCCCGAGCGACTCTGTATGGTTTAGATTTTTTAGAACAGACAATCAATGAAATTTACGAAATCGATCATACTGTTCCTCAATAGGCGCCTCTTTAGACTCTATATTGCGGAAAGGTAGCCGCACAGGTACCTCTTGGATAAGAGGTCGGGGGAATCCAGGATATTCTTGACGTCCCTAAGAATTTCGAGGACTTCATTCGATATATCCTCGAACCTATCCTATGCTCACGCACCTTCAAAATCAGACACATCACCGTGTTCTGCGAAAGCCCGACTAACCAGTAAGACTCGTCCTTACCCTGCTTACGTTCGAAGGCGTTCGTGTCCAGAAGACGCGCCCACACCGCACGGTTCGGCCTCCTGAAATTAATCATGATGTGGACATAACCAGACGAGTCATATATCGCGGGTGCCTATCCATACATGTTAAGACCACCTTCAACGAAAGTTATTTGAACAGTGCAACGTACACCTTCATCGGTTATGCCGATCCATTTGAGGATACTTCCCTTTGTGATGGGCAAAGATTTTTCCTGTAGAACTTCAAAGTCCTCGAATGAAATCATTGTAGCCACTAAACTTTGTGACCCTTGAATTACGCAGAAAGACGCCGCCCCATATCAGACCAAGTTAAGTCTTCATGACAGTATGCAAGCTTACCGTCGATGGTTGTCGCGCCGGGACGATGAACCACAATAACATACTCCTCTGCTGCAGCCATCGCCACGAGGTCACCTTCTAAGCCTAACACAATCCGTTCCATCCCTCCCCCACTTATGAAAGTGAGATCTCCCGTGCTCGTGGCAATCACTACGTTGCCCTGCCCTTGGATATCCCCTCCAGAAGCTGACATTGTCCGCAAAGAATTGATGGGCTTTTCGCCTCCCGCTGCGAGGCCCAAAACACTCTGTCCCTGGGGCAGTACATATGTCCACTCACTCTGAGAGGACCACGTGCCATACGGTTTGTAGACTACTTGAGCTGGATGTTCGCTCTCAGGCGGGCAAGCAAAGAGTGCCCCACGCTCGCCTAGCAGAACGACTCAGTATATTGTCATAAAGATGAGGATATACATACCCAGATACGCAATATCGTACTTGAAGTGGTCCGTGAAGTGGTACGATTTTCGTGACGAGCGGTCATGAAATTCGACATTTACAATATGGTGCGTGTCTTGATCCGTCACCTCAATCACACCGATCATGTTATAGGCTGACATTTCATTGGAATCAGCATACACCTGGCATTAAACAACAAAATTCGAGCAAGCACGCACCCAGGTATCGTTTCTTGTTCTCCATCGGCGTCGAACCTGGCTGGAACGCTGATTGAGCCTTCGTAATGCTCACTACATCTATGTCAGCTTATTACATGGGTTATTTCAGAAGTTATCTCACCCATCTCTTTTACAAATCCATCTCCTATCGCCTTGACTCTTCCATCAGCCGATTCGTCTTCCATCCCTCCTCCGAGATCATCAATTATCCAATCATCTCCCATATCTGCTTCTTCCATTCCAACATCCTCGCCGACAGCTGGAGTATCATCATCGCCCCATAACAGTGGTGTAGTCTTCCGCTTAAGAGGTACTGTGGTCGCAACCGTGACGTTCGGCGGACGAACGGGGTCAGGAGACCCCGAAGGCACAGCATCCAACAAACGCATAAACACGCCCTCGGTGTCCGTCCACGCGACGAGGTTCTTTGTCGGTGAAAATGCGAGCTGGGTAACGAATGCGGACGGCGTGCCCGGATGTCTAAGCACATATAAGATGCCATGAAATACGATATAGATACAGAGAACTTACCTCCAGAGCACACGACGGTTCTGGATGCTCCATATAAATACTTCTGCTGCGCTGGTATTGCCAGTTCCTGCGCATGAACTAGCGAGATAGAGACCGTTTGGAGATATTGCCAGAGCGGTAGGTGCTCCTGAAACAGAGGCATCTGTGAAAGAAGACGTTTTAGCCCACGTCGTACGCGATACGTTGACAATATCTGAAGAATCATATCAATGATGAGTATGTAAGTATGTAGTGGGAGTGAAAATATACCATGGAGTCGAGAAGCCGTAAAGAATGACTGCCCTGAAGGATGCCACACTGCAGAACAATCATGCATATACTCTGATGCTCTATGATACCCAACAAATAAGCTCGGTCATAGAATTATAGCCATAGGGTACGCACTCTGTATCATGGACTTCTGGAATGACCCCTTCAATTACTTTTTCTGTGACAGCCTCTTCCTGCGATAAATTCCACACAATTATTTTACCATCGGCACCACTTGTCGTCTACAAAGACAGCGCAGAGTAAGCAGATTAGAAGCAAGAATTCAAATTGAGAGTAAGAAGTTAAAGACATACAAGCAATGATCCAGATGGATGCCATGTGACCCTCCGCACACCTCTGGTATGACCAGTCAATTTAAAAACCTTCGTAGTTTCCTCCAAATCGACGATTTTTATTGCCAATTCACTGTATGATGCACCATGTTTTAGTCAAGAGCATAATGAATGGCTTTTAGTGTGAAAACGTACTCAGACGTCACCGCGACACGCTGACCTTGTGGGTCTATAGCAATACACCGCACTGGTACACCAACTACGCTTGTCACGAGCCCCTCTAACGCGGTTGTACCAGTTGTATACCGCCGTACCTCGCTATCTCCGCTTCCTGAGAGCCAGCAGTCCTTCTAAGCATCGATTCACAGCGAATCAGTGGAACCCAAGATGAGGACCTAAGCAAGTAGCCGCTACTTACAGCAGCAGCCACAGTCGTGACACCCTCATTGGCTTCTATTGCAGCAGATGGCTCTTGCTCTTGCCCCTCATCCATTCGCCATACTCTCACTAATGAATCGGACCCTCCAGTGTATGCCAATCTATGGTGCAAGTCTTCATTCACTTCGATCGACAGGTTTCAACGAAAAACTCACGCTCCATCACGGGAAAAAGAAAGGCAAGTAAGACCAGAACCGTGCACATGATTGGTTAGGATTTTGCTTGTAGACATCCTGTAAAACGAAGGCGGAAAGATAAAGCTTGGCCCCAAGCTGAAGCCCTGAACAGACAAGAGTGGTTTACGCGTCACGATGCCACACGAGAAAACGCGCCTTTGTCACATTCACGTGAATGTCACACTGTGGTGACGTACTGACAGGCAGACTTGGACACACATTCAATCACTACAACATGATTACCGGCAGATGTTTTCCATTAAGCCAAGCGTATGTATCAACTGTAATTTAGATAACCGCCACTCCCTTCGTGTAACCAAGAACATTCCCTGAACCAATTAATCATCAGGCTTCTGGTTGGGACACAGGGGGCAGAGCCTGGTATAGTTTGCGGGTAATATCATTCTCAAGATCAATTAAATACGATCCTCCCTGGTGAACGAATCTGTGATTAGTAAATCCTGTTGAATAGATATTAGTAATGTTAATTCCAATAGAGTTTGAACTACTCTTACCTCGGGCGCAAATGGCCACTGGTCGAAGGCATCAACAAGGACAGCCCAATCCCGAACAGACATGCTCCGGATACTCTTCTTAATATCCATACGTTGATCGGCTGGAAGACTTCTATCGCCGATTTGTTTACCCAGTACTTCAGCGCCAGGAGCAAGATGACTACATAGAAGTTCATGAATACGGCGTTTGTCAAAAGATGGGATTGCTATGTACCTGAGAGCGGAGCTAAGTGCAGTTGATTTAAGTACGAACAAGCGACGAAGACAGTAGTCCCACTTGTCCAACATATCCTTCTTGATAAACTGCGAAACAAATGAGTGCCTATATCTCTAACCATACAGTAAGCAATTTCACGTACCTGGTGCTTATGCGGATAAATGTTGATAGCGACCATCGGAGTTCCGGTGCGTCTGTTTTCCGGCCTCGTCGTGTAAGCGATTTTCGGAGAAACAGGGTGCCAGTGCTCGTCGTATGGCAATAAAGCATCTCCTGAAATTGCCTCCTCGCATTCAGCCACAGCTTGCGCAATGACGCTCAGTTTGCATCGCGCAGTATCACTTATTCCTGCTGATATGCGCTGGAGATCTCTTTAACACCAACAATTACGTGCAACAATCACACAAAACGTACCTCCCATACCCACTGATGCATAACATAACTCATAGGAACCCTCCCCCATTTAAATAACCATTGCTGTTCTGGCATTGTACGGAAAAGCTGCGCTATGAGTTGCTCACCCATCGTGGTCATGGGGAGATGTGAGATGAAGTGCAAATGGGGATGAACTGTTTACCAACTCATTGTCAGAAAAGATATGTAGATGATATACGAGATGATTCAAGTCGAACCTTTTCCTGACCATGGTGTCTTCTCTACGCTATCCAAAAGTCCCATGCACTCCAAATCGTGATAGCTGTCCCAAGCGTGACCGTTCATCGGAAGCACATGAACTCTAGAATCAGCTTCTTGCAAGGGCTTGATTGATTATCACATCACTACTCTTCAAAGTCAAGAAAAAAGGACTTACTTTTAGGTATTCCAGATACGGCTCATGGTCTTCCAATACTATAATCTTTCGTATTCTGCCCTTCGGTAGCTGCATCAAGGCACGCGTAAGTGCGCCAGGCCCTTCGATACCCCATATTGACATCCAACACCGGTAGCTGAGCAAATAAGACAGACATACCTGGGAAAGCTTCGATCACAACCTTGTCCTTTGCAGAGGCCGGTACGAATGCATTTGCTAGAAGCGAAGCTGTCTCTGGATTGCGTATCGAAATGCGACTCCGAGCATTCACCCCACTTATCGAGAAGGCCCGTCGCCAGTCCGCTGCTGCAGGTAGTTCAAGCTTGTTCCCCTCTGGTATAACAGAGACATCAGAGACATCCAATTGCGCTTTGCGACTAATTTTCGAGGTAGGTTTCGATGTAGTTTTTGTACCACGTTTGGCTCGTGGCTTGGCCGCACCCGCCTTTTCAATCTCTCCCAGTATCAACTCCTCTGGTATCACTTTGGTTCCATACGAACGTCTTAGAGAAATCGAGCAAATCCTCCGAGTAAGAAACGGAGCAAGCATTGTGCGCTTAGTCAGTGAAGCAAAATTGAAGTTTCCAATGAGCGCACGTGACTATCAATACAGCAGAATTGTTGCAACTTTATACATCGTGAATCATCAGTGCTAATTTAATTCTCGTTTTCGGGTAACAGTCCCAGACATCAACAACACGACCGACTCTAAGCAGCAACAAACATGTTTCTCGTGTCCTGCGTACTACGCAGTGTCCCAAGGGTGGGCGATAAGCTTCTTGCCACTTATTAAATTGTTCTTTAGTCTCTCCAAGCCGGGGACAATGCCGTTTAGACCGTCAGGTAACACCTCCACAGGGAGGGGCTGGGCAACAATTTTATTAGCGAGGGTTTTACTCAGCATTTGACCATAAACACATACCACCAACTCTGCCTCCGCAAACATTCGGGTCAGTTGACTATACATGCGTGTACCAAATTCTCTCTTTTCGGGGGGAAAGAATGATCCGAACATCAGAAGAATCTGCTTGTTATCCTCAGGCTTTGTCTGGATAGTGGGAGGAAGCACAACTGCAATTTGTCCTCCCGAAACGAGAAGATCGTATCCAGCCTGTTGAGTCTCAGAGGTTGCCACTGCGTCAAACACTAAGGTTGTGGGGGTAGACGTGACTTTAGCGACTTCCTGGGCCAGCGAAGAAAGCGGAAGGTGGCGGTCAACAACGTGTGTAGCCCCAAGAGAAGTCAATAGTGTCGTATTGTGAAGTGAGGCCGTAGCGATGATGGGGGAAAATCCGGATAGCCTTGCTACTTGGATGACTATAACACAGAGACAGTCAACAAAATGAAGGAGCCAATTTATTTTTGACAGCTTACCAAATTGCCCTACAGCAGAAGCCCCGCCCAGAACAACAATAGATTTACCCGTATACTTGCCCCTTCCTCCTTCTTCCCAAGGAGGTGTAAATGCAAGCCCGTGGGGTTTTGGCGAATAAAGTGCATCAACAGCTGTTGTGAGGCCCGCTGGAATGGATGCAGCTTGGTCTAGGGAAATGTTGTCAGGTATCTGTGACAAAATAAGAATCGGTATCAAATGGATGAAAATAAATAACATACCTTAGCAGCGTGTGCAGCTAGCATAATGGTATAGTGTTGAAATGTAGCATGCCTGTTCGTCATGAATCCCGAGAAGAAGCTGGAATATTCGATTAGAGGCATCAGTACGGTCAAGAAAACTTACACTTACACTTTATCACCTTTAACATGTTCGGTAACGCTCTCACCAACGTCTTCTACAATCCCGGAACCCTCGAAGCCTAGAATAGCAGGATAGTCTTTGATCATACGGTTACCGTGATCTTGTACTTTCCAGTCTAAGGGGTTGAGCGCAGCCGCCATGACCTTGATAAGCACTTCATCGGGACCCGGTTTCTCGGTATCCCTTGTACCAAGTTTGTACTGCCCGAATTCTTTCGGGAGCCAGAGAGCAGTTTGAGTAGACATCTCAAGGTTGCGGGTTAGAGTGGAGATTGATTGAGCTGGGAAATAGGTTGCACAAAACCTAAGGGGCTTATATACCCAGCCAGACGATGGGCCACTTATCTAATCAAGCATGATTGAGAATCGTAGGTACTGTCCACGTAGAAGAGATGACAGATCAATCAACTTTACCACCGTATAACCATTATGATACACACCGTTTTTGACATCACCGCACACGTAGACAAATCGGCGCCTCTTGAAGACTGTTCCCACCGCGCAGTAGTGTCGTGACTGTTTGCGGTGATGTCAAAAACGGTGTTATACGTACTAGCCCCTAGATCTATTCTGGGCGTGTTGTTATACCTATGTTTTGTATATCGAGCTAGTTTCATTGATTTCTGCCAGTGCAGCGATCTGTGCACAATATTGATCGAGGACCAAATCACTATCCAGAGGGGTTAAACCTGTGCAAATGCAAGTACATCAATAAGCCAGTAAATGAGAGATTCACCTGAAGGTCGTGCCTGCCGAGCGACGCGTCAATCGCGTCAACATACACGGCGGGACTCCTTTAGTTTATGTTGATGACACATTATGACAGTAGATCGATATCTTGCTAAGCTCTTGTTTTTTTATAAGTGGCCATGTGATTATCGTCTTATTTGAAGCAACCAATCCATTCTTTCACCTGAGCAATGGACCAAGACAAAAAATTGGAACGGTTTTCATACTTTCCATGAATCCTTCAAACTGGAGTTTCGAATCAAAACCAGAGCCAAACATCTTGCTGCACGACAAACAGCGCTCCATCGTAGTCCGTGTCGAGCTGATCCATACGGCAGTCTAATATCAAGGTGGTAATCCGGTAAGCTAGTGCTGTAAGAAAAAGTGTCAGTAATCAAAATATTCAAAGATTGAACTGGCAATGTCGCCTCTGTGAAATTCTGAATTTCCAGTCGCAGTGTGAATCAACGTATTGACATTTCGACTTGAAAGATTTAGACTCAGATTACTCATTGGCAGTGTCTCACCAGCGCTACGGGCTCAATGGCAAATTCATTTTGTCGAAACACGATGTATGAACATTACTTCAGACGTCTCTTTATTTCTGTTACTCTCATACAACTATCGCAGTAGAAATACATAACCCGAGTGTGGTGTGCTATGTGCTGGAGGCCTCACACTGTCTCATGAGGGTGAACGACCAGCTTTCTACCACTGACCAGGTTGTCCTTCAGCCTTTGCAAACCAGAAGCTACACCATTCAACCCTCCCGGAACAACTTCCACAGTATTGGGCTGTATACACAGAGGAAAACTTCAGCATACTATCTCTAGGCAATCATTTACTAAAAGATTCAAACGCACTATTATATCACCATCCGCCAGATATTTGGTCAAGTGACCGAACAGAGCGGCTGCGAACGCTCTCTTGTGAGGAGGGTGAATATTACCAAAGACGCGAAAGACGGTCTTGTTGTCGCCGTCCTTGACCTTGACGGACTGTTCCAATGCAAGGATGAGATGACCACCAGGGGCGAGGATATCATAACCAGCTTGTTGTGCGTCAGCTGCAGTAACACTATCGTACACGAGCTTGATGGGAGTCGAGGTGATTTTAAGAATTTCAGCTGACAGAGCGGAAGGCGATAGGCCACGATCAAGAACGTGGGTCGCACCAGTTGACTTGAGAAGCGCGGTATTATGAAGGGATGCTGTGGTTATGATGGGGGAGAATCCGGATAGCTTGGCCCATTGAATCGCTGAGCCGTTGAATAAGCCTTCATAGCCCATTGAAACTTTACGATATGTACTCACCATACTGACCGACAGAAGTAGCCCCGCCGATGACCAAAGCTGGCTGCCCACTAAAGCTCCCCCTGCCTCCATCCCAGGGTGCTCGCAGTCCAATGCCGTTCGGCGCCGGAGAGTAAAGGGATAAAGCAGTTGTAGCAATACAAACAGGGAGCGTTGCTGCTTGATCAAACGATATATTGCTGGGGATCTGACAACATAATATTTTTATTGTTCACTCCAGATCAAAAAATGAGAACCTCCCCTACCTTGCCGACTATTTCTGCTGGGACAATCACATACTGCTGGAAAGAAGCCTTCCTGTTGTCCATGGTAGCCTGGAACAATCTGTGCACAATTCATTGATCAATATATGTCAATAGGAGTTGCTGGGAACTCAAGACACCTACACTCTTTCTCCTTTAGCGAATTGAGTGACGTCTGGCCCTACTGCTTCAACAATTCCTGCTCCTTCGTTTCCAAGGATAGCGGGATAGTGCTCTACCCAGAAAGCATGCGCCTGGATTTTCCAGTCAACCGGGTTCAGGCCAGCTGACTCAACTTTGACCAAGATCTCGCCAGCTTCAGGAGTAGGTATGGCATGAGGCCCAACAGCGAAGGACCCTCGTTCTTCGGTAAGCCAGAGAGATGTTTGAGAGGACATGATACGAGGGAGTAAGCTTATGGGTGTAACAACAGAAGAAAATTCCGCCTACTTTTATTGTCTACAGACGCTCATTCTCATGAGCTTCCTTAAGTGGAATGCCCATCAGTCAGTTGATATCGACTGTCATATCATTGATTAAATTGGTCTGACTGGGGAGACTAATCAGTCAGCAAGATGAAGGTCGACCCCCGCGTATCGGCTTGGATGTGGTATCCCTTAAAAATGGCCCGATGTCCGATCCATATGCTGACGGAATGGCCGAAAATCTGGCAAATGTCCGATCCTGGGGGTGCGTCGGTAGCAATGTCCGATTGGATCTTCGGACGGATGAGGCTTCGACGGCATGTGGGCTCACGTGGGTCTACCGCCGGCAAGCCCCCACGATGTTGCCAAACCCCAGTGCCGAGCAGCGGTCACTTTTTTCACTGTCTTCCGATAATGTAGCCCTGAACACTAGGTATGTTTGTGCTCGATCCTTCATAATTATTGACCCTTCACTAGACTCTGCATCAAGATCCATTCATATTTCGGACGCAAAACCCGTCGTGAGGGAGGGCCAGTGGTTGCAGATGCATTGCCAAACGGTGCCGATGATGCAGAAGATTCGGGGGCAGAGGGCGTCGACGGCGAAGAGGATACCTTCAGCGGTGACGAAGGCCTTTTTTTACTTTTTATTGACTATTAATACCTATACCTCCCTTCGTACACTAGTCATACTATAGCATTCTAGTTACTTTCCTCTCTCTGTTTGTGTGGACGGATCCCTCATAATCCAAAGTCGTATCCTGCCCAGGTGGACAAGGTGCTCGTTAATTGAGGTAGTATCCTTTTGGCGGACGGATGGTGCATCTACCTTTTTTGGAGGCTCAGAGCCTCTAGGAGTGCTCTTAGAGGCTCTGAACATTCCGTTTTGGGCTCACGTAAAGCACTGGCGCTAAACCAATTTTGTACAATTATGGCCTAATTCAGGTAGAACTTCGTCAAAAAACATTTGAGTTTGTGTGTCTGTGTGTCCCACAGATTAAAGTCACATTATCAGTAGATTATCTCAAGATAGCGCATAGATTGATTGATACTGATACATACTGATACTACGGGTGCTACAACGTCCATTACAACAATGTCTGGTAAAGCTCTTTGTCTGCATAGTGATTCAGGTAAAAAAATATTGGAATCTTGAGTGAATTGTTCATGGTGAGCTGTGGGTCTATGGTATGACCAAAATGAGGGATTAAGCCGACCGCATGTGATACACTAACAAGTGGAATGATTTCCCCTGCACGCATTCTTTGTCCACTGGAATCTAACACGGACGAAAAGCTTCTCTCAACAAGATACATGTTGATGTCCGGTTCCTCCAGCACCATATCATCCCTACCTCTCCACGTGAAGTCAAAATTCTGGATGTATAAGAGCGTTTCTTTTAGCCATATTGGAAGATCTGCACCACCTTTTTGAGAGACCGGCTGAAAAATCATTCGAACTTGGGCAACTTCGGAAACTGAAAGAGTATCAGTATGTACATGGGTGAGTAAAGGAAACAAATACCTGTTTTCTCATCAAATATCTTGTTCACTAGCACCGGATCGCAGCTACCATATAGAGCAGAAGGAGAGGGCGGCTGAGCATGCACCATCTGAGGAGACATCACTGACTTTGGTCGGTGAACAGAAAAAAGCTGAATCCTGAATTTGAACCAGACATGAACATCATTGAAAGAGAGTGCATCGCCACGGTCACCGTTTGCTATGGCATACCGAATGAAAAAGTCTTTGAGGCCAAATTTTTGCGCCGCTTGGTTGATAGAGACTTTGGGGAGATCTGGGGCACTGTTGGTATGGAAGGCTGCTCGACAGTCCTCTGAAAGTATCCCTTTCAAGAAGAGATTCTGCGCAGTGCGAATACCTTGAATACTCTTCTCTTCGGGAAGCACACGAGATATCCATTCATCCTCTGGGTTCATCTCAAAAAAGATTGTCTCCTCCTCCGCCTCCACTAAAGTGTTCATCAGGCTGAGTCCATGTGAAAGGAGTAAAGTAAGTATATGAAATAATTGAATCCTCTCCAGCCAATCAAGAATACGAGCACACTGCAGCTCGAAGTCGCTGCGGTGATTTTTGCCGTTGCTAAATGGATGCTTAAAGTGAGTGATGAGTAAGCGCTCAGTGACATCAGTGGTATACTGCATGATAGAACCCATCTGTAGAATGGCGCGACCAAAACTTTGCATTAGCTCCAGTTTCGGTATCCAGAAGAGCTTGAAGGGACCATTCTTCCCTTTTCGAACCCCTGCTTGCAAGATGGCATCCTTTTCCCTGTGGAATTCGCCAAGCGTCATTTCCAACGCTACAATAGAAGCGGCACTATGTACTGGAGCTTGGGCCTGATAGATAAAGTCTATCATAGCACGGATGACGCGAAGGAATGTGGGAGATGCGCGGCCACAAATAACAGCTACTATGCTGCGTTGTATATCCCAATGCTCTCTGCCTGTCATCTGTCTGACATGAGTCACTCCGCTGTTGAAGTGTCGATATCCAGTGCGTTTATGTAGGCTTCAATAACAAGCGTCTAGCTCTGGTTTTCCCATGATCTCCTTACACCAGACAAGGATGTGGTCAAAGAAGAATTTATGGCAAGTATGGAGAATTTCAGGGACAATGAATGTAGCCGGGTTGGAGTGCGCCCAGTCACGCCAAAAAGCTTCGTATACGCCACTTAGTCCGATCTTCTTCGCCTCTGTTTGTGTAACAACCAAGAGTTAGTTACTCTGGCGCACACAGGAACACACTATAAAGGTAGTGAATGGGGAGTGGTTACCCCTTAGGCTGCAGAGAGTTTGTTGGTTAACAACAGGAGGACTTGCTAAAGAGTCTCCTGGATCTATTGGGGTATATATACTGATACAGAGTGTTTGTACTTATGTACTGTACAGTTGATAAAGTCAGTGGCTGATGATGTCATGGGGCCTAGCCTGCATGACCAGCTCCACTATGTGAGAGAGTTGTATCTAAAATAAGAAGAAGGCAATGCGGCGCGAGAAAGAGGAGTTTGAACAAAAGGGGAAGTGCCGCGTGGCACCATGTGTGAAAGCTAAAGTATACAAGGTTAAAGTGGAGAATGAAAATGAAGGAAAGGTCCGAAAATTGTGTTATCGTAACAGTTTGGAACTTCCTGACGTCCCAGGGGTGAACTTTGCCTGCAAGCTGACATATGGCCTTGTAAATCATATCACCATGACGGGAAGGGTATGTTTCTGCATCGCCAAACTGTTTCAGGCTGGCCAGAGTTACGGGGGAAGAATTTTTGGCAACACATGCAATGAGTTGTTGTTCAGGAAGATCGGCTATCCACACAACAAGAGGGGTGTATGTGTGTTGTACTTGTCCAAATGGATCGGTAAAAAATGCACCATTCCTAGCACAATCTTTCAACCTATGGGTGATTTTGTCCATGCAAGCATGGTAGACCCGCGAGGACAACAGGGTTGCAATATCAGAGTTTCTGTTGAACTTTGGGATTGGCAGGAAACCAGCGCAAATCCAAGCGTGAGACGTCGCCTTCATTCTGACCTGTGAGTTAATATTCCCGATAGTGAAGAATATCGGGTGCATCTCCAAGCCCCCGGTTCCTCTTGTGACCATAGTCTTATCTGAGGCTCCAATAATCCCCACTAATGTTGCGCCTACAGGTAATCTGTCCTTTTACTAGAGTAAAAGAGGGTTCTGGGCCTCATAAATGATATTCTACATACCTGACACTCCCATACATAATTACCTGTAAAAAATTCACCATATTGTTTTTCTAGTTCGAAGTCAAAATTTGTAGCATAGACTGCCTTTGGATCAAAGGCCACGTTATTAGCAAAAACAGGATTGGAGAATAGATGCTGAACAACTTCGAGACCATCCCTCCATAGAAGCATTAATGGCTTTTTAGTTGGAAAGCCTTCCAGCTTCATCTCTTGTACTTTCCATCGAGGGCCACTAGGTAAAGCTTCAATCCAGGAAAATAGCATACATGATGAAGTAAATGAAGGAGAGTGTTTGCAAATCTGGAGACTTTTAGATATGTTGAACTCTGTATTAACTTTACACATACCCATGGTAGTTTGAGGAAGCGATTGATTTCACTCTGATTCATGTTCTCGCACAGAAATCTTGCAAGTTCCAATTCATCACGATCTACAAATGGATAGTAACAGTTGGTTTTGCAATCTTTGGCAAATTTGCCTGCTTGCATCTGCTCCAGGATGTTCAGATCAGTACCATAGGTATATCCAGATAATGGGTGGTAATGATATCCAGAATGATCAGTACATCCTCCATTTGTATTGATTACAGGCAGACAACCAGTGTTTGGATCATTCAAGTGCTGTAGAAGATCGTCCCAGGACTTGAACATCCTGTGAGGGCATGTTTCACAAGGGCAGTATATCATGGTGAGCTTCAATCACTGAATAGCGAAGATATCAGCTAAAGTTTGTGTCTTTTCTCTGAGAATGGACAGGGCCACGCAACTGACAAGTTCTGCGATAAGGCCTTCAAACACCACTCTTTGACGCATGTTCCCTCGCTATTCATCACTCCACCACCATGCTCCTGCAACTTCGCAAGTACAATGTCTCCCCACTGCTCTCCCCCAAGCTCTGTTGCTCCTTCGTCTTTGCCCCCACATAGCCCACCTAGTTCGCCAGATCCAGATCATGAACCAACCATAAAATTTGAGCCACCCTACCAGTCTCATCCTCGCTTTTATAGTCAACATTCCCGTGCTCAGCAAAAATATGAGCCTTATCCAAACATTTCCATGCACTTGATTCCCTCAATTGCAGATATTCAGTTTGCTACCAACACAATTGAATGGGGATCAAAGGCACGAATCAACCCATTACATGTTGCACAGGTACACCCTATCTTGTCTATTGTTGCTCATAAACTCACTCATTGATTAAAACAAGAAATATCTAAAGACAAGTTTCTTGCAGGTCTCTCTGCATTGTCACCAGGTGCTATCCGTCAAGCACTCTGTGCACAAAAGTTCAGCCTCGACACACTAGACGAGGAGATGAAGTGGACAAACAAGAAGGTCACAGAGTTAGAAGCAGTCAAGGATTTCCTCGAAGAAGTCCAGAAAAGCAATGCAGTTTTGTGTGCCGGCCTTTGTTCCCAAGTCAGCCTTATTGAACAGTACATGAACAACAACAATTTGGCTGTCATCACACCTCCATCTGATTGCGGTTCCAAAGGCTCTGTAGGTACATTTCAGGCTGAAATTGACAAACCTAGTAACATAGGCGACCTGGATTCTGTGGATGATTCTGACAAGAGTCCTGAACATGATCTTGGTCACGGGTTCTATGAAGTTGATGGTGCTGTGCAATTTAGGGGAGAGGATGAATGTTCCAGTGAGGAACTTGAGGAGGCCGAAGAAATAGGGGGAGGAGGAAATTAGATGCCCAACATCATGGCATCATGGCCACAATGCGGTTTCTTTTTCATACATATGACTATCTCGCTTTCATTATGTTGTATCCGGTCCTTTTGCTCTCCTCATGCCATTATCTCGTCAATTCTTTCATATTTATATTTTACCCCTATTATGCTGTAACAAACGTTCATGTATGTACGTACACAATTCTACGATTTGTTATTGGACAGTGCTTTTACAATGAGTGCCTTTGAGCGCCAACTGGTTCACTCTGTCAGGGAGCGGTTTGACTCGTGCCACAGCTGAACTCGCCTCATTAGATACATGATGACTCGACTATGATGTACTGTCTCCCAAACATGTTGACCTCCATGACCCGAGCTTCTCCCTGCCAATGGTGCTAGTAACAGGGGGATTGGACTCTGTACTGGACTTTGTGGTTGAGTACCATGCGTGATAACATGCTGGCCCCCGGCAATTTTCGGTTTGTAGTGTTCTTGTGTAGAACGGGTACGAGGGTTTTGCCTTTTTATATCATGAGGGTATTCGTGGTTTTTCCTGCAGGCTTTCTAATTTTGAACTTCATCTTCAACCAACATCTCGACCTCCATCATGTATCATGATTTCCAGGTTAACCTCAATCCCAGCCTCAATCCCACTACGCAATCACCTCAACAATCGTCATTTCAGATCGTGAACTACAGTGTGTCCTTGTAAGTGATCATTGTTTTATTAAACACCCACCAGATCAAGCTGACCACTACGCTGATACCAGGGAGGGGGGAGTTGAAGCTTTCCCACCCAATCTTGCGCAAGGAGCACCGATTGCAAATTGAGGGCGAGGGCAAGGGTGTGGGAGAGGGCGTGGAGATTTCAGTACAATGGGAAGATCTGGAGAGAATCAAGGGAGAGGTCGGTCTGGTGAGGCATCCAGGGGGTAGCAAGAAGGGGCAGGGTAAGTAAAGTTACGCTCTTCATCCGATCACATGACTGACAACAACGTCTCTTTTACAGGGAAGAGTCAGTATACCCCTTTTTTTTCCGAGCCATGCCAGCTACTGATCAATTTATGCAGGAAGGCCCAGAGCGCCGTACTCACTTAACAGCTGTTCAACTATCTCACTTACCAAGGCCAATATTTGATTCTTCGATTCATATCAGTCGCACTCTTACACCACACACAGCTACAGCTCGAGCCGACTTTTACGAGGTTCCCATCCAGTCGTCCTTTGATTTCAGCCATCCCTCTGTGGCCGACCCATGGTCTGGCAATCTTACTCAGCCGTTCAACAATGCCCGCGATTCAAGTCCCGATGCTGATGTTGAAGACTCAGTAGACTTCTACCAACATATGCAAGAAGATCAAGCCCCCGACAATCAAATCGACAAGGAGATCGAAAGCCAGATGCCAGACAGTGTGTTGGCCCCTGATTTTTCTTCCACACAACAGCATATTGTATTTGACGACCTCACATACTCAGCATCAGGACAATACAGCTATCAAAACCCGGCTATTCAACTCCCTGCACCACCCACATCATCAAATATAATTGCCTTGTCTTCGGCATCTTCTCAAGGTTGGGATTCTGCGCCTAGAGCGCCCTCATCATATATCCAGCAGCCGGTCTTGCAGCCTCTTCCTATGGCACCTCCAATGCACCTCCAACCCCCACAACCACCTGCGTATATTGCACCAGGTTCGTACATCCAGCCTCAGCGGTCTGCTTACATTGCACCTCCACCATACGTCATGGCTTCGTTGCACCCTCCCAATCCTGCCTCATCTGCGCCTGCACCTGTCCATAGCGTGCCTTTGTCACACCCTCCCAACCCTACCTCATTTGTGCCCGCTCCCATCCATGTTGCGTCCTTGTTGCATCCTCCTAACCCTGCCTCATCTGCGCCTCAACAAGCTCCCCAGCGCAACATACAATCAGGAGGACAGCCTGTTGCTTTAGGGAGGAGAGAGGGGCCTCGGAGAGGCGGCTTTGTACTCAATCAAGTCATCACGGTACATTTGTATTTATTCAGATTCTACACTAGCTAATATCTCTATCTAGGAACATGGTCCTGAAAGGGACATTGTAAACAAGTACCGCAAAAAAAATTGCGCGGCCCCACTCCCCTCAATGTCCTCATTCTCCCATGTACGAGAACACTCCGGCAGCTCTGAAAAACCCAGCACTTGCCGACAGTCAAAACGCAGGAAGAACAATACTGAAGGCTATTTCCACCTCACGTCGGCTACAGTCAAACGGGCATCCGACAGGTTACGGATACACACCATCAAAATTGAAGCCATGCCAGAGAACCAGTTTGCAGAGGCCGAAAAAGTTTTGGAGGAGGTGTTGAAGGAACTGAATAGCCCTTGTAAAGGGAATGACATGGATCACCACCCTGACGATATCAAGGAGGTAAGTGTCAGTTTTGGTGATTCTGCACCTAGTTGTGCTATCTATTTTCCCTTCTTTCTAAATCACTTTCCTCTTTATTCTTTTTGCTCTATTGTTCAGTATTCACTGAGCATTCTATGATTTCGCTTTTGTGGCTGATTTGTTTACCTTTGTTTACAAAACTTCGGACTAGTATTGCAGAGTCCAGTATTCCTATTCTTTAGTTACTCATACTGGACTCTAGGTACTGTACACATTCTGTACTCTCTGATAATACAGTTACTCATACTGAACTCTAGTTCTGTCCCTGTTAGCTCTCAGCAAGTGGCTAGACACTTCCCAGAAGTTCTCAATTTAACAGTAAGTTCATGCTATCCACTAGCTGTGGGGTTGCTAACAGATCAGATAGATCATGAACACTATGTATGGCACTCGCGGTAACTTCAAATCAAGCGCCAGTAGTATGTGCAAAGACGTGTATGGGCTTTGCCTGCCAGCCGACAATATGTGGGACATAACCGTCTCTGAGACGGAGTTCACCAAGGACCGAGTTGTGAATCTCCTCAAGAAGCCTAATCGTGCATTATTGCATGGAGGCATAGGCCATAATGTGAGTTTCCTATTCATTTAATCTCAAATTTCTGACATCATACACAGGGTAAATGTCAATACTTCCAACACCCAGCTGTTATCAATATAATCCTTGACGTTCTCTACAAGGTGAAGACAGGTCTAGGTCACATTTTTTCAAGTCAATTAGGTCCCCTTGCTGCACATGTTACAATTGCGTTGGCAGCTACAGCCTTGTATGCGGTGCTCAAGGAACTGAAGACTGGTGTTTTTGAGCCTACCGACTTCTCCGTCAACGCATTCCGTAAATTCTACAAGGAGATGTCTTCGCTGATTTTTGATACTATTTTGCAAGACAACGATCTCAAGGAGGACTACCTCGAGTTCCTCGCTTTTGTAGTTGCCCGCGGCATATTGATGTAAGTTTTTTTTTGTTGTTTATTCTCTTGTATACTTATTCATCTAATGGCCAAACAGGCGTTAATGTTTTTATGTCTCACATAGTCATGCTCTTTTGTTATCTTTCACTCTCATTCTGTTGTAGTCTTAGTTCTTGCAATATGATGTTATTTGATAGTATCTTATCAGCCTGACTTGTCTAAGATATCTAATCATTATCACAATCTTAGCCTCTGAGCAATTTTTTTTTTTTTTGGCCAACCTCTGTTCCCAAAAGGGATGTTTTATTCTTTCCTCCAATCAGAGACTTTTCCGACTTTTTACACTAGATGTTCCCTTGGTTATTTGTAAGCGAGAATTTTGTACTTTGCAGATGCGGGGCAAAAATCAAGGTCTAAGTAAAATGTGGACAGAACTAAGCCAAATTAGTAAGGACAGAAAGGCCAAAAATTGGCAATTTTGGACAGGACACTTATACCAATACACAGGGGTCCTCTATTGCACCATGAGCACACGAAGGATATGATAAGGCGTCATCTGCTGACAGATTTTCATAACTTTAAGGGCATTGTACATAGGTTCCAAACCACTGGGAAATGATATCAATGTCATCCGTTGTCAACCTGAAGCTCGGTGTTGGCGTTGTTTGTTCCTGGACCCGTAGGTTCCAGGTTTCCAAATGCCAATTGTCTGCAGTGATTTCTACGGACCTTTTTGTATTTAGTCACGCATGATTATGCCATCATCATTTTTCATTGTGAGCCCATCAGTGTTACCAGGTCCTCCCTTCATAGCTAGGCTAGTTCCTTTCAATAACAGGTGGCCTACAATGGTGAGGACAAAGCTAGATGCTATGGAGGAGCACTGTATCACAACACAATGGGATCCGCACCCGTGTACAGTGATTCTGGACCTTCTGGGCATGCAACCAATCAGTATGCTTTCCAAGTATGCCTTGGTAGCTTAGTTGGTAAAGCACCAGACCATGAAAGCTGGAGTCCCAGGTTCAAGCCCTGGCCAATGCATGTTTTCTCATACTATGAACAAATGTCATAATTTGTCACACTGGTGTGGCTACTCTTACCAAACTTTACATTTTTTTGCCACAACAATGGGAGTAGCTCACCGTACATACAACTAGCAGAGGGCAGATAAATGGTGCTACATAGTTTCCTTAACAGCATGTTTGTTGTGCATGTGAATGTAACCTGCTATACATTCAACCAGTGAGATCCAACAGAAACTTGGGGTCCAGGTCAGCCCCAGAGGGCAATGTTATCAGCAATAAAGGTCTCAATAAATGGTCTCGATATTCGCAACGTGACAAAGAAGATAAAGAAACAGCTTGCTAAGAAAGCTAGTGTTCATAATAGTAATTGCGCCGCATGAGACTGGAAGAGCTTCGTGGAGCAATTCGTGAAGGATAATTTAATTATAAATTCATGACTTGCAAGTGGCAAGGCGCTATATCTAGAAGCTTTTATTTGCATAGTGAGACCACCTCGAGTGCACATAAAATTTCTTTGTGTCAACAGTGATGATCCTACGAAGAGACTAATAAAACTAAGTGAAACTCAGCCGCTGGCCGAGAGGCTATAGAAACGACTGAGGTATTCCTATACTAAACCCCCTACTACTTATAGTCGGAGGTGCTACTCGCTACAGTATAATGACTCCTAGGAGAACAATGGTTACTCCATGGAGTGGTGGCTATGCTCCATGGAGAACAATGGCTGCTTTGGCAGAGACCGGGTTTATTCGGTTTTGTCACTCCCACTCGAGTGCAACCGTAGTCCCATAGCTTTAGAGAATTTCCAGTGTTTTTCGTGAGTGAGGGGTTTAGTGAGAATGTCTGCAACCATATCTCCTGTAGGAACGTATCTGATTACTGCCTCTCCCTTTGATACTAAGTCATCTTGGATGAAATGATATTTGCGTTGAATATGTTTTGTACGAGCACGGAACTGCTGATCTCGTGTAAGAATGATAGCTGCTTGATTGTCACAGTGCAATGTTGTAGGTCCGTTTTGAGCATGTCCAATTTCTTCAAAAAATGTCCGAAGCCATGCAAGGTGTTGTCCAGCATTGCTCAATCCAATGTACTCTGACTCCGTGGAGGATAAAGCGACCATGCTTTGTCTTTTGCTTGTCCAGGAGATTGCTCCTCGGATGGTGATAAAGACAAACCCTGATGTTGATCGAGATGTGTCTGGGTCTCCAGACCAATCTGCATCTGAATATCCATAGAATTCCATGTCCATGGAGACATCTGTGCCATCATATCGTAGTTCCATGTCCCTGGTTGCTTTCAGATATCGGAGGACACATTTTGCAGCTTCCCAATGATGGCTCCTTGGAGCTGAGCTATGCCTGCTTAGTATTCCAACAATGTAGGCAATGTCTGGGCGGGTTCCGAGCATGGCATACATGAGGGAGCCTACAATTGAGAAGTATGACACTTGACGCCCTTCAATATGCATCTCGTGTTGCACAATATCTTCCCCTGGAGCATTTGCAAGGAGTTTTGATCCATGGGCCATTGGTGTCCATACTGGTTTGCAGTTCTTCATTCCAAAACGCTCCAGGACTGTGTCAATGTATTGGCGTTGCAACAGGGATATTGTTTTGTTTGAACGATCACATTGGATTTCTATTCCGAGGATGTATATTGCTTCTCCAAGGTCCCGCATTTTGAATATGGATTCGAGTTTGGCTTTTGTGATATCCATGAATTTCCGGGATGAAGCTCCTAGGAGGAGGTCATCTACATAGACAACAACAAAGCATATTTGTTTGTTGTCCCGGAATACATAGAAACATGTTCCTGCATTTAGTCTTGTGAAACCGAGCTCCTGGAGCTTGCGATCAAAAGTTTTGTTCCATGTACGACCAGCTTGTTTTAACCCGTAGATGGATTTCTTCAATCTCCAGCAGTATCCAGGTTGGATAGGAACACCCCCTGGAGGAAGCATGTACAGTTCTTCTTCAAGTTCTTCATTGAGATAAGCTGTGGATACATCCATTTGATCAAGTTCTAGGCCGTACTTTGCTGCCAGGGCTAGAATAATTCGGATTGACTCTAAGTTTGCAACCGGAGCAAAAACCTCCTGGTAATCAACCCCCTCCCTTTGAGTAAAACCTCATGCAACAATCCGGAGTTTGTATCTCTCAATGTTTCCATTTTGATCAAACTTGATCCAGAACACAGGTTTTGATGTGATGGGTTTTACTCCCTTCGGAAGTGGAACAGTGTCATATACTGCATTAGTATTGAGACTTAGGAGTTCCTCCTCCAAGGCAGACTTCCATAATTCTCCATCCGGATGTGATAAGGCTTCCTTTAGTGTCCTTGGAAGGTCTGTGTTAGATGGACCGGTACTTGCTATTCCAGCAAAGAATGTCTCCTCTGTATCAGATGTTTCTTCATGAACCTCAGGAGTGTTAGGTTTCTCCATGGAGTTGTCATGCTGCTCTTTTCGAGACTGTTCCTCATCTAGAGTCCTTTGATAATCTCGGTTTTTGTCTGCAGGACGGGTCTGGCAACTGCTTCTGCGTACTCCTAGGACTTCAGCAGGCATGACTGCTCTTTTAGGAACTTGTGCAGGTACTCCAGGGAGTAGACACATTTGTGTATTTGTTGCCCCACTCACTCCTGAAGGTGTTGAATCACTCCTCGGAGGCATTGAATAACTCCTTGGAGGTGTTGTATGCCTTCCAGAAGCTGATCCAATGGACAGGCTGTCTAGCTGTATTCGGACTTTTTCCACATCAGCTGGCTGTATGTTGAGGGGCTGTCCTCCCACTGACTGTAACTCTACTTTGGCTTTCCGTTCTGAAGATGGCCAGTGTTCAGGTCTTGGTTGTAGAGACTGTTGTGGAGGGTGTCTTAGCTGATCAGGTGCTCCCACTGCTCTCGGAACGTCTCCACGGAGGTATTGCCCCACTGCTCTCGGAACATCTTCATGCTGATATGGTTCCATTGCTTGTGGAACATCTCCTTGAAGATGTGGTTCCATTTGCAATTCATTTGGATCTTGGATCCGAGGGTCAGGATCATCCTCCTCCAATGTTTTTTGGTCTGGATAGTGAGCATTCTCTGGAATGAGTTCCTCCCACTGATCTGTGCTAGTGTCTGTGTTCCAGGGAGCATTGTCATCCTTTTGTACCTTTCTGGATTCATTGAATATGACATGCCGACTGGAAAACACAGTCCATTTTTCAGTGTCTAGGAGTTTATAGGCTTGCTTTCCATGTGTGTAGCCAATCATTATGGCTTTGTGCCCCTTGGAGTAAAACTTCCCTTGCCTTTTGTCTTTCGGAATCAAGGCATATGCTTGGCATCCGAAAGGGCGAAACAAAGTTGGATCAACTCTCCTTTTAAACAGTATTTCATATGGGGTCTTTCCATGGAGTCCTGATGCTGGGCTGCGTGCTGTGATATATGCAGCTGTTTGCATGGCATCTACCCAAAATGACTTTGGGAGCTTGGAATCATGGAGCATAGTGGTTGCTAATGTAGCCAATGTGTGATTCATGCGTTCTGCAATGCCATTTTGTTTCGGAGTATCTGCAGCTGTAGTTTCTTGGATGACACCATCTCCTCGGAGTTGATTTTTGAATGCATTGCCAGTATATTCTCCTCCCCCATCGCTCCGGAGGAATTCTGTGTATAGTGGAGTGAAGTTTTCTTCTCCCAAATGAGTCCAGAAGAATGTTTGGACATCTTCTTTCCATTGCTTGTATCGTTCTAGTGCTTCACTTTTATGTTTTAGGAAATATATCCATGGAAATTTGGAGAAATTGTCTATAATGATAATCCAGTACCGAAAACCCTCCCTGGAAGTTGGTTTGATTGGTCCTCCAACATCTGTGTGCACAATTTGTATGGGGCGCTTGGCTCGGTTTCCTCCAGTGGACTTGAAAGGTAATTTCTTCATCTTTCCTAAAGCACAAGGTTCACAAAACTCCGGGGTTCCGGTAAGGGTGTCTATGTCCTGGAGCTGTCTTTTTGTAACCATTCGTTGCAAGCGGTCCATTCCAATGTGTCCCATTCTCCTATGCAATAAATTTACATCTACTGCTGCAAAAGCTGACTCCGGGTTGATTTCAGGTTTTGCTTGGATGTGATAAAGTTCTCGCTTGTGTAACACAGTGAGGATAAGTTCCTCCTTTTTCCGAACTTCACAAGTGTTTGACCCTGCTGGAAAAAGTGTTGATAACCCCGTTTTGGACAATTTGTGGACAGAGACAAGTGCTAACGTGAAGTTTGGCACAAGTAAGACATTTGATAGTGCAATATTGTAGTCTTTTTTGCCAACAGTTGCTTGTAGGATTACTGTTCCAATGCCAATGGCATTTACAGAGGATTCATCCCCAAAACTGATTGTCCTCGGAGGATGCAGAACATGGTATGTTCCTGGCTCAAACCAGGAGCAGTGAGAGATCATGTGGGATGTTGCTCCGGAGTCAATAATAATTGTTGTTTTGGTCTTATCGGGTTCCGACACAAGGTAAGCTTGAATGCGTTTAGCAAGGGGCTTGGAAATATGTACATGATCCAATGCAAAATGACTCTGTTCCTCCTCGGAGTCAGATCCAGATGATTGCTCCACTGTATTTTGTTAGTTTTGGTGATTCTGCACCTTTGTGCTACCTATATATTTTCATTCCTTTCTCTATCTATTCTTCTATCATTCACTATTGATTGTGTTCTCTATTATTTCGCCTTTGTGGCTGCTTTGTTTACCTTTGTTTACAAAACTTCGGACAGTACTGCAGAGTCCAATGCTTCCTATTCTCTAGTTACTCACATTGGACTCTAGGTACTGTATACCTGTCATACTCTCTAATAATAAAGTTACTCACATTGGACTCTAGTTCCAGTCCCTGATTGCTCTCAGCAAGTGGCTAGACACTTCCTTCAAGCTTTGTTCTTAATATATTTGCCTTTTCCTTCTTCCTTTGACCTTTTCCGACTGATTGAAGTGTTCGACACTCCGAGGTGTTGTGTGTTTTGGCTTTGTGGAAGTCACACCACTTCTCCTCGGATTTGAGTGCTGTTTTGGAACCTCCAGGGGCCTTCCCTGACTGTCGTGCAACTTCTGCAGTGATCTGGATCTCAACTGCATCAAAGGTAAGTTTATTTTCTTCAATCGTGTTGATTACCGATGACTGAAATATTTGCCATTCAGGAGTGCATGGGAGAGATTGGAGAAGAGCGAAGGCCATGAGTTTGGTATCAACTCCTAGTTTCATTCCGGAGAGGTGTGAATCAATTGTCCGGATTTTTACAATGTGGTCCTGGATAGGTGATGTCCCATCCCAGGACAATTTGGTAAGTTGCTGGAATGAATAGAAGGCTGAGGCAATGTTGGACGTCTGATGGAGTGAGACAAGTTTATCAAATAACTCCTTGGAGCTGGTGAGGTCTCCAGTCCTCATTAGGAGGGCATCAGAGATGTGGTCCTGGATGATTCCATGTGCCTTCTCATCCTTAAGTATCCAGGTGATCTCAGGATCCTCCGAGGAGGTAGGTTTTCCTGGTGAGGGCTTAAGCTCCTCTCCAGTAACAACCTGGAGAACTTTTTCCCGACGTAGCTTTGAGATGATCCGGAGTTTCCATATTTGAAAATTGTTGGGTCCAGTGAGAACTGAACATGCGGATGTATCGTGTGCTGTGGTCATGGTTCCGAGGTTGCTGTTTCAAATAAGAATTATTTCCTGTGTAGCTTTTGTGCACCAGGGCTCATAACCTAATAAAACTAAGTGAAACTCAGCCACTGCCCGAGAGGCTATAGAAACGACTGAGGTATTCCTATACTAAACCCCCTACTACTTATAGTCGGAGGTGCTACTCGCTACAGTATAATGACTCCTAGGAGAACAATGGTTACTCCATGGAGTGGTGGCTATGCTCCATGGAGAACAATGGCTGCTTTGGCAGAGACCAGGTTTATCCGGTTTTGTCAGAGACTGGAATTGAGAGAGGAAGTCGCTTTCAGATTGTTTGTATTCACGAGGTTTTCGGCGGATTTTACCCTGACTTGGGGTTCACATGTTCACAGCCTGGTTCAAATATCTGAACTAACGGTGAGACTAATACTAAAAAGGACATACCTTGCCATATTATGCAAACCTCAGACCTTGCTGTAAGCCGTGTGTGATATACAGAGTGGTGCTTGGAACACCTAACTGTTGTCAAGATGATGACAAAAGAGGTGGCCAGGAACATAGATCGGATATTGCGGGAGAAGCCTGCGAGAGACCGAATCACTGCAGCTTTGTACATCGTGTATTATCAGTGCTAATTTAGTTTTCGTTCTCGGGTAACAGCCTGGCCAATTGTTAAACTCGACAGATTCTAACCAGCAACGAACATATTTCTCGTGTCCTGCGTACTACGCAGTGTCCCAAGGGTGTGCGATAAGCTTCTTTCCACTTATTAAATTGTTCTTCAGTCTCTCCAAGCCGGCGACAATGCCGTTTAGACCGTCAGGTAACACCTCCACAGGGAGGGGCTGGGCAACAATTTTATTAGCGAGGGTTTTACTCAGCATTTGACCATAAACACATACCACCAACTCTGCCTCTGCAAACATTCGGGTCAGTTGACTATACATGCGTGTACCAAATTCTCTCTTTTCTGGAGGATAGAATGACCCCCACATCTTGAGGACTTGCTTGTCGTCCTCAAGCTTTGTCTGGATAGTGGGAGGGAGCGCAACTGCAATCTGTCCTCCCGAAACGAGAAGATCGTATCCAGCCTGTTGAGTCTCAGAGGTTGCCACCGCGTCAAACACTAAGTTTGTGGGGGTAGACGTGACTTTAGCGACTTCCTGAGCCAGCGAAGAAAGCGGAAGGTGGCGGTCCACAACATGTGTAGCCCCAAGAGAAGTTAATAGTGTCGTATTGTGAAGTGAGGCCGTGGTGATGATGGGAGAAAATCCGGATAGCCTTGCTACTTGGATGACTATGACACAGCACAGACGGTTAACAAAATGAAGGAGCCAATTCATTTGACAACTTGCCAAATTGCCCTACAGCAGAAGCCCCGCCCAGAACAACAATGGATCGATCTTTGTACTTGCCCCTTCCTCCTTCTTCCCAAGGAGGTGTGAACGCAAACCCGTGTGGTTTTGGCGAATAAAGTGCATCAACAGCTGTTGCGAGGCCAACTGGAATGGATGCAGCTTGGTCTAAGGAAATGTTATCAGGTACCTGTGACAAAATAAGAATCGGTATCAAATGGATGAAAATAAATAACATGCCTTGGCGGCGTGAACAGCTAGCACGATGACATATTGCTGAAAGGTCGAATGCCTGTTCGTCATGAATCCCGAGAAGAAACTGAAATATTCGATTAGAAGCATCGGCACGGTCAAGAAAATTTACACTCACACTTCATCACCTTTAACATGTTCAATAACGTTCTCACCAACGTCTTCTACAATTCCAGCACCTTCGAAACCTAGTACAGCAGGGTAGTCCTTTATCATAAAGTAACCAATTTCTTGAATTTTCCAGTCTAAGGGATTAACCGCGGTCGCCATCAGCTTGACAAGCACTTCATCGGGGCCTGGTTTCCCAATATCCCTTGTAGCAAGTTCGTACTGCCCGAATTCTTTCGGGAGCCAGAGAGCAGTTTGGGTAGGCATGTCAACGCTGTGGGTTAAAGTGAAGATTGACCAGACTGGGAACTATGCTGCACATAATGAAAAACCTGAGGGGTTTAGATGTTTATATACCATGGCTGCATCGCACTGCCTGCTTCCACATAGATACCAAGCGATGTGCTTACAAAGGTACATGCCCAAGTTGCACCAAACACCACGAGAATGGCGGAAGTAAACGAGGCGTCAAAACCGAAAAGGTAGTGTACTTGCCGCAAAGGAAAGTGGGAAGGCGATGATGATATTCCGTAAAGCACGCTCGATCTCCCCATCGAGGTATTGTATCTTTAACTCCTCGAGAATTGCGGATGAGTTTCCTCCGAGCCGATCGAACAACGCATGCAACGAATGAAAATACACAATGCGCTGCTATACTAGGATGGGTTAAGTTCCGTATCAAAGAAACCTAAGCATGTCCGCCTTTTTTGAGCCAGTGTTCTGCTGTTAGTCGAACGTGGTCCCCCTTTCGCCTGTGCATCAACACAGCAATCTTCCTATCCAGACGTCTGCAGTACTTCCTTCAAGTAAATGGAAATTCAGTTCGGATTGAAAGATAAAATGAGAACAAATTCTACCTGCGATGAATATACAATACCATCAACAGGTCCTTCCGGTCCAGGCTAACAAGCTCACCATAAATGCATCAGCCGTTGGCGCATAGCGAGGCGCAATATTGAAAAGTGGTTGAGTTTTCACCTTGCTCGTCATTCGTTTTTTCGAGTTGTTTGCTTTGGAATACCATTCATGAAGCTTCCCATTAATATCGAACCTGAATCTAAGTGTACAGGTCCCGTTATTTTAGCACTGGCACTTACAGTGATGGAATGTGGACTGATTACAGTGGAGCACCGCCAGTGTGTACACCTGCTGCTCTTGCTCGCATTTCTTATGGCAGCCGTCCTGACTGACCCACTCTATACACAGTAGTGTAGCTCTGAATCCAAACCAGTCCGGAAGAGCTGAACTCAGGTTCTCCATGCACTGGCAGAGGTCACTAGCTCTATGACCTCAATCTCGTACTGTCAAAATACGATCAATCCTTCTGGCGCCTATTCTCGTTGGTCACATGTCATACACAATCATAACGACAAAAATACATGACCTGGTATGGGTAATACAAAGTGTGCGCGACTATGTACTGGAAAGGCCTCACGCCGTCTCCTGAGGGTGAACAACTAGCTTTCTACCACTGACCAGGTTGTCCTTCAACCTTTGAAGACCAGAAACCACACCATTCAACCCTCCCGGAATAACTTCCACGGTATTGGGCTGTGTAAATAGAAGAAGAACTTCAGTATACTACCTCGAGGAAGTCATTTACTAGTAAATTCAGACGCACGATTATATCACCATCTGCCAGATATTTGGTCAAGTGACTGAACAGACCCGCTCCAAATGCCCTGTTCTGAGGAGGGTGAAGATTACCGAACACGTGAAAAATGGTCTTGTTGTCGCCCTCCTTAGCCTTGATAGAGTCCTGCAACAAAATAATGAGATGGCCACCAGGGGCGAGAATATCATATCCGATTTGTTGAGTGTCCGCTAGAGAGACACTGTCATACACGAGCTTGATAGGAGTCGAAGTGACATTGAGAACTTCGGCCGACAGAGCTGAAGGTGATAGGCCACGATCAAGAACGTGGGTTGCACCAGTTGACTTGAGAAGCGCGGTATTATGAAGGGATGCTGTGGTTATGATGGGGGAAAAACCAGATAGCTTGGCGCATTGGATCACTGAGACAGAAAATGAGTCTTCAGAGCTAACTGGAGATATTATGATTTGTACTCACCATACTGACCGACAGAAGTAGCTCCACCGATGACCAAAATCGGCTGTCCACTAAAGCTTCCCCTGCCTCCATCCCAGGGTGCTCGCAATCCAATGCCGTTCGGCGCCGGTGAGTAAAGGGATAAAGCAGTTGTAGCAATACCAACAGGGATGGTTGCTGCTTGATCAAACGATATATTGTTGGGGATCTGACAACTTTTTCATCGCTCACTCTGGGTGAACAAATGAGAAACCCCTACCTTGGCGGCTAGATCTGCTGGGACAATCACATACTGCTGGAAAGCAGCGTTCCGGTTGTCCATGGTAGCCTGGTGGAACCTGTGCGCATTCAATTCCTCAATACTTTGATAATAAGAGTCGGTGGGAACTTAACCGTACACTCTATCTCCTTTAGCGAATTGAGTGACGCCCTCCCCTACTGCTTCAACAGTTCCCGCTACTTCGTTTCCAACAATGGCGGGGTATTTTTCAACCCAGAAAGCATACGCCTGTATTTTCCAGTCGACCGGGTTCAGGCCAGCCGACTCAATTTTGACCAAAATCTCGCCAGCTTCGGGAGTAGGTATAACATGAGGCCCAACAGTGAAGGACCCTCGTTCTTCGGTAAGCCAGAGAGCGGTTTGAGAGGACATGGTGCGAGATAGGATAACTTCTTGTGGATACGATAACAGAAAGGGGTTCCATTTATATAGTCCTCCGGACCCCCATTCCCATGAGCTTCCTTAGGCAGAATGTTTATCAATCAGCATGGTAGTAAAGAAGCTGATTGTATGTCTATTGCGCCATCAGCACAAATAACAGTGAAGTGAACCGCTCCATGAAGAGAAACCCACATAGTTCTCTGACCCACCCGCAACGCGCATAGTTCCAGTTGTCTGACCCATCCACACATTTCAGACCCACTGGCAAACGGGGCTGATTTGTGTGCTGTAGACGAGAGATCGGACATCGTAGGTAGAAGTCTCGATATTCGTAACCAATTGAAGCTGGTAATGACGAATATGTTAAAAGTAGCGGCTTGCTAAGACTGCTGATACAAAGCTTCGTAATAGCCGCTTGCGTAATGTGTACAAACCTCCTTGTGTTTTAACTCTGATTTTCCACTTTCGAAAGTCGTAAAGATACATTGTTTATGACAGTCCGCTCCAGATTAGATTGAAAGATCCCATGACATCGCGCGATCCAACGAGAAGGATTTCAGATTACGATAATGAAACTATGATCGCCAAAGGGGAAACCAATTTTTTCTTTCCATAAGCCGCGTATTCAAACGAATCTGACTGCAGAAGGTTTCTTGTGTCGACAGAGACGAGTTTTCAAAAATACAGCCCTGGAATTGGTGCACGGGTTCAAAGGGAACACAGATTGTAATGACCGTAGCCACAGTGATCATGAGCGTGTATTTGCAAAGGTTTTTGGCTACCTTTAGATTTCAACAATGCCAAACAAACACCTGAGAGAATGTCAAGTGCTCCACCGCCATCGACGGCTGCTGGCTCTTCAGCAGAAGCGCAGGCGGCGGCATTCGCTGAAGACCCTCGTATATATTTCCTCAAGGAGACAGAAACTTGGAGGTATGAAGATGATGACGGAAGCGAAATGGAGTATGATGCCGTCAAGGGCACCTGGGTTCCCTTGGTAAGTAGTCAAACTCATTACCATTACCTGTGCACACCTGCACGATTCGTTCCTTTGTAGGTAGATGAAGATCTACTGAAGAAACAGCAAGCAGCCTATTCTGTGGCGGGTGTCGACGAAGCGGTGAGACATAAAGTATTATGCCCATTGGCTTCTCCTTAGTTCATCGTGGCAGACACCAGCCGCTCCCGTCCTGGCTCGTGAAAACAAGAAACGCAAAGAACCTGAAGACTACACGTCCGCTACGACCACCGCTGGACCTTCTTCCAAACGAGGCAAAAATGATAAAAAGGACAAACCTGTCAAGTCCAAAAACACTGCTGTTTATGTCACGGGGTTGCCCCTCGATGCGGAAGCGGACGAGATCATCGAACGTTTTAGCAAGTGTGGCGTGATAGAAGAAGACGACGACGGAGATCCCAAGGTGAAGCTTTATGCCAGAGAGGATGGGTCTTTCAGTGGAGAGGCTTTGGTGGTATACTTTAAGGAGGACTCTGTTATACTCGCCGTAAATCTTTTGGATGATGCAGAGTTGAGGTTTGGAGATTCCTCTTCTGTGATGAAAGTTCAAAAAGCGGAATTTGGTCACAAGAATACAAGTGGCGTTGCGAGCGGCGAATCACAACCTCGAAAGACAGTAGACAAGAAGAAGGCTTCGAGACGAATAGGGAAAATGCAAAAGTACGTGTCCTTGGAAGGTACAAATCAGTTGGATTGACCTTGAGTTATTGTAGGAAACTACTTGAATGGGACGACGAGGATGGCTTTGGACCCTCGAAAATGGAGGAAGAAAATGCTCAAGTCGTTAATAGGAATAGCCGTGTCGTCGTCTTAAAACACATGTTTACTCTGAAAGAACTTGAAAAAGACGCGTCCTTATTACTGGACTTGAAGGAGGACGTGCGAGAAGAGTGTTCGACGCTAGGAGAAGTCACGAATGTCGTCTTGTACGATGTGAGTATTCCTTATCTCTAGTTCTTTGCATTTTCTCATGTCCACATGTTCAGAAAGAGGCCGATGGTGTGATGACCGTGAAGTTCAGAGATCCTTTGAGTGCACAAGCATGTATTCTCGTAAGTAATTTATGACAATCGTCTGTTAAGTTAATTTTTATTAGTATATTTAGAAAATGAGCGGTCGCTTCTTCGATGGTCGTCGCGTTGAAGCATCACTTTACGCAGGAAAACAGAGATTCAAGCGTAGTGGAGCGTCCGATGAAATAGAAGGTGATGGTGATGAAGCTGAGAAACAGCGCCTGGATGATTTTGCCTCATGGCTCATGACAGAAGGGGATTGATTCGACTACCCGACTTGTTTATATTTTCTGTGTTATGCTACCACCCTTACGTACGGATTATATATGTGTGATTCTACACCTAGGTGAGCTAGAAATGGGTATCAGACTCTTTGAAATCATCTATGTGCAAAGCACTATGAAGCAACAAGTGAAATTAAGTAGCTAACGGCAGTGTAGTCAAAACTAGTTGAGAAGTGACATCTGAGAGAGGTCTGCCTCATTTTCGTTCCTAGATGACTCCTGACGTATGTGTTCTGATGATATACTACCACGAGCGCTGTATTCACCGGTTACGGTGTCTATGGATGTATAAATTAGTATCAGCAACTGTTATAATGAGATAAGTGGAATGACAGAAACTAGCCTTCTGGTTTTTTTCTTGGTAGCATGCCCACAACGACAGCTAACAGCCCCCATGCAAACCTATGAACGAATAGATCTTTTTTAGAAAAATCCAAAGTAGTTCTGTCTAGATTGTGCACGTACAAAAATATTGACAGAGTTGCCGAAGCAACGCTCATAAAAAGACTTCCTGGTGTCTTCAACTTGCTGGTGCTGCAGATATATTGGGTTTGGATGACAGCAGGTGGTGTCGCCGTGTCTGCGGAGGGAACGGATGTCATATTGACGTACGCGAGGGGTACAGACGCTACGAGAGCACTTTCGGCGTACGGCGCGTTAGAGGAGATGGAATGGTTGAAAGATGTGACGTTGGTAAGGATCTATTCAGAGTTGGAATATTATATTTAGCGTTTTACTCTGAAAAGCTATTAGCACTATACATTATTAGGGGTCCAATGTCCTATATCCATGCGTACGGTTGCATAGAATACTTGCGCAAGATTCTGAAGCGTATCGGTGCTGGCCTGAACAACTTCAGCATAATTGTTTGTATTTGCAACGATAGCGAGACTCGATTGTAAAATGCCATTATACCAGGCGATAGTGATATTTGGAGACTCGTGATCGCAGTCAGAACTGGTGCACTGGGGCTCGAATTGGACTGTCACTTTGTAAAGCTGATTGGGGGACGATCCGTTGACCACAACGTATTGGGTGTTAAATATGGGGCCGTAGGCGTCGTCTGCAGTTACAGAGAAGCGAGACAATCAGATATACAAATAGTTCCTACGAGTGGCTGGAAAGGAAGGAAGAAAAAGACAAGTGACTCACCCCCAAAACCGTTCATGGTGTCTAGAATAGCACGCGCTAAACTATTTTCAGAGAAAACGGATGAAGATACTGAACCAACTATAGGGTGATTGGTATATGACCATGAAGTACTGGCCTGAAACCCCAATTGCGAACAATTGACAGAAGCCTGATAGTTCAATAGTTCATTCCGATCTTTTGAGTAAATAGCAGGGGAAAGAGTGAACGGCAAACCTGAGCTGAGACAGATCGATCTCCAGGGGCAACTATAATTTGGATAGTGGAGACATCACACGCATCAAGGCGATTATTGGCATACAAAAAGTCGCCCTGTGAGCCGGTTGAATTGATGTCGAAAATGGAGTAGGGGAATGCAGAAATATTTGTGCGAATAGTATCTCCGAGCTGAAAGGAGTGCTCTTGACATCCTGAAGCAGTGGAGTTCCACGATAAAGTCCAAGGTAATTTCTGGCTGGCGATGTAATTGGACGACACCTCGGTCACAACATCATATCCTGTATAGTCGAATTGTATTGCAAAGTGATCAGTTACAAAGCCATGCTTATCCACACCCTCAATTATAACCACTCACCCACAAGAAACACGTTCAGCGCACATAAAGCACCGAATGTAATCACGCAGAAGAAAAGAATAATAGAGGTTGCATAATTCCAGCGTCGAGTATACGATCTAGTGACGAAGAATTGCTATAGAAGTTATTCAGTTACGACGCCACAACTGCTATCAGTGACAAATGGGTGAGATATCTCTAACATACAAAGCTGAATACTGGTATACCGAACGGAAATCTCATTTTGTTTAGCTGAACACCAAAGACGGGATGAAATTGGAAGGCCGCGAGGGTGTTTGCTCGAGGTATGGTACAAGGTCAACTGCACAGATCAAGGGACAAGTCTGGTGTGGTAGCAAGATGGCTACTTATTTCAAGCGACAGTGACATGATGCTACTATATCAGCAAGTAGGCGTGGAACCGCCGAAGTAACTATTTGTATTGTCAGCCTTTACTAAACAAGTAGGGATGTTCCCAGAGGAGACTGAACAGCTTACTTGGGAAAAACTGATCCCATAAGGTACCAAATCTGTCAAAGCTGATGCTCCGAGAATTGCTGGTGCGAAAAGCGCTGCTGCATTATGGAACGGGAAAACAACAAGCCTAGATCCGAGGCATACGCAACTCAAATGCTGTAAAGCATAGCGCAGGAAGACCCTCTAAAGGTATTCCTGGTTTGTACGCAGTACCGTTGGTGTTCTTTGGTGGCGTAATGCTAAGGACTGTAGTGAACGATATAAGGAAACTAGAGAAGCAATTTCATTATAAAATGGAAAATGACAGGAGATGCACGATACAAGTCCGTCCTTGCGTGATTCAATATTAAGCAATGAAATATCAGATTCTCCATCACCAACAACTGCACAATGGTTGCGCAGTAACCATTTCTAAACGCTGTGCAGCGCCATCAGATACTATACATCAACACAGCTGATGATCAGAAACTCACTTCTACGATGACAGTTTTCTTCTGTGGAACATCAACATCAGAGTTCATCCAATTAAGACCTTGATCTTGCTGTTGCCGGAAGTGGGAGCGACCACCGTGACTGATCCAACGTGCATGGTGGGGTGACGTTAGTGTATCAACGTGAGACATTGATTTGGACATTGCTGTTAGATCTTCTTCCGTCATCGAGTTGGCTAATGATTGATCCTCTGGAACAGCCGTTAAACCCCCTGGGCTCCCGGGTGGTGAGAATTGGGACGAAGATAAATCCACATTAACAGTCGGGGGTTCCAGACATGTGTCAGACTGGAGCAAAGGGCGTGTAGACGAGTCTGCAACATCGACTTCTTCTTCATCCTCTTCGTGCAGAGTTTCTTCTACGCCAAGACGCTTCAAACTAGCTTCAACTGCATCCAAACGCTCGAGGTGTTCAAGGACAGTGACACCAGTCGTGCCGGGGTGAACCTTTTGGAACTTGGCAGAGAAAGGTACAGGTCGTGAGGCTTCAGCCGATCCCCGGCGAACAGGAGGCGGGAAATCGCTTGAGTAGCTTTGACTGCGAGCGCGACGAGGCAGCGGCATTGTGCTGATTGATGGTCGCGGAGAAGCAGTTAATGGCCCTACACCAGCAGGACGTGGTATTTCTTCCATTACCTCTATTTCATCGTCCCATACAAGAGCTTTGGTCCTTCGCGTCAGCTCAAGAGGTCCTAATCAACGTAAATTCGTGTTTTGTCACCAATAAAACCAGCAGCTTACCCTCGTCCTAGACGAAGTCACAGATAGAATGGGTGAGATATGAAGAGCGTGACGGCGTGAAGGCAAAAGGTTGTTAACTCACTGCATGTTTCAAGGATTCGACTATGTTATAGGCTTGACCCTTAATGACTGCCAATTGTCTCTAAAAGAACACTTTCTAGGCAATAAACGAATGAATCAGGGATATGACTGACTCTGAACATCTTCGGGTGGAAATCCGGGTCCACAGCAAAGAGCTTTCGAAGCTGAAATGTCGTTTCCTCCCACCATATTTTCGACGTGAGTAATGGCAAGAAGTGATTTCGTGTCTGCTGACTAAACGGCCTCCCTATCAAACTCACAGGAAGATAAAGCCAGCCATAAGTATAGGATCGCCAACCGTGAGGGTGTTCATGCGGGAATGACAACGAGTTGTCTATAGCAGCGATGTGGATATGGGGGTGGCGAGTATGATCGGGTTGTGAAGAGCTACTCGGGGACACGGAAGGTAAGAAGGGATCGATAGAAGTTGGTCCTAGTTGGGAGGTACTAGGCGCCGGAGTGCGCTGCATCTGGCTCGATATTGTCATCTGAGGATGAGCTGAACGAGATGGTGCTACATCGACAAGAGATTTCTCGTGGTCACCCTCACAGTACTTGATCATATAATTATCAGCACCACGATCTGTGTTGAGCATTAGATAATCTAAATGTGTGTCAGATGATTTCAAATGAAAATATATTTGGAGAATACCCAGAATGACGAGCCTGCCAATGAATTCACAGTGAGCAAAGAGACATTGGTGAAGGAAGATGAGACGTACTTCTCCAACTCTTCTCGGAAGCTTTGCTGCAGAGCTCGAGACCAGTAGAAAGGGCGACCAGATTCACCATCTTCCGTAACATCAAATAGGACTCTTTCATCCTCAGGGTCTTCTTCCAGCTCATCCTCTTCACCGGTCTTACCACAGATGATTTTGAATGCGCCTAAAAGTTTCTTCGTAGTATAACCCTTACGATGCGTGGAGTCGTCGAAGGTATCGGCGATGGACCTTCCGGGCCAAGGGTGCTTTCTAAGAAAGTCGGAAGCATCTTACAAAAAAATTGTCAGTGTCAAAAGTGTACTTGGACCAGTAAAGCAGCTGACACTAACCCGAGTAACCATGCAGGAAGTACTGCATGCTTCCTATTTTCTCGGGTAAAGGTTTTCCTTTCTTCGCCGCATTCCTATCAAGCCAGTCGTAGAAAAATGCCTGAAAAGACACGTCATTGGCATGATAAGTCAGATTCGATATAAGTAATAGAATTATCGCACTGGGCTTGACAAGGATACGAGTTGAGTGCGAGGCACAATATTTAAATCTAGTCGTTCGTCTAATAAGGAACCAGCAGCCTCGGATATATAACTTATACAAATACGTGAGCTCCAGTCCAAACAGAAGTATGCATGAATAAACTGACCTCAGATTAGGAATGAGACAGCTTCGGCCAAATGGGATAATCCACCGAAATTGACGATGTATCCATTTGGTGGTCTATAAACAACGAGATCAATCGTAGGTCATTTAATTAACAGTACGGCGCGGAACCCACGCACCTTGGGATTCAGTCGACCGTAAGGCTCTTCGTCTTTGGGTTTAAATACACTACAATATTGTTTTAGCACAAGACATTCATCAGAAATTAAGCAGACTTACGCTACAGTTTGCACCCTGCCTTCGACTTTAGCACGTGCAAAGTAAGATCCAGATGACCCTTTAACGATCATTTTTGGATGTATGCCAGCAGCAATAGCATTTCGAACGGACTGTGCCAGGCTACCCATTATGAGCCACGAAAATAACTCCCAGAAGGCAGAGCTCACTTGTCAAAGACTGCCTGTGTCATGGGAGGCTTGTGATCCAATGTCTTGACCTAATCGGCATGAGTAGTCAGATCACTGTCATTTTGATGGCATGATGAACTTCAGACGTCAACTCACGGGGCGGTCGCTAGTGGATATAACTATCGCATGCGGTTCGAAAACACTCTGCCATATCTCTTTGCGCGAATAGTCCTCCACTTTCTTCTTCCTCTTTACCTTCTGGGCAATGGATTCCGTCCATCTACGCAAGGCTCAGAATGGAAAGCTGCATGGCAAAGCATAGTACTAACCTTTTGAAGGCACTATCCAATTTGCTTAAATCAATGTGCCCCGGACGGTGAGGACGACGCGATTCATGTGGAGCTGGCTTGGCAAAGGACTCCTGGCCTTCAATATACGTCTCCTCGTCACCACTTTGAGGTAAAGGCTCATAGCCAGTAGAACTAGGCATGACTGGGTGGTTCAGGTACAAGACTTGGATAGAAATACGCTGCCAGGATGTCGAACAGTAACAAGAATGGGTTTCTTGGGCTGTGTGCACGCAGTAAGACACGGTAACCGCATTCTACGAGCCACGCAAGCACGTGTAAAGTTGCATAACGTTATGCTCTACTTCTAAGCCGAATTGATCAGGGGTGCAACCATGTATGGTATCAAAGTAAAATATGACAGAGTGCGGAAGTATTTATTGTACGAATATACTGTAAGGAATAGTTTGATTATTGGGGGAATATCTAGAAACCTATGGTAGCTAACAAACTTCTCAGGTGGGTGTGAATCAAGGTTTCGGTCACTTGACTATAGACCATTGACATAGCATTTCTTCTACTGTAAAGGTTAGGTCGTGAAAGCTCATATATTCACAACGCGACTTACACCGTGTTGCTGGCGTTATGTGACTTTTACGGAGGAGAGAGGGAAGTACCAGTCGACGTTTGTGCCGTTCCACTATGCATATCCTTCTCCGAAAATGGAAGAAGCGTAGCATCGGCTAGACACGGAGCTTTGAAGATAGAACGATCCATAACTGCCGGTATTGTTTTGAAAAAAATCACAATCCACAAGATGAAGACGATGACTGTCGAAGAAAAGCCGTCAGACTGATTTGTAGAAATTGGGAAACCAATGGAATAACTCACTCGACCAAATGGTACCAAAAACGAGGAAGAAATCGCTGTTGAGTACTTTTCCTAGTTGCACCGAAAGGAGAGCATATACGGCGTTTGGGAACACGAGACCCCAATATGCAATGGAGAATGGGATCATTTTCTCCTTCCTTACTATGTTAAGGATAGAAAGTATCGCAATCAAGATCCAACATATACCCATCGACCACAAAGCGTAGGCCCCACAGAAGCAAACAGCATATATCATCTGTCCCGCGAGTGCTGACGAAGGGAAGTTACCATTCAGATGTAATGGTAAAAGTTCTGACAAGTCTTGGCCGTTCACGAGAAGAGAATAACCGCCTTGTCCGAGAGGACCGAGAACGACGAAAGCTGACAAGATAAGGTTGACTTCCGGGGGTCCATTGGTGATAAGGCGTGTTAGGTAAACCGTGATCATCATCATCGCCAGACTGAGACCAATGATAACCATAGTAAAAGAAATACTCGTGGTGAGGAGGGCTATAGTCGTTGTATGTGGCTTTATGGCTGCAGATAGGAGACCACCAGTTGACGACGCGACTATGAGGGTTACAACTGGAAGTAACCAGATCGCAGACATTTTGGGTATAGCATGATCATGTTTAATCATCCTTTAGAGCAGGTGAGATTTGTGAGGAGATGGAACCCGCAATGAAACGTACATTGTATAAACCATTCCAAAGGCAACAGCAAATGATATTACTGAATCAAGCCACCACAATCCCCACAATGTGTATAAAAACCCGGTCCCGGCAAAACCCCATTCTTGGTTTGCAACCTGAACATGACATCAGATGCAGCTCAATAAATACATCTGTGCATATACTCACTAAAGCAACGTTGATGAGGGTAGCAGCACCCATGGGAAAAGCACCTATAAACAGGCTCTGCGCAGGATGCCGAAGCATAATTGGCCAGAGCTACGAGAGAAAAGCAATTAAACTAACATATCCGCCAGACGCGAAATATATTGCAGACCTCAGGAAACAAAATATAGCGAGCAATTGTAGCAGCGCATATAACCACGAAGAGGAAAAGGTTCAAGAAAAAGACGAGTAGGGTAACGATTTTAATGGGCAGACTTCCAGAACCATAGGGGAATGAGTGTACGAGAGCTGAAACAGCACCAGTACCCATGATTACTGTATGCCATGCAGGAGTAAAGTGACTGAAAGCTAGGTGAGAGCCATGACCCACGACGCGAAAAGAAATACATACCGAATACACTCTTTCCAACTCTTCCGCGGTGAGGTAGTTGCCATGATGGTCAAGATGGTAAAAGTCAAAGTTAAATGGGCACCTTTCGACGAAGCTCCGGAGATAGAACAATGCAAACCAGCTAGAGAATGGAATGACTCGACTGAAAACCCATGGCTGCGCTGTCCTATATATGCAGTCTACGAATTCCGAATTATTGTTGATCACTGTTGCCCGTAATATCCGAATCTACGTTGAGCTCCGCATCGACCGCGTGCAGTCATGAAGCACTGTATAACGTTGAAAGTGGATGGTGAATCTATTGTTATGATATCCGCGTTGCTTTCTTGTACGACGGAAGGATAAAAGGTATTCGTGGAGGTGAATGAACCTTTGAAATGCGAGTTGTGGCGTATGGACAAGAAACGACATATTGCCATAATAGGAGATTCCCTAGGCGAATTCCGAATAAAGTTAAGTCATGTGAGTAAGTAAGCTCCGAAACTCAAGACACATCCAGTCGGCTATCCGGCATCCGATTCCCGGTTTCATCCGATTAACCAGCATATAATATTGTAGTATTTAATTCGAAAACAACGTACAGGACAAGAACTCTAGGTGAACCTTGAGAAGAGGTTCGCGGAAGCAGTCAGATGGGATAGTGACAAGCTCTCTTATACTTCCCCTACGACTTCGGTTTTGGGCGGCTCCAACACGCTCACTTCTTCTAAACAGGGGGCATCGAAAATCACACCTCCTGGAATCAAGCACACAGTAGGGACAGCGACACATATCCACAGCAACAACGTCCCCGCAGCATATATAGCACCATAAACCCTGAAAAACGGCGAGTCGAACGTCCGTGAAAGCTGTATCGTCAGGTTTGCGTAGACGCCCTATCAAAAGATTGATCTTGATCAGTACTGACAGGCACGATCAGCATGTACATGCATGAGAACGTAACGTACATTAGGGAATATCATTGACCAGAAGGACAGCTTGAATGGAACGTGATCATGGCGAACAACTTGCTGGATGCCTAACACTGCATAGACGATCCACATAGTGGCAAATGACCAGAGTACGACAGAAATCCCGATGCAAAAAACATTGAAAGTGTCTCCTACAAATTTCCACCGCAGGAAATCAGAGTCACCATAGTTCAGCGGTAAGAGAGACTGCAACGACTGTCCAATTAGGAGAATAGAGTATGCAGCTTGCCCGGACGGGCCAAGAGGATAAAAGGAGGATAGAATACCGATCCCAGCGGGGTAGCCGTATACCACGAGTCGGAGTATGTAGATAGTGAGCATCATCAGTGAGAGGGAAAGACCAATTGTGACCATGAAGACCGCGAATACGATAGTAAGTAATGCGTGGGATGGCGAGTATATCTGCAAGGCGGGAGCAATCACGCCGCCAGTCGACGACCCGACTACCAGTGGGACAACTGGTAATATCCAAGCAGTTGTCATCGTTTTCAGCGAGTGTTCCTGGCGTGTTTTCCTGTGGCACAAGAGTAAGGGCTTTACCATATAGCTGAACAAATGAACGAACATGATGTGCATCAGCCAAAAGCACGAAATAAAGGACAAGGCAACGTCGAGCCACCAAAGGCTCCAGATAGTATACACAAAGGCCTTTCCACCAAAACCGTATGTCAGAAAAATGTCACCAATAGCGACATTGATTAACGTGGTGGCCCCCATTGGAAAGGTGGAGAGGTATAAGCTTTGAACAGGATGTCGTAGCATTCGAGACCATATCTTGGGAAATAATATGAATCGCGCTGCACTCACGGCCGTGAAGAGAACAAACAGCGCAAGATTCAAGAAAAAGAACAGGAAAGTGAAGGCTTTCATTGGCTGCGATTCATTGCCATATGGATAGTTGTGAAAAAGCATGGAGATAGCGCCAGTTCCTTCGAGAGTAAAAAGTCAGCCAAACGAAACAACCGAAATTATGCAAGGCATTTTAGATGGTATAGGAATCAAACTCCAAGCATGCAGCCTAAGCCTGTCTCTGTGGCGAGTGTGCAATGACATGAAATGGGAATGACGATTTAACGCACCCATTGTCACAGTAAACCACGCAGGGGTAAAATGACTATATACACCCAAAAATCAAATACGTGCCTCATGATTAGATCGGCCCAGAAGTGAATAGAATGGTACAACGACATACTGAACAATGTCTCTAAGAGACTTCTTGGCGAGAGTTGTGGAAGTCATTTCACGATGAACGGTCATGGTCTGTTCGTTGGAGGGTCAATTCAACATCCTAGCGCTTGGGGAAAGTTTAGAAAGCCGAGGTAGCACCGTGACCACGTTGTGAGTGTGCTTTTATAGCCATGTGAATCCAGAAACCGTGACACGCTTTCGAGAAGTGTGTCAAAGATGACTGATACTTTGTCGAGACGAGTTCGGCCACTGTTGTGGATGACCGATGCACCTATAATTATTCGAAATTCGAATCACATTTAGGTCACCGCGAAATTTAAACTTGAATACGAAAGTCATAGCCCGGCTTTTAGACGCGCTATCTGCAGGCGCCACTGGCACGATCTGGACAATTTGACCATCCTTGGCGCCATACAGCGCAAATCCTTTCCAGTTCACTTGTAGATGCAGGATGTCACTGATGCCAGTCGGCAGCGAGGTCTGAATTGGCGTATGCTGGTCTCAAGCTTAGCTCAGGGACTGAATGAGACAAACCAGGGAGAGCTAGCCCTCATGGGATTCTCACGCGGAAGCTTTGCATGATACTATAAGAACAGACACGGCGACCTCTGTAATTATTTTTTTGTTTCCTTTCTGCCATATACCCTCCTACGCTCAGTCTCACCGACATGCTGACATTTCTCAAATCTTCGCCAAAGTCCCCGAAGGTGACGAAAGCATCAGAGAAGCAGCCAGAGGCCGCAGTAACGCCTGACAGCACTGTTCCGGAACCTCTCGAGACGCGATCAGCCCATACCGAAGTGTCTTTACACTCTTCGCAGACGGATATACCTGCTGCCAGTGCCAGCACTCCACTGAGTCCCAAGGATACACCTTTACCGGACTCGCCTCTTCTCTCACCAACCGTATTAGACTCGCCAAATACCAGTCCGTATGGCAAGCAATCAAGTCCCGACGCCCGTCGATTCTCTTTCCGCTCCTTCACCTTCTTATCCAACCGTACCAATGAACACAAACCTGCCCTCTCCACCGAGCAGGAGCATGACAAGAAAGTTCGTGCTTCGGCAGCACATGCTAAACGTATCGCCAGACCTGCTTTCTCAAACTCGGATAAGAGAGCCAAGCAGTCCGCTCTGATAGTTCGCTCCCTCATCGTCGGTGCTGCTGCTCCAGCACCTCCAAAGACCACAAAGGCCGTCACGAAACCTGAAATAAGTCGTGTCAAGTCTCAACTTATGCAGCGCAAGTCTGCAAATAAAGTCATCGCTCACCTCCGTGCTCTTCCTATCACCGACCAGTCTACGGCTTTCAACTCTAAGGGTGTGGACGAGGAAGAGAGGGATAACGATGGTCCAATACACGCTGTTTGCCTCGACGCAACCGATGCTGAGGCGCATGAGCGTCATTTCTCTCGTCTGACGAAAGACGCCACGGCTGATGATACAACCCATTGTGATTTCCCCAGCGTGATCACCGCCTCTATCAGCTCGCTGTCAATGGTCATCCAGGACATGCATCTCGTCAGTTTGATAACCTCACCTGGCCTTGGCATTGGTCAACCTGGAGATGGTGAGGGTCTGTTGGCTGGGTCCCTACCTACAGCGGAGACCGTCCTCAACGGCATCCAGCAAATCACTCCACAACTCATGGCTCTTGGATTTGCCACGGGGAAGGCGGTCCTTCCTGACCATACAGGTAAGCTACATTTATTTTTTATTTTATTTTATTTTTATTTATATATTATCACAACGGAATTATTACTCATACGCTGTGCCTTTAGGTGTATATCCCCCTAAAGACAGAATATCTGTTCTTACCTGTGTGTATTCTTCCTTTATATCTAAGGTTTCCTAACATCAATTGTTTTTAAGACTGGTGGGGCCTCGAGGTCGTCCTTCCTCCTACTACCCTTTCGTACCTTGATGTTGGTCCACCATCAGCTTTCGCATTCTTCATACTGATAGTTTGTTAAACAGAGTGCGAAGTCTGTATCAGGCGCCGTCATCAACTTTTTGACCGCGCTATCCGTCATCAATAACGGTGTTCGCGAAGTCCTTCCTTTTGTTCGCTATATCGGTCAGTTCATAGACTTTGAGTTCGACTCTATCAAGAAGGAGAACAAAGGTCATGGAGTTGTCTGCGCTGCCACATGGTATGTCCTATATTGTAACTATAGATATTTCATAGCTCATTCACTCGCCTCAGGATCATGCCTGCTGCCATGGTAGGAACATATGCTTACCCCTCGCCCAATATATATAGCTCACCTGTTTATTTTATTTTAATAGGTTCCTCGCGCATGGGATTTCCCTCCCCCACCACCTCCCAAGGTGGTTGTTCATGATGAGGATAAGACCGAGGGTGATGTTTCAGCCCCCGTGAAACCATCAACGGAGATCCCCCGTCCTTCTTCTGCTTACTCTGACGAGAGCAGTGGCATCGTTGACCATTCCAACCCCATCGCAGCCATGCCACCCGTCCTTCCCGAACTTGTCGTTAGCTCTCCACCTTCTGAGGATGGTCAAGAAGAAGCTCATGACGAGCCGTCGTCTAATCAACTGCCTGAACAGGAAGCTGCTTGATTGCTACATACTGATTGCATAAATGCAAAGCCGTTCTTTACTCTCTTACTCTTCGTGGACATTAATTTTCTTTCTCCCATTGATGTGCATTGCTCACGACTATTTACGTTCTTTCCTATCGTACTTAAGCTATCTTATTGTGGAACATAGCATCGCGTTTGTCATTGGTCATCTCAGTCGTTAATCTTTTATTCACTGTACTTCTTAATCACAGATTGCAATCATACATACATTCTTCCTATAGTCAATACTCGACACATGAATTTGATCAGTGCTCATTAGGCTGTTGGATGGTGACAGTGCCATCGGGTTCTGGATAGTAGTCTGGGTGAGGTTGTGCATAAGTTGAGTACGCAATGAACTAACGTATGGATTGGATTATGTCCCCTTGGGCTGACTGGAAGTCGTTGACATGGTCAGGCGGTATCGTCGCAGAGAAACCCTGTCTAATCTGTGAAATTCCACTCGTGACTAATCGAAGAAAGGGGTTAGGCGAACCTTGATGAGCGTGTATCGCTCCAGCACTACTCCACCTATCCAAGAAATATGAATGAGCCATTGCCCACAATCTATGCCGATACGAAACTGAATAGACTTGCCAAGGCTTTCGAGGTCCTTTATACATTGTGCTATTTGATCTTCTGTTACAGGTTCTCCAAAGAGAACAATATACTCTGCCGATGATTGAGTGTGACAAGACTAGATCGGTGCCATGGTACAAGACGTACTTGATTCAGTAGTCATGCTGGAAATGATTGGTGGTGGTAGGAGCGAGAAAAGTATGGTGAGTGCAAGGGGGCTGTAATCCTACCTATAACCTAGTGCAATTCGGATCAGAAGTCGAACAGAGTATCTTCGATGCGATATATATCAGTATACGATAGCGATGAATTGGAAAAGGAAGCTTGCCTCATCAAAATAGTCCAGCGCTCAGCTTAGGGCTCCATATTGGGAGGTCAACTGTTCATCTTGCCTTTCGTGGTACCAGCCCATACGTCAAGACGGTGTGAAGATATCTAATGGGGCAAAGAAATCAATAGGCCACTAGCTACTCCAAGTATATCAGCGTCTTGGAGCAGTTCCCGGTGATAGCATAGCCCATGGAGGTCAACTTAGTATACACTGCCTTACTGGCTAGTAACGAAGCGAAGGGAGTACCACATCCATCATTCATACACGCATACACACATCTCCTTGATACATAGACCTGTTACTTGTACAGCTACTGCTACACGATCACTGGATAGTGACGACGCTATCGGGTTCTATATGCCAGCATCATTCAGCCCGAGTTCAGGATTGTCGCACAAGATACCCACCAATTGATAAGACCAAGTCCCCTTGGGCGGATTTGAAGCTACTGAGATACGACTCGGGTATCACAGCTGAGAAGCCCTGCAGATGTACATTCAGATGATGATCCTTCGATAACAAAGAATTGGACCTTTAAGAGACTGTAGCGATTCTGAACTGCTCCGCCTGGCAGATCGGTATAACTTAGTCATGACCCACGACACAAAACAAGAATTGGGGCCTACCATTACTCTCGAGACCTTGTATAGATTGGGCTATCTGCTCGTCCGTCGCTGAATCCGCAAAAGTTACGATATACCCTGTTGGTCCGACCGCCGATCGTTAGGGCAATGGCACCAAGTTATTGCAAGCAAAGAACATACTTCCAGAAGCCATTTCGAGTGAAATATTGATACAAAGATGCTGGTACTTGATGGTAGGAAGATAAGGTGAAAGGGAGAATGCGCAGCGAACGCAGCTTGAGTTTGAGCTGACGCCATCGGAGCCAAATAAATAAGGGGCTCAGCCTAAGTAGGGAAAGTGGAGGGCCGTAGCGTCGGCCATTGCCGCCCTTCTGTCAGTTGCTGAATGACCCACATGTTTCGGTGCGAAATAGCGCCCAAAGCTTTTCTGACTCAGAAAATAAAGCTTGTGTCACTTTTCAGCTTTCTGCCTCTGTCCTGTGCATGCGATTGCTGCCTTTGAATCTGAGAGGTCTAAGAAGCATTATCACAAAAATGCCAGTCACCCGTTCAGCCAGCCGTTCAGCTACAGTGAACACAACATCCGTTGAAGTCGACAGCAGCAAGACCGCTAAATCGCCTGCAACAAACAAGAGAAAAGCAGCAGCAGCAAGCACCCCCAAGAACACGCCAAAAGCGAAAAAAGCTCGTGTAGATGAGGCTCCTCCCAGCACTCCGCTTGTTCTTCCACCTGTTCCCGAGGCTTCCAAGTCTGATGACCCAATAGAAAAATCGCTTGTCCCTGCTGTACTCAGCTTTTCCTTCGAGGATGCAAAACGCCATCTAATCAACGTAGACGGAAGATTTGAAGATATTTTCAGCAAGTTGAGATGCAAGCCTTATGAGCAACTCGAACAGGTTCACCCGTTTCGGTGAGCGTCAAGATTCTAGCTAAGATCGCGGTTAACTGAAACTTGGCGACAGCGCTCTTGTCCAGTCAATCCTGTAGGAAGGTTTATTTGAAAGCGCTTGGCTCAGTGTTGACTGCCATCTACAGAGGCCAACAGATATCTTGGCTAGCTGCGCGTTCTATCAACCACAGATTTATCAGGCTTTACAACCCATCTTTGCCAGAGAAAGCGACTGATTACAAGTTAGTCGATAAAGCCTGATTTGAATCTTTATTATCGATGTTGTTAACAAACACAAAGTGAGGCTAAGTCTGCAGCATCTTTTTTCCCAAGTCCTTCTCGAGTTGCAAAGACCGATATAGCAGTCCTCAAGTCTGCAGGGTTAAGCACCCGGAAAGCCGAATATGGTCAGTCATGAACAACAAAAGTGCATGTTTCAACAAGAGTCTAATGCACGAAACCCAAAACACGCCTGCACTGAAGTCCAAGATCTGGCGGCAAGGTTTTCGGATGGTCGTTTGTCGACTGAAAAGCTCCTTGAAGCAGATGATGAAGAGTTAACTCAAATGCTCACAGAAGTCCGAGGCATTGGCAAGGTTTGTCCTATTCGAGACTGAGGTGATAGATGTAATTACTGAAGTCTCGTATGCTTCAACGTCGTAGTGGACTGGTAAGTCAATTCTTTCCATTAGCTTATTTTATACTTAAATTGTATTATCTATAGTTGACATGTTCGCCATGTTTTCATTGCGCCGCCCAAATATCCTTCCTGTTGGTACGTACCTGAAAAACTCAGCCGAGATACAGAAGCTCACTGCAATATAACAGGAGATCTGGGTGTGCAACGTGGAGTATTGCGCTGGGTCCTTGCCTTGCATTCTCCTTCTAATCCTTTCATCCTGTCCCCCGAGAAACTCTCTACCAATGGCGCTTCAGAAAAGGAGAAAGATACTAAAATAACTGCACCTGCAGACCCCGATTCTTTACCTACATTCGGGTCGAGCACAAACCAAGTCATATCTGACGAACCTCCAGAAGGTCCAGCACTGGATGTATCATCTGTGCCTCCTGCGCCGGTGTCTGAAAGTCCTGTGAAACTCAGCACTGGGGATAGCAGTAATGGCGGTCCCTCGTTTTCCGCCAATATCCCTTCCCTTCCCCCTCTTTTCACGCCGTCCATCAGTAAGACGCTGAACGACGTCCAGAAAGCTACATCGCACGCTTCAGCTCTGATGCCATTGCCCGAGGGACTGACTGTAGCGGAGCTTAAGACCCGTCTTGGAGGCAAGAAGAAAATCAAGTAATTGTCTTGGTGTTCTCTTATGTCCTCTTCTCACGATGCTTTGTTGCAGAGGCGCACTGTTGACACCGAATGAGATGGAAGCATTGACCGAAACTTGGAAGCCGTACAGAAGCTTGGGTGAGTGTATACAGCAAGATATGTGTAGTTTGTTGTTCTAACACTGCCGCAGGCGTGTACTACATGTGGTCGTTAGCTGAAGACAAGTAGCGCTAGTTGGCGGAGATCGCACGACTTGCACCTGGTCCAGAGCCATGCTGTAGTAGTAGGATGCACGTCTATAATACTAGAGATTAGGTTTTGTGCATTCCTGCCACTATCGATACAAAAGAATCCACTGTGATGCTTGTCCTGTCCGCATGTCGTTCAATGAATAAAATACCAGTTCAAGTCCGCGAACCAGCGCTCAGCGCTTAGCGGGTCCAATTGTCGAGGTGCCGTAAGCCGTTTATCTCTTCTCCGTCACAGCTTTCGCCTTGAACACCTCTCCTACTTGTCTCTGCTTTTAATAAACCGAGGGAAGGCCAATGATGGATTGTATGTCACCTGTACCTCTGCTGATCACGCCACGTGAAGTGGCAAGTTGGTATGATTGTAGGAAAGGGCGACCGGCGTCTCGGCGAGTCCACATAGTAGCATTCCAGTGGAGAGTATGAACTATGCTTTAACTTCTGGCGTGCACGCGGGTTCACTTTCCTTCCAAGCGCGTTAAAGCGTCTGTCCTCTTCCCCTACAAAAGACAGCTGGGCGTCCGTGGCTCGTCTGGACGTGGTTTCGCCTTACTTTCTACGTCCCCATCTGTTCGTTATCCAGGCTCTGCCACCAATGGACTCGGACTTTGGTTACCCAGCGACATCTATGCACGAATACCTTTCTGATGAGCGTGATGCTGCCCGGGATGCTTTCCAAGACCACGCCGAGCGTTTCCCTCATCAAAACACCGCCCAAACCTACAGGACAGCAGCACAGTTATCCAATTATCATAGCTTCAGCTCAATTGATGAGCTCGAGAGTGACTTAGACAGTCGCCTTTCACCCCTTCTCTTTCCTCTTAATCACCCACAACCACGCCACGGGTTACATCGTCACTATACATCCCCCTCAGAGGGTCCTTCCTTCTGTTCAGCTGAGGCCACATCAAGTTTCATCAACGCGTATGGCGACGGCAACAGAGATATTGATCTGTTCGCCACAGATTGTAATGAGAGGCCGCTCATTCCCATACTGCCGCAATCAAGTTCGCAGGCCGAATCATCTTTGTACGCTGCTGGATCGCAGTCTCTGTTGCTATCCAGCGACAGCGACTTCTCCTTATTTATGAGCACTACTCTTAAGCCTTCAGCTGTTTCCAGCGGTCCCAACTCTTCAGCCCTATGTGCTCGCGAGTACTCTCCTCGGTTCCCATCTGGACATACCCTTCATCCGTCGTTCTTGCGCTTGTATCATCTCTGTGACGAACTTGGGTCAGGTGGTTATGGCTTCGTGATGACGGCTATTAATCGTCAAGAAGGCTTTGAAGTAGCAGTCAAGTTCGTCATCAAAAATAAAGTGCCCGAGCAAGCTTGGGCGGAAGACGAGATATATGGCAGGTTGCCCGTCGAAGTTATGCTCCTCACTCTCATGGACCATGAGAACATTGTCAAATGTTTTGATGTTTTCGAGGATGATCTGTACTTTTATTTGGTATGTTCCGTCATGCATTTCTCTCGGTAGTTCGGCACAATTAATGTATGCTACTTCAAGGTTCAAGAGCTTCATGGTTCTCCATGGCAGAAGAGCGAGAGACCTCGAGGACAAGATGGGGATTCCTCTCCATCTATGATGCCAATGCTATCCTCTCCGCCACCTCTGCTATCGCCCTCTGCTTCAGAAGTTTCAGCAACTGATTCAGAGCCGGACACTCCTCCACAATATTCCAACCAGCTATATCCCTCACCTCTTCAAGTTCACGTTCAGATAGCCGAAAGCCAACTTCACAACCATGTACCACATACTTTATCGGAGCCAGAGAACGATTGTTCTATCACTCTTAATTTACCCCCGCGGCCACATTACTCGCGACGCGCCTCCCATGATCTCTTCGAGTGCATCGAGCAAACACAGCACAAACGGCTCTCTGAGAACCAAGCTCGCTATATATTAACTCAAGTGGTTGAAGCTGTGTACTATTTGGACTGTCGCGGTATATCTCATCGTGATATCAAAGATGAAAATCTGGTGGTTGATAAGGACCTAAAAGTAATTGTACCTCATTTCCGATCCCATCACGGGTGGGCTGACATTGAGTTACCAGGTTAAGCTAATTGACTTTGGAAGTGCTACTATAGCCGATGTATCAGAACCCCGTCCTTATCACAAACTATTCTACGGGACGACGGCCTATGCATCGTCGGAGGTTCTCCAGAAGAAACCGTATCAAGCGCCTCCTGCGGAGATATGGACGCTGGGGGTGTTGATGTCTTACTTGCTCACTGGGATGTCGCCATTTCCAACAGAGAGAGACGCTATTGAAGGGAGGATCGTGCTAGCAGAAGAACCCGGGTCGCAACTGTCTCATGACTGTTTGCATCTCATGAGCAGATGCTTGGAGCCCGACCCCGAGAAACGGGCTGATATCAAGGAAGTCAGGGGTCATCGATGGTTACGGTGTTAGTGATCAGATTCGAGTTGATCATTGTGGAAGGATGTCTACAAATGGATTGTTTTATCTCTTTGTCGCGCATTGTATATAGCTCTCATCATCATTACAGGATTACAGGAGTATTCGGATGGCTATGTACCTAGATTATTTGCCAGTGTGCAGTCTTGTTGTGTATTTCATTTTGTATGGATTCCATGTGTATATTCTTAACTACTACAATGAACATCATGTGTCAAGGAACCAAATGTTTGCAGTGCAAGTTGCGGTGTAAAGTCTGAAGCTTGATTAATATCTTGATTGTTAGGGGAGATGACGACTGGAGCCTCGGCGGGCGTAAAAGGAAATAGTAATCGGGAGCGCCGGCCGCTCAGCGCCACCTCGGCAAAAGGCGTGAGAACGAAACTGTTCCGACTGTGGCTGCCCGATTTGTGGTCATCATCCGAGCCTGTCGTCGTATAAACGCAGTTCTTAACCGTCATGTCGCTCGGGGTATTCAGAACAAACGCAGGTTGGTAATGAACGACCCTATCTGAGGTAGGAGCTGACAGGGAATATCATAGTGAATAATGCGTTTCGACCAGCTGTGCTCAGGTCCTCGCTAGGCATTCACGGTATAATAACTATTCATTTTACTTGCGAGTTTACACCTTCTGACCAGTCTGATGTAGCTCGTTCTCTACACACGTCAAAGCCTGCCAAAACACCAGAAGCCATCCCATCGTCAACTACATCAGCATCGCAACCTATCACCGCATTGGCCAACCGTGATTCGAACCAGTTTAGCTTAGAGCAACCAAAAAACAAAGCTGGTGAGTAGCATTTATGTTTGCGTTTGTACACGACCTCACTCTGAGTCCTGCAGAATATGTACTGTCGACGCTCGACAAAGTGGTGAACTGGGCCAGGCAGGGCTCTATGTGGCCTATGACGTTTGGTGAGGAAGCAATATGATACTGACCAAAATGGCGCGGACTGGATTAACCCGTTATTTTTGTAGGTCTTGCCTGTTGCGCTGTAGAGATGATGCACATGGCTGCTGCACGTTACGATCAAGATCGTCTTGGTGTCGTTTTCCGTGCAAGTCCCCGACAATCTGATATCATGATTGTTGCTGGTACCCTTACCAACAAAATGGCTCCTGCTTTGCGCAAGGTGTACGATCAGATGCCCGAACCACGTATGTTCTTTCTCTTGTTTCAAGATAAGGGATTCACAGGCGTGTACAGGATGGGTTATCTCTATGGGGTCTTGCGCCAATGGTGGGGGTTACTATCACTACTCGTATTCTGTTGTCCGGGGATGTGACCGTAGGTGTTGTACATTCGGGATAAAGCATGACTTCTGACAAAGCGCCTGCGACAGGTATCGTACCTGTTGACATCTACGTACCAGGCTGCCCACCCACGGCTGAAGCGCTGCTGTATGGCATGTTACAACTGCAACGTAAGATGCGGAGAAACAGGAAAAGCGTTCTTTGGTGAGTAGTGCAAACGAGAGTAACAAAAGTGGACAGAAACTGATGATACTGAATGGTAGGTACCGTAAATAATGGCTTTTGCATGATCGAAGGACGTAAATTAGAGACTAGATGTAGTCTTCTCCTTTGTAATAGATCTTCCTGTCATGTGTGCGTGATCACGTTAGAAGTTTTTGGACGTAAGACGAGCACAATAAAACATATGTGTGAAGAGAGAGAGAAGTCTCACTGGTATAAGACGGAGATATAGCAGTGCCCCTTGACCGAATGAGCCGAACGGACTCCGGACTCAGCCGGGGAACTTCGACCGCTTGAGAACAGCGCTTACTGCTACACGGCTCTCTCCCAAAGCTTTGTACATTCATCCCAAGCCCGTCTGCAATCCTGACCTTTTCCTCAACATTGTTCTCCTTTTGCAGCTTTACTCTAGTGGCTCTCGGTTCCACATAATTTTTCTGTCTTCCGAATTTTCGAATTCGAATTCGAGGAGCCAGGCCTTTTGTTTTCCCGGGCGTTCGAAGCTTCTTTCAAGTTTATCTCAGCCATGACCACGATTGCAACCATCCAATCCCCACGGACAGACAGCGGTTCATCAGCCCTTCCTCGAAACGTTCATGTAGACTTATTCCAACGAGGACTCGCCATCTCAGAATTGGATTTCAAGGATAACAGATACCCATCCATTTCTGCTTCCAGAAACCTGCCACGAGCCGCCGCCATGATGCAGGCTTCCTCCAATCGACAACCGTGGGATGCCACTTCGGATTCAGTTGATGGTGTGCATAAAGTTAAAACTGATCCTCCTGCAAAGATGGATTCGCCACCAGTCGACAAAGAGGACCAAGGGGCCACACCTGAAATACTACACGCAGACCAAGCACAGCAGAACCAGAACCCCAAATCTGACTCTGCTCTTTCTTACGCTCTACCAGCCGGAGCCGCCCGTCGTGTCGTTGAAAGATACAGTTTGGATGATAACACGCAGTCTTTGTCCAAAGGAGAACCATCTGATTTTAAAGAAGTTCAAAACGATCCGTCAAAGTCTGCACAGGGGTCCGTTACTGCATCTCAGCATCCCCTTACACCGCCCCAATTAGGACAACCATCAACAAGAGACATCCCCATTGCCCTCCTTCCTGCCAACCCTCGCCATCCTTTGCTCTCCGCAGCAGGAATAGGTGCAGGACCAAGTAACAGTCCAAAGCCTTCGTCATCGTACGGCCCCAACATGGGTATCACTATTCCTATCTCCTCTAGTCCCCGGGCTTTCGCCCAACATCCCACATTTATCACCCCCGCAGCCGCCCCCGATCCTATCAATCCTGTTTTCTCCCCGACGCCCCTCCCTCCTCCTGAAGAGGTTTGCGTGGAATGTGCCATGCGTGACCAGGACATGGCTGATGTCGATGTCACCGGTCCTGGCGTTTGGGACCGCGAGAGTAATGTGCTTTACGAGGAGCTTCTTCGGAGGGAACTAGAAGAAGAAGACGCGGGTGTTGTTTCCACTGACTCGTCAAAACCTCGAGCAAGAGGTGGACGGCTGACAGAACAGAACTTAAAGATATGGTTGACAATGGTAAGTGCCATCCCTTGTTCCATAGTTCTTGCTTAACTCTTGTCGTAAACTCTCGCAGAATCCTCGAGAACCTGCTGCCCGACAGCAGACATTAGATCAGTACATCAAATCACAGAGAACATTGCTAGAAGCGGAAGCTCTGGCTCATGCCCGAGCTATGCAAGAATCCATGCAGTTAGAGAGCAAGATGCGAGATACGTATACACAATTGCGACGCTCTGCCTATGAACTTGGTAATAGTTCTACGCCAGTGGATGACATTGGTCATGTACGGATCAAAGCTCCGCATTCACCCTCTCCGGCGGGTAACGCGGGCTCACATGTCCGTGCCCAGTCGCGAGAATTGACTCTCTTGGAGAATGGAATGATCGTAGAACATGTTGATGTTCGGAAAGAGGAGAAGGAAGAGAGAGAGCGTCGTAAGAAGGAAGAGAAACGTGACAGGAGCCGAGCAAGAAAAGTATCCCGAGGTTCAATTATGGATGTTACCTCGCTCTACTCCGTGCACAGCCTCGCTCCCCATACAGATAGTGGTTTAGGTCTGATGCCAAACTCACGCTATTCCGCTATCAGTTCCAATAGGCCTACTAGTTCGTTGGCAGGGCCTATCGATCGTCAGAGTAGTATACCACAGGCATACTCACAGGCATCCTTTTCTGATGTTCACAGTCCTGGTTCAGCATCCCCCCGACGTACTCGCTTTTTCGGATTCCGAAACTTGAGTTCAGGTTGGAGAAGTCAGGACAGTCTTGCTCCATCTGGAATGTCAGGCAGTATGGTTGATATGCAGTACGTGGACCTTTCCCCATGATTGGTTTGTTATTTAGATTTTCTATTAGTGTTGCATTACAAAGAGAAGCCAATGGTCCGCGAGTGCGTTCACCGGCGGACAGTGGCATTAGGTTGCCATCGCAGCGTCAAAGTCAAGTATGGCCGCCAACGGACGCTTCTGTCGACGAGCGTACAGCAACACCTGATGACAAGCCGAAGAAGAAGAAAAACGGTCTCAAGAAGATCTGGAATCTTGTGAAGGGTTCTTCGAACAAAGAATCTTCCGATGTTAGCAGTCGTGCCCGAACACCAGATAGACATGAAGATGATCTTCCGCTCGCTCCGCCTCCACCGCTGTCATATCTGGTTGACCGTGGCCCAGGAGAACATGTTAACGGCGCACGACATGCATCTACGCCCTCGCTCCCTTCAACGACCTCTCCAAGAAATCCTTTGTCATCAACAGGTATGTCGCCTCCAACAGCACCTTCCAGTATTTTACCCTCGCCTACGTCATCACGTCCATCCGGTGCTGATCGAGATACAGCAAGTGACGGCAGAAAGCCCAGTGGTCATACTGAAGACAAGGAGAATGGCGAGTGGACAGGGGTCGCGGATGACTCTGCCCGTGTGCCCAGCCCGAAATTTGTTCATCCTGTCACATCTGAACCGGACATGCGCCAAAAGCTTCAACAAGCTGATGGTACCGTGATGCTCAAGCCAGTTGCCCTCAGACCCTACACGCTTTCAAGGGAGAAGTCCTTGCCACCACTCCCAGGTGAACTCAAAATTCGACCACAAGGAAACTCTACCGAGCCACGGCCGCAGACATTGTACACATACGATGCTCGCCAGGTTGCTGCCAACCAAGGCATGCACGACCTTGTTCCTCCTCATGCCCCTTTCCGTACCGAAGCCAGGAGACAATCTTTCAGTGGTATCACGTCTCGGCCGAACCTTGGAATTCAGACACTGCCTATCACTGGCGGGTATGATCACCTGAAATCTTCAGGTCCTTATAATGAATTTGGAATTTCAAGGAGGTCACTTGGACGTTTAGAACATATTGATGAGAACCCTTCAGCTCTTCCCACTCCTAGCCACAAACGCAAGAGCAAGTTTGGCTTTGCAGCGCTGTTGGGAAGGAAAACCTCCCCTCCTGAAATTGTTGTTGCGAGTCCTTTTGGTTCGCAAGAGTTTCCCAAGCTCGCCACACCATGTTCCGATGGAAGAGAGGAGAGCCTGGCGACTGGGTATACCCACTCTGCATGGCGACACAGCGTTAACACCAAAATGTCAATCACTTCTCGCAAAGCTCTCGAAGAGCTCGTTGATCAGGATGCCGAATTTGTTGCTTATCGTTATCCTTCTGGTGACCAACGCTTTGACCTATTGCGATAACATCGGATCGGATTGTGTGCGCATCCATTCAGGTGTTTTTTGTTTGGATACATATTAACCCCACATTCATTTCTTCTTTTATCGTTCTCTCTCTCTCTCTTTCTTTCTTCTTTTTTTTTGTGGTTTCTTTATGTCAAAATTCCTGCTGCTTACGTTTCTGTGTTATGCTTTGCTTACTCACCGCGCAATAATTGTTACCAGGACACTACTACTTCCCCTGTTTCATATGGCATTGGACCCATTTTCGGCACCTCTCATCTTTTCCCTGTGTTTGTATTCCACACTCCTTTCCTCCGGTCATGTATTTTATCCGGTTTGGAAGAAAGTATTCACCCCTAAGTGCTTGGACTTGTGGCTCTGGGAAAAACATCACTCGCAGGCTGATTATTGTATGTTTCGCTCGTTCACCTTGCACTGACTTTTTGCATGCGTGATAATGGATGGATGGGTATTACTCCAGGTCTTATGCTGGAATTTTGCGTGACTTCCTCACATTGACGTGTACACGTGATGTACCCAGGACGCATATTAAAATTCTTGTCACGTCAGATCGCCCTTCTGTTCTTCGTTGAACGCATACTTCCACAATAAGCTTTTGCTACACAAAATTCAACTGCTAAATGGTAAATGAACAATGCTCTCTACTTTATCAATTTATCGTTGTGTTTGCAGGCACCTCGTGGGCTTTCTGCTGAAGAGAAACGCGTCAAGCTGCTGGAGATCTTTCATGAGAGTGTATGCGTTACATGCTACTTCTTCCCAAATATGTGGATTGATGCTTTGTTCATTGTCTTACTTCGAACGGCAGAAAGATTTTTATCAAGTAAGCATCTCTTCTATCATCCAACTCACGCGGAATGGAGCTCACGTTTGGTCAAATTGACCTCAAGTTGAAAGAATTAGAGAAACTCGGACCAAAGCTAAAGGGAATCGGTGAGGATGTAGTCCTTAGCTCGTTTCTTGTTGCATCCAGCGCATATACCCACGCCAGTCCCTAAACGAGCATCGGTGCATAACAGTATCTCAAACCGTTAAGGAAGTTCTACAATCTCTCGTAGATGATGGCTTGGTTCAGGCAGACAAGATTGGATCATCGAATTGTATGCCTCTCGCGCTCATATTGGCGAGGCTCTTCTCACTTCTGCGCCGTGCTCGATAGTTTTCTGGAGTTTTCCCTCTCAGCGTGGTGCTATTGTGGGTTCGCATTTGAAGACGTGGGGTGTATGCGTGCTCAATTTCAACCAGGTCCAGAACCGTTTGGATGCAGCGAAGGATGCACGCTTAGCATCTCAGACACAATTGGCCAACCTACGTGCGAGCATAGAAGCAGAAAAGGCGCTTAGACCTCAGAGTGTTTGTTTCATAGAACTCTATCTGGTTCTTGATTATACTATGCTATTTCCTTAGGACTCCCGGACTCGAGCACTGGAGACCCTCAATGCAGCGAAGCAAACGCTTATCACGCTAGAGCAAGAGTTACAAGCATACGGTGCATGCGACCCTGTGAAAGTTGAAGAAAAGAAGCGAGCGGTTATTTTGGCTCGAGAAGCTACTATTCGTTGGACAGGTGTGTCTTCTAATAAATGTTACTTCATACAGCGAAGATAAAACAAGCGTAAACGCGACGAAGACAACTACGTCATATTGTTATCACACTTCACGCGCGAACATGGAATAGACCCGCAAGAAATACGAAAGTATCTTGACATCGGGGATGACTACGAGGACATATACTGAAGGCTCGGCTTGATGGAAGGATAGGCCTCAAGTTATAGTGAGCTGCAGACATACCATGTACCATACTTAGACAGGTCACACCACCATATACACTTGCATATCCTTCAGTAGTTATCCCCTGCTCAATCTGGTGACAAGAAGGGATTTGCCCAGTCTGGTCCGAAGTAAGGACCTTTGGCAGGAACCCCCGCTTCGGTAGTAATAGAGAAGGCACCATGAGCAGCACATTTGGCTTGAACTCAGCATTTTGTGGCTAGTCACACCAGGAAAAAGCACATAAAGGTTTCAGCTGAAACAGCTACTGTAGAGAACAAATGCTATGTACATGATCTGTACTATTGTATCACAACTATGACAATTTATGTAGCACCTTGGACCTATATGACTCTGAATATCCCATTTCTTTTTGCCCGTGTTTTGGTTCAGGTGTGTCTGCAATTTGTAGCGGCGTTTTAATTGGAGTGGCTGACAGTTTCACTATCTCAATGGCTCAGCATCTGTTTGGGATGGAAGAAAAATTTGAAACTAGCGTTGTTTGTCATCTGAGAGCTTCACTATCAACTCTACCGATTCGCACAAAGGCTAAGTGGTGAGTTACGCTGGTTGAAGCAAGGTGCAAAAGAGCTCAATATTCGTGTTATTGGTACCGAAGGGAGGATTCACGCCAAATGGCCTTACTTTGGTGCAGACCTTATTTACAAGATATTGACTTATCATATATTGAATTAGGTAAGCAAGGGAGACTAGGATTTGCCTA